ATTAATAATGTAGAGGACCTGAAAGATTAATGTGTGACTGTGAGTTCAAACCTCCTTAGCCTGCAATTTGATGCATTCTATATATCAAACCACATGACAGGTTAGGCAAAAGTCTCCCATTTTATGAAGGTAATCCTTCAACGCCATTCATTCTTCTTCCCTGTCGCACCTTAGGACTGGCAATTCGTCTTGAAACATAACTTATGATAAAAAAACAGAAAAAGAAAAAGAAAAATTGATACACTGATATTTTGTACTCCCTCTGTCCAAAATTACTGGTCAGTTTGAGTTTTTATTTTTAGTTCAAACTAGTATTTTGCCCGTACGTTGTGCGGTGATATAGTACTCTCACAAAACTAAATAAATTGTCCACATTATATTTTGTATTTATATATTTTTAATTGAAATAGTAAAATACCATGTGGATTGCCATTTTCGGATTTGGGAAGCATTTTACTTTTTTTTTTGTGCATATTGCAGGGTGTCCACCATCGGCAACAGTGACTAATCCCACTCGTTCATGGTAGACACCTCGATGGATGGGTGAGCTGGCCAAAGGATTAAAGACTGCTTTAGGGAGTATTTTACTTTCATAGTCTATATGAATATAAATCCTTTGTGAAACTATTTGTATAGTTAGAAAACACTACAAAATAGTTTTATGGTTTTTAGTTATAAATCTTTATGTTGTTTCACCATTTTTTCTCTAGCAGTAATCTACATCATCTATTTAAATTCTTTTTTTTCTGATGTTTGCTTGAATTGGCCTTCTAATTATTTTAATAATCACCTTTTTAATGATCAATTGGTTTTGATTTTTTAGCCGACACTGTATTGAGATTTATCCTTAAATTAATAATGAGTTATCTTCATCAGACCGACTAACCTTTTCATCAAGTTTAATACCCACGACAGACCACGTCTATACCATATTTAATTGTTGGAAGGATAAAAAATTAGACTCATGTTTGGAGAACTAAAATAATTTTATCTTAAACTATTTTAAATTTCAAAATTCAACCCAAAATTTGAAATTATTATTCAGTAATTAAGTCCCATCACAAAAACTCTAAAACTGTTTTATATCAAATCTTTCTTTTTTATTGTGATGAAATAATCTTAAGGAAAAATTTCATAAAAAATCAAACCTAGAATATCATGTTAGTAACAATCTTCCTATCACCGTTTCAAAAAAAAATAAAAATAAAAAATCTTCCAATAAAAAATCCCGTAAACCTTATCCAACCTAGGATCCATTTCGGCAAAGTTTTCAAATTTGTACTTCAAAAACTCTTTTTTTTTTTGGACAAGAATATTTTGTGGGTGCAATTTTAAAAAACTAATGAGGTAGATTTTACCAGAATAATAATATCATTAACTTGACAAATATTTTCATGTTCATGGTTTACATTCAAAATTGAAATTATTTTCGTTATTGTAAGGGTTTATATATATATATATATATATATATATATATATATATATATATACACACACGAGTTAACATTATTAGTTTACCCAAAGAGATAGATCTAGTATAGATAATTTTAAACACTTTTACATTTATAAAATTTGCCACTAAATGTACACTAATGTAATGATGACACATGTCATATAAAATTATTGACCATGTTATTTTTGTAGGATTATTGTTAACATCTGACATGGGGCCAGGTTTTGGTTTATTTAAAATAAAACAATAAAAATCCTATTTAACGATGCTGAATTATTTTAGGGTATAATACATTTTTATTTTTATGAGATAAAATTAGTAAATTGGATTTTTTCTTTTAAAAAAATCCGGTTAATTATTTTACCATCCGGTTATTTTTTCATTGTGTGGAAGCAAATAAATTACTACCCTAACTTTATTTTGGTATCTTTTGATAATTATATGTTGTAATTTGGTTTCCTTTTTACATAAGCAAAGCAAATGAGTAAATACCTAACTTGTTGATAGATAATTCATCCTGCCTCACCAAATATTTGATGATAAACAATACAAATGGAACTAAAAAAATATATATTTAAACATGAAATGAAAACGTGAGATTCTTAAATGTAAGAAATCCTTTATCCCCTTCAACGGTGGAACTTGAGCTTTTATTAAAAAAAAAAAGAATGAAAAAAAAAATCCTATTTCACTCAACACTGCACTTTAATTTTAAAAAAAAAGAAAAAAGAAAAAAAAGGGACTAAACTGATGATCAAAAGAAGGAACTTGAAAACCTTTTGTTCCGAGTAAATATGTACCTTTATATCATAAAAATGGTTCTAAATTAAATGTGGAGTAATTTTTTTTTATGATGGGAAGAATATACTTTTGGCAATAGCTAAAAGAAATATTTTAAAAGAGACTATTCTATATCAACATTGTGATTTATCCTACCATATAGAGAATATGACACTTCTCGTTTTTAATTTTTCTGAGATAGCAACTTCATACAACTCTCTTTTTAGACAAAAGTATTGATTTCCCAGCTCCAATTGATGATGATATATAGACTTCGCCTCCCTTGCATCTCCCAACTGCACTATTTGTGTTAGTGCTCTAGCTGGTGCATGCGGGATGGTAGTACAAAGTTTCACCATGGATGGATTATTGAGCCCTTATATAGAAATATAAACTAATCAAGATGTGAAATGGAAAAAAAATTATTAACCAAAAGAAATAAAAGAAAAGGCAACAAATTACAAAATATTTCAACCTTCCTCCTCACTCTGGCCACCAGACAAGAACACTATAGCAGGGACAGCAGGAAGCATGGTCCGTTGAATGCCCCGAACAGTTTACTGAGCAATCTTTTCTGGAGTAGCTTTCTCCAGCAGCATCTTTTCTGGCCACGAGAGGATTTCTTTATAGTGGTAATGGTGGCCTTTGGAGAGGAAACGGGAACAAGGAGAGGAGAGAGTATAATGAAACTACTTTTAGATGTGGCGGATGTTTAGAAATTTATATTATTTTTAAATTAAAAAAAAATCTTCACGGATTATCCGATGGGATCAAGATCTCACGTAACAAATATTATCGGTAATTTATTGTAAATTAAATTATAATTGAATATGTCAAATTTTTTTTCCATCTTTTTTGATTTGATATTTAAATTTCAAAACAAAATTAATTAGCATGATGGAATCTGGATCTCATATCATTTCATTGAATGAATAAAAATTTTTGGCTATATTGATTAGTAATTTATTATTTTTGGAAAAAAATTATTAATAGTTCAATTTTTTTGAGTTGGAAAAAAAAAACCCTAAGTCTCATTTTTTTCCTCGGCCGCACAATTATTCACTTTGCCGCCGCCGTTGATCCCCTTCTTCAGCTTTTCTTTGCAAAAAACAAACAACACCCGCATCATCCATCATCATCCACACATCATCTATGCCTCATTACGGCTGATCTCCTTCTTCGGAACATCATCATCATCCACGCATCACCTATTACCATCATCCATCATCCATCATCATCTTCTCGATCATCTATCATTACCACTATCATAACGAAATAGTCCACAAATTCCTGAAAATAAAATTATCGCCGAAAATATTTCTGTCCATTTTTGTTTGGAAGAAGTTAAGGTAAATTTGTATAATTCTCTCTTTTTCCAACAGCCATCGGCGAGTAGATAAATTAGCATCATTCTCTCTTTAGGTAAATCTGGACGGCGAGTAGGTGGCGACGACAATCTGATGAATTCGACGCAGATCAAATCGCCGGGTTATTTCACTGGTTATTTAATTGAGTTAAATTTATAATAGTCGGTGAAAAGGTAAAACCAATGATATTTTAAAAATTATCATAAATGTTTTACTATTAGGAAATTACAGTTATGAGATGTAGTATAACATTAGTAAAAAGTAATAAGCCAATAAAATGTTGACACATGGACTAGTTTAGTTTTTAAACGAATGAAAACTGGACACATGTTTTTTGAAACTATTGATGATCTAATAGTGCGACATGTGTCTTGTGAGCAAAATTCCCTTAATATATAGTAAGATTATATTAAAAATGAAAAATCCAAACAGTATAATAATTTTGGGACGGAGGGAATATTCAATTATTCAACGTATCTATATCAATTCTAAAAATAGAACATATACTGTAACAACCCGTTTTAATTTTACGCAATAAATTATTTTTTAGCTGTTTGTTGCTAATATATACTCACTTTATTTGTTTAAGTGTACAATAAACTTTAATATTATTTTAAAACAGTAAGAGTTTCCAAGTATTTTTTTTTTCCCTTTATTGTGTTAATTAAGTGATGATGATGAAGTTGCGAATTGAACAACAGCCTCTGTAGTTGATGTGCTTCCTGGAGATCTAAATTTAACTCCCACCAAATTTTGTAAAGGCAAGCAAAAGTTCTTAACGATAAGTTGCGTTTAACGACAGGCAACATTAATGTAATTAAGTGATACCATTTTCTTTTGTGTGTAAAATTGTGATATATATGAAACTAGTTTGTACTCGTAATAATTTGTTCTTATTGGGTACACGATTATCTTAATGATTCATCACTATCACATCCTATACAATTTGGCCTTGAAAAGACGTTAAACGGTAATTTTATGTTGCCTCGAAAAGACGCTAAGCCACAGATTGCATTTTGCTTAACATCCATCCCTTATGACAGGTTGACTAACCATTGCATTCTTTAGATTAGGAAAAGCCATCGCGCACATCTCGTAATATTTTAATATTCTCTGCCCAAAAAATTATCCACTTTATTGAACCCAAAAAAAAAACGGGAATCATTTAATAATATTGAAATAGTCAAATAATTGATGAAAACTTCATCAATATTAAGAGAAAAAATATGTATTGATTGACGAAACACTTAGGACATGTGCATATAAACCAAAAAAAAAAAAACACACACACACACACACACAAACAAAAACATTAAAACAAAGAAAAGAAAAGACAAGGTCGGTCTGTTCATAACTTACAAAAATATATGTCACGAACTCATGATCGACTCAAAATGTACCAAATGGTAAACAAAGATGAAAAAGAAGACCACAAACTATAAATAGTTCAATCTGCAAATTAAGCCCTAAGAAATCAACACCTAGGAGTAAAATACTAGGTGGATTAATTAATAACGCTAATTTCTTGTTCTTAGAGAAACTAAGAACAAAAACATATGCATATCCCGGGGATTAATTTCCATCTTAGATGTAGTTACTAAAGTAATTGGTGCGACAATTACAATAGTTGTAGCCCCGGGAGTACAGTGGCACGTGGCGGCGACGAGGCAATTCGCAGCCTAAGCCACTGCTGCGAATGGGATAATCGGAGCTGAAAATCGGTGAATAATGGTCACCGGACAAGCTTCTTGGAAAATTGCAACCCAAACTAGAAGAATTAAAGCCATGGACACCGAGGAAATTATTGACCCTGGTCCATTCTGGATGCTTGAAATTAACCCTAACAACTTCTCCATGTCTTCCATATCTTGCTAGGGCTTGCAGAAGCATGTTAGGATCAACCTCTCCTGAAACCCTAATTAGCCCATTTTCGCCATCCATGTCCACATTGTACACTCCTATCATGAAAGTTGAGGCTGTTTAATTTCAACCATAATTAACTTATAAATATTCTTCAATGAATTTGAAGATAGTGAGTTACATACAAAAAAAGAAAATTAAAAAAAAAAGTTAATTTAATACAGTACGTACCGATGACGGAATGGAGAACTTCAAACATCTTATATTTGCATCCTTCACAACCCATGTCCACCCTCAAAACACAACCCTGGAATGATGAGAGAACAACAATACGATTTTTTTTAATGTTTTTCAGATCCGTCCACATACGTAAAACAATAAATTAAAGTCGTCTAATCGGTGAAATTCATATTAAAATTGGGATCTAGCCAGTGGAAAAAAAAAAGAATATACCATAATATTATGATTAATTGAAACACCAAGTATGATTCGAGATCAAAAGTTATATAAACCCATGAAAAAAGAAAAGAACAAACAAATTAAAGTGAAGGAATAACACTGCTTACCGCATGAGCGAAGTCCATTGAAATTGAACTCTTGCTTAAGCAACTGACTAAAATCAACTGAGTTTATTTTTTTATCGAACAATGAAGACACAATTCTGAAATTGGATCGAAACAAATGACGCATTTCGAGAATTGGGGAGGAGGCCGGGGGTATATATTATATAGACGAAATTTTGTATCGATAAGAACGATTTGATTATGGAAATGAATCATAATGATTTTGCAGAACGGTTTTTTAACCATGGATTTGGAATCCATCGTGATTCTGTTTAGATTTGATTGCACGTTTGTATTATTTACTGGTTTATTTTTTTAGTAATATCGCCAATTAGGTAAGGATTTCGGCAATATTTTTTCTTGAGTAAATTTCCAACGTTTGAGGAAATTTTTCCCTTTCTTTTCTTCGCACAGCGTTAGTATTGGCCATCGTTTCTTGCTTTAAAAGTCATTCCATGATTAAGAACCCTAATTGCTGCGAAATTGCATAGTACGTAATTATAATTTAGGGTTTTCGCTCAAAAAAACATAGAAGACCAGTGACAAGCAATAATCAATATCATAGAAAACCATATATATAGAGTAGGTATTTTGTACATTAACTGTGGCGTGCGGCCAACTGAAAAACGACTCCATCATCCATTGGAAGAGACCATGTTGTAGTTGGGGCAGAGAAAAAAAAAAAAAAAAACGCTTAACATTAAGGTACACAGACATAACTAGAGATTAAAAATTAAACATCATAAAATAAGCATGATCCTTCCAACCAATTAATAATTTGTCCCCCAAAAAAAAAACCAAAAACAAGTTGAACCAACTGAAATCGTACTTCTCCTTGTGGGGATAAAAGAATAACTTGGAGAAACAAGAGTTAACAAAACAACCTAAAAGAAAACAATAATTAACGTTCAAGGAAATGAATGAAAGAGGAATTAATCTATCTCTTTCAACTAAAGATTATCAACTAATTACTCCCCATTATTACATAATGGTGCACCAATTTTCCTCCGCTCTCATTCGATCATAATGACTCCAATCCATGGAACGATGCTTTGATGGCACGTAAACGGCCTCCGGCATTGGTCCGCAACGTGAGCTGTGGTAGTCCTCCGCTTCGAGCCTCTCAATCAATGTCGGATAGTTTGAAGAATAACCGGAATTGTAATCGTTGCCACTGAAGCCGCCTTCAAGTAGTAGGGCATCACCGTTGGTGGTGTGGTTGTGTTGGCCATATTCAATGGCCGGATAACAATGGTTATTATTATCATCATCATTACAATTATTGTTCGGACGGCGGTTGTTGTTTCGGTTGGCAATCTCGGGATGGGTTATTTTAGCTCGAAGTAGTTTAGCATGTTGATCACATCTCATTGCTGTTCGGACCAGTTTGTTTGGGTCAACCTCTCCTGAAACCTCAAGTGTACCTTCAACGGCATTATAGTCAACGCTGTACACACCTATCCAAACATATACGCCACCCAAATAAATTAAAAAGGATTTGTATCAAAGGAATTTACACGTTCAAAACTAATGGACGAATTAATTAATCACCCAAATTTTGTAATTAAAAAAAAACTCACCAACAATGGAAGCGATGCTGTCCATTGCCCTTTTCTGGCACTCTGGACAATTAGAGTCGATTTTCATCACCCAAGTCTGCAAAGTAATAAAAACATTATGAAATCAAAGAAGATAAATCATAAAAGGAGGAAAAAAAAAAAAAACACCACATTTTAGACCAACAAAAGACATAACCAAAACGGCAAACATGAGGTATCTAGCTAATTTAATATTGACTATACTTGTTGTCCTTAACAAAATTACGAAATTATCAATCAAATTAGAAGAACTACGTACATAACAATCATAGGCTTCATCCAAATTAAGTTCAAGCAAAAATATACGAAATAATTTATTTTCGATGGGGAACAAACAAAACGAAAGCTCTCAAATTTATTTACTGCATCTGCATAGCGGGGTGCGTGATTTTGATGAGATTGATCCGTTGCCATTTGATAAACTGATTGGTGATGTTCTTTCTTGCTCCTTTCGCCTCCTTCGACACCTGCAAACCAAATTACAAAGAACGGTTTTTTTTTTTCTTTTTTTCTGGGTTGGCTTTCTGAAGTTGAGTGAATTAAAGTTTGAGCAGAAGGGCACGTTACTTGTAGGGATGGAGAGTTCAATAACCCTTTATCAAATGTTAAGTCGGTGATTCTCTTGTTTCACCTACAAAAGCGTGTGCGAATTTCATTTCCATTTTTAAGATGTCTTAATATTGGGGATGATGGCTCATTTTCCTTTTCCAGATTATATATTCGCAGAATATATAACCATATATAAATCTTAGACAAATATGGTCAATATAAAAAGATATATATACTCTTAAGTACTGTATAAAGCTTTTTTTTTCTCCTGAATTTCATTGATTTTGTTCTTATAAATGAAATTAAAATCTTAAAAAATTATTTTTAAGTTTTTGGTGTTATCATAAAAAAAATAATTTTAAGATTTCATTTTCAATGAAAAAAATACAATAAATGAAATTTGGAACAAATTAAAATACTTTATAACAAGTATTCGGAGACTATATTTTTTAAATTTTACTAATAGTGTATAAAACTAGAAGAATATAGTTGTCAATGTTTATATTTATTTTTATTAATAAATCTCTAAAGAAAGAGGATTTAGTGGCTTTGTACTACGATGGTAGATAGTGGTAGGGTCCAAGGACTGTAACCTTTTGAGTCTTGAGCACTATAATCTCTGTGTATCCAAAAAAGATACAAGTAATAAAGACAGAAATAAAACCGAACAAAACAACAGTGGTCCAAAGAACTCCTATATATAGGAGCTCTATATTATAATTGCTATATATAGCTTTGGTTTCAATTTCAAAAGAACTGGAAATTGAGATTGAAATATCCAAACAGTGGTCCAAAGAGCAATTTGCACTCAAAAATCAAAAGCATCCATATAAACGTCGAAAAGGAAGTGCAGAACTGCAGATGTATAATATATATATATATATATATAATACTATCACTGTGAAAAAAATCGATTAATTATTTATACAAAAAAAAGAAAGGAAATTCTAAGTGAAACAGTTGGTAAAAAGATAAATTATAGTATATAAGCTCCTGCTTGAATTTTTGCAGGTAAATATTCTTGAGACAAGAATGAAGGTGACTGCACAGATAAAGCTTCAATCTCGCACTTGAATCCTCTTTGAAGCAGCAGCTCCAGTTCGACCCTTAACATTCAGCAAATGCAGAATGTTTTCAACATTGTCATTCAACAAAACAAATAGATTTCAACTTCATTGATTGATCGGAAACTAGGAAAAGAGACTAACCTCCATTGCAGTGCCTCTCTTGCCAAGTAACACCTAGGCAACATTGCTTCTACTTTCATCTTATCTGACAAGGAATTAGATGAATTTTCAGACAGCTAAAAGATCTGCATGCCATACTGAAAAGCAATTCTCAATAACTTATTGAACGTCTCACCTTCTTTAGTGAAAGGTAGCAGGCATTGCCGTGGAAGGCAGTACTTATCCACTTCAGAAGGAAAAACACCGAGCCATCTTATTTCTGGAATGCACAGATATTTTGCATCATAGGCCATTTGCTTCAAGGAAGATAAAAAAAAAATAAAAATAAAAATAAAGTAGTAGTTAATTTAAGAGAAAAAATTTGGGCATCCATTTTGCTTTTAGGTGTAACTTGTGAAAAGAAACTGCCCTACTCCACAAACTCTAGACATCAAATACGAAGGGGAAATAATGATTTATCAATGAGATCTTACCATAGAACCGAATCTGTATGTTGTCAGTATGTCAAAGCCATACGGATCACAATCTACCAAACAATAGGCAGGCAGACACAGCTTTTCTATAAGGAGGCGCAAAAATCTGGTTCATGAGCAAAGAGAGGGGGACATGCATTAGGTTTGGCCAGATCACTAGGGGACATGTGCCAATAGATCAACGGAAGTAAACTAAGCTCCTTCACCTTCTTGTGGGAACATCAGGATAGCCTCTTCCCTGATAAAAATGACATCATGTGAACTGAGATACTCTAAGGGAAAAAAAAATGAAGGGGAAAAATATAAAAACTTACTGTTATTACAATACAACGATTTTTTGTGCAGAACAAATCATTCGCTAGTCTCTGGAACACTGTTGGTATACATGGGAGAAGATGTTTATAATTGAGTTTCTGTCATAGTAAGTGATAGAGTTGATAAGTCTTAACAGGAGAAGTCAGACCTGATTCTTTCTCAACAACTAAGATGTACTGAGCAACGCTGATTATATCTGTTTGCAGCAATTAAGGACAAATTACTGTTATCTTGAGCACATTCATCATTAACTGAAACCTGTCCTAGTACGAAACTACTAAATCCAAAAAGTGTAAGTTCTCAGCACCCTATATAAACTGCCTAAATAAATACTTGAAGTGACTGGAGGTCAAAATATTCCTCGTCAATGGATACTTTCAACATCTTCCACATGAACAGGGACAGGATATGACTGCAAAATGATCAAAGTTGGCATTATGTAAATCAAGCAATAAAAAATTTAATGCTAAATTTCAACTCTGGTTGTTACTGTGTTAGGGCTGTTTATGCAGTCAAATTTCCTTCCAGCTTCTGAAAATCTCAGCCAACCCATAACCAATCTGCACCGAAAAAAGATGGAACAATTAACATTTGACCCCTAATAACAACTTGTTAAGAGAAAAGTCAGCAGATAGCATATGAGAACAAACAGCAAATTCTGATTTTTAACGAATTGGCAAGAACAGGCAAACAGAAAATGCAGAAGTGAGTAACTTGTTTATTTGGACTACTGTTAATAAAACATCAGAGTAATTGACTTACCCATTTCCAACAGATACCTGCAAAAGGGAAAACAAACCAGATTATTGCTTAACTGGAAATTAAGTCCCCCAAAAAATTTGGGACAAGTCAAATGTATGATCATCAGTAGTATTTTGATTTGTAGGAACCAAAATATTACTTAAAATGGTGACATTGGAACAAGAAGGCACCCAAGTCAAAGTAAGCAACAGGCTAGATGTGAACTTATTGTCAGCTTCATGTTGAAAATTCAAATATTGATAAAAGGAGACAAAGGCAGCTACCGATATGAGTCGAAAACGCCTAATGAAGCTAGCTTCTTTTTTTTTTTTTTCAAACTTCAAGATCAACTGAAAGTTTCTTTGAGTTTCTTGATGAGGGGTCATGGAAAGCAGAAGCATACAAATGACATAAGAAATGCGGGTACATGTGTAAATAAGCATTTACACTAATTGTAATTTACTAAATATTAAAAAGCTTTAGAATTACCACATTTAGATTGTGACGACTGCAATGCAGGAGAACACAAATGTCATTAATTGCTTTGTCAACAACCGACTGATCTGCTTTGCAGAGGACATTGAGAATTCATATGCATAGTCAGGAATCCATTCAAGAAAGCATAATGAGTTAACAAATGCTCCAACTATTGCAGAGAAATGAAAGATGGGTATTTCAACATGATGTCTTATCATGCAATGCGTTACATATCTAAGACACACGAATTCCATGCATCATGTCGATCACCCCCTTGCCATATGAACAGCTAAACGGTACATTATAAAACATCATTTTATCAACATACAAAAGTTTCACATTGTGAATCATTTTTCTTATGAATAGCTCACTTTTCTAGAAAAGCACAATGCAATAAAATGATATTCTGGAACATGTATAAAACAAAAATTGAATCAAGAGAGGTCATTATCTTTATACCTTTAAAGATAGAAGGATGCATGTAATATATATCTCTTTTCGAACCATGCCTGTTTTCTTGAAGAAGTTGCTGAACTATCAACAAAACTCGTAGCAAGATATCTGACAAAACATCAAACCTTAAACCTCTTAATACTCAATTACCCCTTTCACTTAAATTCTTTCCAACAGTAATACAAACAGTTTCAATTAGCAAATGAAGAGTAGCCAAACAACAAAATTCAAACATCTTTGCGGGATCAAAAATAATCTGTAACTCACCCACTCTACGCACATGACTTTCCTTCTGCAATGTTAGTACTTCTTTCCCAATGGAGACATCATAATTGCAACAGCTGCATAGAAAGCCAACACAGGGATTGTTCATTTCAAATAGAATCTCAACAAAAAGTCCTAAAATGCCTTAGATTCAAATCAAACTCAGGCATTAAAAGAGCGGAATGAACCAAAGAAGCCAAGAAGCTGATAATTCAACAAACCATACCAGTTTCCAGAAGCTTCAGAGCAGTAATTCTGGAACTTATTAATGTAAACCACCGCGGACTGTCCATTGGTGATATTCGTGAGTATCGACAACGTGAGCTCTGTAAATCGAATTACCTTAATAAATTGAACCGAATCCAGAGAAATAATGGAACAATTCGTAGTACTTAAAGCAGATTTCTCTACCTCTGATTCTTCCCAGCACATCGGAAGGCCGTGAACTCGGCCGTGATCGCTTTCCCGCCATTACCACGGCGGAACGTTGTGTTTGGCGTCGGCACTTTTACCGAAAAGCTTCGGGGAACTTGTTTATGAGCGGTAAAATGTTAACATTTTGGGCTCAACAAAGCCCATGGGTTTTGATCTTTGGGCCGAATACGTTTAAAAATTATCTGTTTCCTCCAAGAAATTGGGTGTTTTTTTTGACAATAAAAGAAATGGAGGTAATGGTAATCTGATTTCGTTTCTAAGTATTAGGAGCTGCCTGGTTCGTTCTATTGAATGATACTTTTCAATGGGTTTCATAGAATAAAGAATTTCAATGGGTGTCAATAATTCCATTTGAGTTGGTTGGTTGATAAATGGGTTTGAATAAATATTACACAAAATGACATTTTTATCCTTATCTCTAACCTCACCCATCTCTTCCGCCATCTCCTCTTCAGCAATCAACTCCAAATCCGTTTGTTCTATCTCTTTGCTGCCAGACAATAATGGACCACCTATCATCTCCTCCTACATCCAACAACCAAATGCACCGCCCAAAACTCTTGCATCAAATAAGGTATAGTATTTTTCATCCAATTCACAACTCAAAAAGAAATTCAAAAAATTATAAATTCATCTATTTTCCTAAGGACATGGTGTATCTACATATTTCATTATCTTGACAATCAAAATAATATCACGAAACTAGATTGAGGAATGATTGGATAGCGGCGACAGTGGTGGTAGGCGACGGCTGATAGTGCGTGGTGGTGGGTGACGGCAAATTTATTTGCAGCAATTTTGGATTTTGTTGGTTGCAATTTTTTCTCCTTGAAAATTGGGATTTGATAATTGCAATTTTTCGTAAGTCCATCAATTTGGTGTTAGAATTGAGGTGTACAAAAATGAAGGAGAAGAAGAGATGAGGAGGAGAATATGATGTAGAAGAATAAGGAGCAGAGGAACTGAGTTCATGAAGAGAGGGATAAGAGAAGAAATTTCATTTAAGACTATCAAACCCTCTAAATTAGTAATGAATGGATTATTAGGAATAAAATCCGAAAAAGTTACTGTGCTGGAATCATTACTCTCTAACCAAGCAACATTATTTGGAATCAAAGGTATATCCATGGATTGACACCCTCAATCCAAGCACCACCTTAATATGCTGTGAATATATATACAGTATCCTTCCTTTTAAAAAAAAAAATTACTCCCTCCATCCCAAAATTTTGTCCAATTTGAGTTTTCATTTTTTTCAAATTATACTAAAAGTGAAATCTCAAACTGGACAATAATTTTGGGACGGAGGGAGTAAAATAATACAATACAACAATGAACAGACTTTTTTGTAGGGGATAGAGAGTAAAAGATTCATTCACTTCTAGTCATCTAACCATCGTTATAGTAAGTTGTAACACGTTTTAGTTATAACAGACCAAATTCTTCTTCTTCAACGAGATAGCATAATACTGATGTGTTCAAATTACTGTAAATTACTAACAGTATTCATGAGAGCAACATAAATATGGAGAAAGAAAAAAAAAATGAGAGAGGGAGAGATAGTAGTTCGATCTTGATTCTGAAGAGAAAATGACAGAGGACATCAATTCATGCAAAATGTTGAAGGCAACAAGAAGTCCCATACTAGCCACCCATACCCAGGATTAAAATTCAAGGATGAACCTGATACGGGACCATTAATGAGGTTATGGTCCAGATCGATCTAAATCCAATAAAGAATTCATAAAATGAAAAAAAAAAAAAAAAAAACAAACAAGGAAAGAAATAAACCCCACATTAAAGACTTAAGAAAGCCGACATTGTAGTACTGGGGATTGGTGATCACGTTGAATGAAAGTTCACTTTGAGTAGTTTGTAGAGCTTCCTATTGGTTGCATCTTCATTTTTTTAAAAAAGCTTTAATCTAGTAGTAGTACTAGATTTCATTTGACATTTTTTCAACATCCACGATGCAAAATTATTAGTTAGTATTATATGAGATCCAAGATGTTTTTAGAAAATGTTGCAGTAAATGTCTGGCCGAAAATGATGGTCACAATTCGCCAAACTCGATATATTTCATCAAAGTGTTACTAGAAAAAAGCATCCTCGACTCGACAGATTCTGAATCAGGTCGGCAAAATTGCCATATTTAACTACCGTTCATGAATTTGGATTGTTAAATATGGCAAACTTGCCAAAATTCCACATCCCAAAAACAGAGCAAACTCACTTTGCAATCTAGAACTTTTGCTTCGGGGAGGTTCAGTGTCAGAGTCATTGTCAACTCTGAAACAAATTCGAGGATTTGCAGCTCTGACTTGGAGTTTTCCACAGCAGAATCAGCCCAGAAACCCCGAAATCAGTGGTAAATTCCCAGCCCAGATCATATGTATTGAACAGTTTTTTCCTTTTTTCCCTCAGTGAATATCATAGTATTTTGCTGCTAAATTATCAGTTTTCTTAACTTTTTGCACATAAACTTGAGGGACCAGCTTGATTTCCACTGTTGTGGTATTGTAATGCCGTACACACCATATTATAATCATCCCATTGTTTAGTTAAATTCCGGACTGTATTCCTTGTGCCCTTGTTTTTTTATAGCAGATGAAGTATCTAAAAAGCTTAGAACTGCTAGAATTATGAGGTGTGAACTGAATAAGTCACCTTGAAAAATCTTCCATTGTGAAAAATGATTCTTTTACTGGATTTTAGTCATGTTTGGATTGAAAGGAATTATGCCCTGAAATATTGGGCTAAAAAGTAGCTTCCTGTATGCAATTAGTGGTTTACATAAAGCACTTATCTGTTAAAGTTTGGTCATAAGAATTTTACAAGCTTCAATATTGCAAGTTCAAGCTTGAGAAACTAGTCTTTTTATGTTGTAGTATAATGGTATGAATAGAGCAGTGGGCATTGTTGGACTTCATGAGATCAATTAAGGATGAATACCATGTATAATGGTTTTGCAATAACTCATCACAGTCTCAGAGGTCTAAATAGTTTGAATGGAAAATGGCTGCAGTTTTGACAAAATGGCTGAGGATGTTCCAAAACAGACGCGGATGATGAAGTTCAACGAAGCTGTACGAGAAACCAAGCAAAAGATAGGTGACAAAAGAAGAAAATTCCGGCATTGTAAAAGTGCTCCGGTAGCAGAATATGTCCCTGGAGTAGTGGTTGAAAAGAACCAAGTGGTTAAACCATCCGAAACCATCTTTCCTACGGCCCGACCAAGTTTGAGGAAGGTTGCAGCATGTTTATGTATCTATATGGCCGTAAGTGTCACCTGCTTTTACCTTCTTAGGAACCAGATCAGAGGTAAAAAGACAAATGGAGTTCTTGATTCTGTTTACTTTTGCGTAAGCACTTTGACCGCCTCCGGGTATACAGATCTCATCCCTAATAGTACAGCCACGAAATTGCTTGCCTGTGCTTGTGTCTTCTCGGGAACGGCCTTAATTGGATTGTTGTTGAGCAATGCAGCAGATTATCTAGTAGAGAAGCAGGAAGAATTGTTTGTTAGGGCATTGAGTATGCGCCGGGAATCTAGTTCAACGCTGCTTTCAAAGAAGATTGAGGCAGAGAAAATTAAATCCAAGTGTATTTTTGCATTTGTTCTCTTACTGGTACTAATGGCTGTTGGGACGATCTTCCTGGTTAAAGTTGAGAAGATGGATCTTGTTGATGCCTTTTATTGCGTCTGTTCCATCATCACGACACTCGGTTATGTGGACAAAAGTTTCTCAACCAAGGGAGGGCGCGTTTTCGCCATTTTCTGGGTCTTGACAGGCACCATTTGTTTGGCTCAGTTGGTCCTTTACATTGCTGAACTGAGGAGTGATCACAAACAGAAGAAGTTAGTTGATCGGTTACTTAGTCGACGGATGACTAAAGGGGATCTAGAGGCAGCTGATCTTGATGACGATGGTGTAGTAAAGTAAGTCTTACTGAAACTCATTCTGCATATTATTTCTCATTGGCCTCATCAGTTTTGATCCTTGCATGCACTGTAGTCCCTCCGCGCCAAAATTAGAGTCTATTTCAATAAGTATGACTTTTATTCTGGGACGGAGAAAATATTGTATTCGTTACCTCCCATCTTTGTCTCTGACCAAGTGAATTTGTATTCCACAGTGCTGCAGAGTTTGTGATATATAAGCTGAAAGAGATGGGGAAGATTACTGAAGAAGATATATTGCCTCTGATGGAGCAGTTTGAAGCTCTTGATGTTGATGACTCAAAAACTTTGTCAGCCACCGATCTAAGGCTTGCGGATGGCCCCTCATTGTAATACTTTGTGTAGTTTGTGTCCATACTCCATACCATTCTTCTCAATCTCAAATAATGGTGTATATTTATGAGCATGATGCATCCTCACACTCTCTTGATAGGCTACGGACACATTTTTGTCTGCATTTGTAATAGTTTAGGAGTATATCCTTGTACTCCCACAAAAAATAGTATTCACATTAAACTTGTATAAAAAATTAATACAAATTGAATTTTTAATATAAATGTCAAAATTCAAAGTAAATATTTTTTTTTTGTGGGGGATTTAAAATAATACTCCATCCGTCTCATAATTATTGTTCAGTTTGGATTTTCATTTCTAGTTCAAATTGTACTAAAGTTGAAAGCTCAAAGTGGACAATAATTTTGGGACAGAGGGAGTAATTTAATTATATGGTTTTTTTAATAATTTTTCTTTAAAAAAAAAAAAACTCCGTAATAAATAAGTAGCAATTGATATGGGACCATTGATAAATAACATGGTTTATGAACAGGTCCTTTATCTAAACCAAAAATAAATAAATGTCATTGAGTTATTTAATTAGATGTAGTGCTGATCATGTTGAAGGATTTGACTTCTAGTAGATCTTCGGCTTCTTATTGGTTGTGTGATTGAAAGTTGAAACAATGCCTACCTTCTTAGATACAGTGTCACGAGTCTGTATCCAGTACACCCGGGGGCACCGTGTCCCTCCTATTTTTTTTGCATTTTTAGCCCTTATTGTACTTTTTATCAATCTTTCTATATTTTACAATTATAGTCCCTGTCATTTTTTCTCTCTCTTCCAAAAAAAATATCTCTAATCTTTCAACGAGCATATCTCCTAATCCGTGAAAAATTTGTAAACGAATTATGTATGAAATTTATAGTACTCGTCGAGATCTATTCAACAAGATCCATATCCAATATTTTTTTTCAACTTAAAAATGATCAAATTTCTTTGGGCAGAATTAAGTTGGATATCCAGTACAAACAAGTTGGATAACCAACTTGTTCTAAATTGGTTATCCACCGTGTTCATGTTGATTATCCAATCAGTTTGAACTGGTTATCCATTTTGTTTCTACTGCTTATCCATTTGGTTATCCAACTTCTTAATTCAAAATAAGTTGGTTATCCATCTTCTTAAACTGGATATCCAATGTGTTCATATTGATTATCCAATGCGCTAATACTGGTTATCCAATGGACTTACATGCTTATCCAAATTATTTGTACTGGTTATCCACTGTGTTCATGCTGATTATCCAACTTGTTTGTACTAAATATCCATCCATTTGGTTTGTATGCATATCCAACTCTAATCTTTCAACGAGCATATCTCCCAATCCGTGAAGAATTTGTGAACGAATTATATATGAAGTTTATAGTACTCATCGAGATCTATCCAACGAAATCCACAGTGAACATTTTTTCGGGCTTAAAAATGACTTAATTCTGACGGGCAGAATAGAATAGAGGTGGTTATCCATCTTTTTTTTTTTTTTAAGAGTGAATGTCAAACATATGATTGGATAACAAGTACGAACATAATGGATAATCACTCCAAACCTGTTGGATAATCAGTAAGAACACAACGGATAACCATTTTTCAAAGAAAAACAAAAAACACGTTTCTTCATTTCTGCCCGTAAAATTTAAATGCATTTAAAGTTCAAAAAAATATTCAACATCGATCTTATCGGATAGATCTCGTCGAGCACTATAAATTTCATATATAATTCGTGTTATAATTCTTTACGGATCAAAAGATACAAAGAACACAACAATATGAATGCGAAATAAGTTGGTTATCCATCTTCTCAAACTGGATATCCACTGTGTTCATGTTGATTATCCAATGCGCTATCTTGGTTATCCAATGGATTTACATGGTTATCCAAATTGTTTGAACTGGTTATCCAATATGTTCATATTGATTATCCAATGCGCTAATACTGGTTATCCACTGTGTTCATGCTGATTATCCAACTTGTTTGTACTGGATATGCACTGTGTTCATGCATATCCAACTCTAATCTTTCAACGAGCATATCTCCCAATCCGTGAAAAATTTGTGAACGAATTATATATGAAATTTATAGTACTCGTCGAGATCTACCCAACGAAATCCACAGTGAACATTTTTTCGGACTTAAAAATGACTTAATTCTGACGGGCAGAATAGAATAGAGGTGGATATCCATCTTTTTTTTTTTTTGAAGAGTGAATGTCAAACATATGATTGGATAACAAGTACGAACATAATGGATAATTAGTCCAAACCGATTGGGTAACCATTTTTCAAAGAAAAACGAAAAACGCATTTCTTCATTTCTGCCCGTAAAATTTAAATGCATTTAAAGTTCAAAAAAAATATTCAACATGGATCTTATCGGATAGATCTCGTCGAGTACTATAAATTTCATATATAATTCATGTTATAATTCTTTACGAATAATTAGATACAAGGAAAGGAATAATATGAATGTAAAATAAGTTGGTTATCCATCTTGATTATTTATGTTAATACTGTTTATCCAACTAATTAGTATTATTTATCCAACTGGTTTTTCTTTTTATTATTTTTAAAAATAATAAACTAAGTTAGTTATCCAACTCGTTTGTATTGGTTATCCAATCATTGGTTTATCTTGGATTATCCAATGCGCTAATCTTTGGTTATCCAATGGATTTACATGGTTATCCAAATTGTTTGAACCTGTTATCCACCGTGTTCATACCGGTTATCCAACTCGTGCATCTTGGTTATCCAACTTACCTGGATATCCAACTTATTCTCGCCCATCAAAATTTAGTCATTTTTAAACTCAAAAAATATTCGAAATGGATTTCATTGGATAGATCACGACGAGTACTATAAATTTCATGTATAATTCGTTCACAAATTCTTCACGGATTGGGAGATATGCTCGTTGAAAGATTAGAAATGTTTTTTTGGAAGAGAAGGAAAAAGTCACATGAACTATCCTGCAAATTATAGAAAGATTGATAAAAAACGTACAATAAGGACTACTCGTGCAAAAAATGGGAGGGGGGCACGGTGCCCCCGGGTATACTGGATAATTTGCCCAGTGTGACATTAAATATTTTTTGAAGCAGATTATCTTTCCTTTTTATTTGTTTTTTTCCCTTAAATAGTACTTGTATAGTTTTAGTTTCATTTGACTTTTTCTTTAAAAAAAATTAATTCACAACGCAAATTATACGATATACACATAGAAGTTGAAAAGTAATGGATGATTGACAATGATGGCCAAATTGGCCACATTTTGCCAAACATAAGATATGCAATTATGCACCAAAGCAAAGCCTCAATTCAACTCAATCAGGTCGGCAAAAGATTGCCAAATAAGTACTCCGTATATTTTACAAAAGCACACTACCCACTTGCTTTTTCTCAAGAATACCTTTTGTTTCATCAGATCCATCACATCCGAAACAAATTCAAGAGCTTCAAAGATAGTTTTAGTGCAGTAAAGCTTTCATCTGGGTCATAGGAGCAGAATTAGCCCATCAACCCATAATCAAACTCTGGTAAGTTCGTGTCCCGGATCATATGTTTTTGCTCAACTCTTTTCTAACCTGTGAAATATCGTGCTTCTTTGCTGCCATTATTTATGATTGAGGTTCAATGATCTTATATGCGTATTTGTATTTGTAAACAAACTTGAGGGCCAAACTCGATTTCTGGTGATAAGGCATTATTTTTGCCCAACTCATCACTCACCAGCCCATTGTTTAGTTTGAATTCCTTTTCATGTTCCTTCTAAGTTGAATACATTTTTGTTGTATTTTAAAGCAGAGGAAGCATTCAAGTTTACAACTGCTAGATTTTAGGTGATCTGAACTAAAAATGTCAACTTGGACATCTTCTATCGTATTGAATAAATCATTTTTACTGGATTGTAGTCGACTTAGGAATGGAAGGGATCGTGGGTTGTGTTCTTGTGCTAAAAAGTAGCTTCCTTTATGCGGTATGTGGTTTACGCACTGATTGTTGAAGTTGGATATGTGAATTGCATAAGCTTCAATCTTGCAAGTTCATGCCTGTGAAACTTAGATTCCATACCTAGTATAATTGGATGAATAGAGTAGTACACATTCTTGGCATAATAAAATCTTTATGAGATTAGACGCTGATATGACAGTAGAATAAAAGGCATGATGGCTTATCATGATTTTGGAGGTCTGATTGCTATTAACGGGATGACTGTAGATTGGCAAAATGGAGGAGAGTGTCGCAAACCAGCCGCTGTTGATGGAGTTTAATAATGCTGTCCGAGAAACCAACCAAAAGGTGGGTAACAAATATAGAAGATTCCGCCGATGTAAAAGTGCTCCTCGAGCTGAATATGTTCCTGGAGAAGTGGGTGGAAAAAATCACTCACTTACACCGTCAGAAACCATTTTTGATAAGCTCCATCCAAATTTGAGGAAGGTTGCAATGTTCTTATGTGTCTATATGGTGACAGGTGTCACCTGCTTTTATATTGTGAGGTACCAACTTGAAGGTAAAAAGACTAATGGAATTCTTGATTCTGTTTACTTTTGTATTGTCACTATGACCACTGTTGGGTATGGAGATCTTGTGCCTAATAGTCCAGCCTCAAAACTGCTTGCCTGTGTTTTTGTCTTCTCCGGGATGGCTTTAGTTGGTTTAGTGTTAAGCAAGGCCGCAGATTATCTAGTAGAGAAGCAGGAGGCCTTGTTTGTCAGAGCATTAAACATGCAGCACAAAGCTAGTCCTGCTGAAATTTTCAAGAAAATTGAGACAGAGAAAGTTAGATACAAGTGTATCATAGCATTTATCCTTTTACTGGTGCTAATAGTTAGTGGGACAGTCTTCCTGGTTAGAGTAGAGAAATTAGACCTTGTTGATGCCTTTTATTGCGTGTGTTCTACCATCACAACACTCGGTTATGGGGATAAGAGTTTCTCAACCAAGGCAGGGCGTATTTTCGCGATTTTCTGGATTTTGACAAGTACCATTTGTTTGGCTCAGTTCTTCCTTTACATTGCTGAACTACACAGTGAAAACAAACAGAGGGAACTAGTTAAGAGGTTACTTAGTCGAAGAATGACTATTGTGGATTTGGAGGCAGCCGATCTCGACGATGATGGCCTAGTAGGGTAAGTCTGTCTTTTGCCTACAACTGATTCTTGCAATTCCAAGTTGTCTTGTGCCATGGGCTACATTTTCAGTTTTAGCATTTTTTTGCAAGTCCAAGATGAAGTATTACTTATATGATCTTTTCTTTGTAATAGTGCTGCTGAGTTTGTGATATATAAGCTAAAAGAAATGGGGAAGATCACTGAAGAAGACATCTTGCCGCTGATGGATCAGTTTGAAAATCTTGATGTTGATCAGTCTGGAACTTTGTCCGCGACTGATCTAACGCTTGCTCAAGGGCCCTAAATTGTAAGCTGACCTTGTCCATATATTTTGTTCATACTACTCTTCTTTTTACTAGTGTGTGTTTCTGTGCATGAATCATGATGGATACAGCAAGCTTGACTTCTACTAACTCCTTTTATCACTGTACTGCACTGGTCTAAACTTCCCAGTAGACTTCTCAGTATTTAAAACCTAAACAAACTTGAGATCATTAGGGGGACATTTTTCTTGTTGCATTCTGAAGTTTCGGACTTAGGAGTACAATGTTGCATTAGGAACGTAAAAAGGTTGACTTTGAAATGTACTACTATAAAAGTTGCATTGTATTGGAAACAAATTATCTATAAGAATGAACGGAGCAGTTCTGTTTTGGAAATGTATTCAGATGTGAATGAGCTAGTATTCATTTTCATTCTCCAAGATTATTATCATAATTGTAGTGGAAGTGATTGTGAACTGAGAGCCTGAGAGCAGTACTCTCTTTGACAGTTAAGGCAAAAGCTAAATAATGATACTCCTCCATTTGTCTAAATAATGATTGTATTAGAAAAATTGAACAAATATTAGGACGGTGAGTATTTTACGACCAACAGTTGGGCCTGGACACTACAAATAACAAAGTCTGTCCAACATTTTGCCCAAAACAGATCCATAATGCTTAGCCTAATGATATTGGTTCTTCCGAAACAAATGAAAGATCAGTATGTCTCCAGAAGATCGTACCATTATCTTTTCTGAGTTGAAGCGCTGTGGTGTCTCCTACTACATCTTTTTGTGGACCCTGAGAGCCCAGTGGACCTCAATCCATCAGTTTGACACTCAGTGAGAAGCGGGCCCATGTGGTCTTTTACACGCTGATAATGTATGGAAAGGAGATACACATCCCTTTCATGAAACAGCATCATGTATTACATGATTGGAGCATCATATGTTATCACTTATATGTTTGGATAGTTTTTTTAGCTTGTGTTTTCGGGTGTTTTTTCAATGTAAAAAGGTGTATTGAAAATGTGAAAATCTATGTTGGGATGGAACAATTATTATTATATTATTCTGAAAAAACGAAAGCAAACAGAAATTTTTGAACAAAAGCCAATGCAACTTCGGTTCCAACTGATACGGCACAAATTTTGTTTTTGGTACTAACTTTAGGTTAAACATATTCATTGCTGGTATGAGCATCCATGGGTGGAATGGAAATAAAGAATTTCATGATCAGCAACTCATTTTTCCCACTTTTTAAAAGAAAAATTACGCAGGAAGAGTACTTTTACTCCACCACCATGCTTATTGCCTCTAAATTCCTCAACAGAGGAGCCATTTCTTATAACCATTACCATTAGTACTACTACTGTTGTGGTAGTACTACCCCTATGAATGATGGGGCACGAGAAATAAGTATAAAATTATTACCAGTCAAAATGTCTAAAATGAAAATGATGATGGTTTAAAGACTATCAGAATTAGATTTTGAAGTCAGTGGTCCTAATCCCATCACACATTCACACTACCTTTGGAGTTGTCAATGTCAATCTCGATCGACCTTCGTTTTCAAAACTAACGTAATACCCACGAATGAATGAATCAATGAACTGATGACCAAACTTACCAGAACTCCCAACTCAAAGAATAACCCAAAATGTGAAACAAAGCTCCAATCAGAACACAAATGCAAATTTTTAATTTAGCCTTGATATCATAGAGTTACTAACAGTTAATTCAAGAGTCACAAGAGCTATCATTATCTATATAAAATGAATAATATGATATTTGCTGCAAGTAATGTACAATTCTTTTTTTATTCATGAACATGTCAAATTCTTCCTGAATCCTACAATGTCATGGCATAGCCAAAACTAAAAAAGAGATTCAAAATTCAAAAGGGGAAAAAAATAAGGAAAAAGCAAAGACAAAATACGGAAAATGTTAGGATTGAATGATGCAAAAGTAAGCAAAATTATGTTTACTCGTCATCACTTTTGGCTTTTCCTTTAGCTTTGGCTGCCGCGGCGGCGGCTTCTCGAAGTGCGACTTCATCTTCCTCCTCTGCTTCACCTTCATATACTTCATTGAATTGGGGTTGTAAACTATTCTCCGGCGGCCCAGCCACGAAGTCTAAAATCCCTTCTCCGGCTTTGTCGCCGGAAACCTCCGCATGAGGTGGCGGAGATATCCGGCCAAACACCACGATGGCGGCCAGAAACATAGCCGTGGAGACCAACAGCGGCCAGAAATACTTGACAATATCAATAAAACTTGGGGCGAGGTAAATAAAAAGCCCAATAAAAAGGGTTGAAATGGTTGCAATTAGTATGGGGAACTTGAATTTGAGAAGCTTTTCTGGGAGAGTGTCCATGGCGGAGGAAGAATAATTGGATTGATCCTTTGTGATTGATGGGTCGTTTTGGGGAGAAGGAGTGGGGTTTTATCTTTTTCTTGCAGAGATTCTCTGTGCCGGTAAACTTTCCTTTTTATTTTATTTTAATTTTGTAACTATTTTTTCTATTTTTTTTTTTAAAAAAAGGCCTTTGATTACTGTAAATAATATAATTTTGCTGACTGTACCTCTTGGACTTTGGTCTCCCTAGATTCATCGTCTTTTTTATTATTATTATTTTTATGGAATACTTGATCAGATTTCATTTCCAAATTTACCCATTTACATATGATCATACATCCTCCCCCCCCAGGTTGAAAAGTGAAAACCGGGGAAAGTTTTTTTTACCACTAGTATAATTACACTATTCGGACAAGTTTGGAGATCTTTCAGACGAGATGGAATCAATTGGTGCAAATTATAGATGCTTGTTCCAATGATATAAAATCCAACTCAATCTCAATAAGTCATTTCATCTCAACTTATGTAAGTTCAAATCGACAATTAATTTACTGTTTCTATTAACGTATTTAGACTCAATGGATCCCAAACTACTAACTTCGTCCGGAATGAATAAAAATTGTATTGGTAATTTGTTAACCCCAAGCAACAAGTAACAGGTAAAAAAAAAAAACTTGGTTTTTCAATTTCAACCGAGTCATATGAGGAAGGAAATAATCAAAAAAGTGGGAGAAAATTCATGTGCACATGATAAATTTTATTAGTCTCCTCCCCAATGGTCCTTTCACAGAGAGTGTCGGTTACTTTTTGTTAACGTTAATGTCTTTTAGCGCTGAACTAAAAAAGCTTCTTTTTTTTTATATTTTTTTGGAATTTTGTGGTGTCATTTTTTGGATTAAAATTTAGATCTACCTCGAAAGCCAGTGTTGGCAAATCTAATTTGGGGGCCAGATAATTTACTAATCAAATGTTCATCATGAAAACTGAAAAAGAATTATTCCATTCCATTTATAATAGAGCTCTCTTTTGATTGCGCCCATATTAAACTCTAATCGTTACTAACCTAATATGAGAATGACAGATTTCGAAGTCAAAAGTCCCCCTTTCACGTATTGTATCCTTTAGTTTTGGCTACAAATGAAGTTGATGTGGTTTTTTTTTTTTTTTTTGGGTAGAGGTAATCTATAAACTTCTAAGTTCATTATTTTCTTTGTCATATTTATTCGAACGGATCTAAAATTCCTATAATAAATGATCTATAGTATTATACTAAGGGAGAAACTATAAATAGAAACTAAACTTAACTTTTATAATGACACATCAGCAAAAATCCTATGTGTCACTTTTTAGAGCCATCTTTAAAAAAAAATTATTGAAATTACGTTCAATCACTCTAATTTCATATACTCCTTCTGTCCCAAAATTATTGTCCAGTTTCAGTTTTCACTTTTAGTACAATTTGAACTAGAAATAAAAATCTAAACTGGACAATACTTATGGGACGGAGGGAGTACTTAAGTAAACTATAAAATCATGATAAATTAACATTTATCAACATTTACAATAAAATTAAACTGATTGGTTTTCCTCATAATAAATATAGGATAAGGTCCAAATCAAGAATTAACAATGTGCCTGGTACGTGGGTTTCAATTCTTTTCTATGGGTTTCACCCTCTTTCATTCCAAAAAAATTATGCTTGGTTCAGTTTTACGAGCCCACTTCTTTCATTCTTTGAGCAAGGTTTCATTCCACATCAAAAAGATGGGTTTCGCTTGGTTTTGGCCTAATTAAACAATAAACCTCTATTTTTTCTTTTCTTCCCTTCATCTGTCCCTCCTCTTCTCTCTCTCTATCATATTATCTTCTCCAGACCACACACCATAAGCATTTTTTTTTTCCAACGCAACCCTTCTATTTTTTTCTATTCATTTTTTCTCTGTGAAACCATGTTTCATTTCCTCCATGGCCGTCATCAACATAACAAGTTCCAATTATCTTTCTTTCTTTTTTTTTCTTTTTCTTTTTTTTTTTTTTCCGAGAGAGAATCACTTCTGGAATCAATTGAAATTAATTTAAATATAATTGTAAGCTTCGGGTCTTATTGTTAGACATAAGTTCGTGCCATTCTATTACCGATCTGGTCGTTTGTATCGGAAAATTAGTCGGAGACTTGAAGTCATAAATATCTATGTTATTAGTTAAATTACTACATATTTATCCCAGATCTATTTTTCTACTGAAGAATTTCTGCCATGTCGTGAGAATTGTTGCGATTGTAAACTTCCGATTTGCTGCGATTGTAGACATCCGAGTTTTGGAAATTTGGTCAAATTGGTGTAAACAGAAGCGGTGGCTCCTCCTAAGAGGAGGATTTGTGAGGTGGTGGTCGGGGTGTCCGTTAATGACTGGGAGATGGAGATCACTTTTGTTTGTAAGAGAGATAAAGATGTAATTTCAAGTCATTTCTAGATTCACAATACATCCGAACCAAGCAGCTAAAAAGAAGATTTCATACCCATCCATCAAACCTTGGTCTATGAATCCTCCAGACTATCATAGCCATTTAATCGAACCAGACACTTCGCAACATATAATTAGGTATCAATTGAGGGAAGCATGACCAATACCCTTCGTACAAATAAACTAATACTATATCTATGCATCATCTCCTCAAAAAATGTACTCTCTCCTCTGTCTCGGAAAAATAGTCTAATTTGAAAATGTACAACTTTTTTAATTTGATCAACACACCAAATGTACAACTCATTTTATGCCCCTAACTTCCACTAATGCCCCTTTTAGTTATTTCTATAAATGTTAACTACATATGCATTTATTTTACAACTTAAATTTGATAAAAAATTGTATCTAAAAAATATTGACAATGGATCTTGATGGAAAGATCTCGTTACGTAGATCAATTTGATATATAACGCATTTTTTAATTATTCATATATTAAAAGATATAATCATTTGAAAAAATGTGAGAAAACTTTAAAAAAAATGAAAATCAAAGGAAGTGGACCTTGTTTTCCTTACCACTACTCTTTTGGATATTTAAGTCATTTCAAATTAAATAAATTTTGACTTTTGTAAAACTGGACTATTTTTTAGGACAAACTTTTTTTATTAAATTGGACTATTTTTGTGGGACGGGGGAAGTATTAGATTTGACGAACTTTTGCGGGTTAGATGTTGAAAAGTTATCAAATAAAAAATCTCACCAACTATTAGTTCAAGGGTATGGAAATATATTTTTGTTGTTGATGAAATTTTTATCTGATGAATACCTTTTTCTTTCGTATAGCAAATTAATTTACTGTGTTTATTCTCAAATTTTGTTAACATAATTTTTGACACATATTGAATGTATGTGGCTGGTATTTCAGTGACGAGCTCGGTGTCTCCTGTCGTAATAGCACAAAATCAATATTTACATGCACGTTCCTCCCCTCCAGCGATGAAGAAATATAAAACAAACAAAAGTGTTTGAAAGAACGCTTATTTTCTATAATTTTAACTTTTGCTTTATTTTGGAAGTAAACGAGTCGAGAAGCGGCTGCTAAATTGGATTGTTATTGCTCATTTTCTTCGCATGAAAAGTTAATTAGAGAAACTACTATTAATTAGTGTTTTAGTTTTTTTTTAAAAAAAAAAAGTATTTGGAATGTTCCAATTAGCAGATAGTATTTTGACAAACCTCGGCAGGTATATTATATTCAGATTTTTCTGAGTGAAAAATATAAAAAACAAACACTAGTATTGCACAACACTTTGTTCAATGAAGAATGTGTTATAACAATGAGAGAGAATTAGAAATAGAGAATGAGTTCTTGCAACGATAAGGAAATAGAAACGGAGGATCGATTCTCCTAGCGCCTTGAATTTTAATTTTTTTATTATATAGTTTGCTCTTTCAAGATTAAATTTCAGCTGTTTATGACTCTTTATTGAATTTTCATTGGAGAAAAAATAGCGATTTTTCTTTAAGGAGCATCAATTTCTAAACATGAGAGAAGAGGTATTTACCATCTCTATATTTTGAATCCAGATTTTTTTAATTGATTTTCACAAAATCAAGGGTTCTGTTTAATTTGGATGATGTCCTATCCAAAAATGATGAAAGAATAACAAAATTTTCAAATGAAGCAACAAACATTTAATCATAAAAGTATACGAGAATTATTTATTTATAGTTATATATAATTGAGAAACCAGCGAAAGTGGTTAATATTTCCTAGAGTGACACATAGAATTCGGCACTATTTTATTAATCCAAAAATAACTAACTTTGTGTAATATCAAACAAAGTCTTCATAAGTATACATATTAAGAAATTGGCCAAATAAAATTAGTTTTGCACTAAAAATTTATATTGATATTTTTTTAAAAAATAAATACATTACAATGACAATATGCATTTATTTACTAGAAAAATGGTCCAACATTTCGATCTTGGTACCACTTTTAATATTTTGATTCTATGTGTAAATATATAGATAAATTATTTATGTATCGCATTTTACTTTATTCAAAATCTTAATAATTAATAGTATTTTTCAAAATCTATACATATGTGACACACGTTTTTATATTGTATAAAAAAACTCCAAAAAATGTAACATACTCTACACATTGTGAGGGTTTAACATCTGGTTTATCTCTATTATATTTATACCTTCGGATTGTTACTTTATTATATACTATTAGTTTCCAAAGTATAAATAAGATAGTTATTTTCCTAAAAAAACAGACTAGATTACGTATATTATCCTAATTAAAATATATCTTGTAAGTTTGAGAGATTGATTAAAATTGACATTTAAAAAATTAAGGAATTAAAAAGAATACACTAATTTTAAAAATTTTCTTGATAAATTTAATTATGTCTTGTAATAAGGACACAAAGACACGAGGATTAAACAAACGAAAAATTATTGGGTATAGATATTGTATGTTGGTTTTTAGTGCAGTAAGTACTAACACCCCTATTTTGGTGATATAACTCCCGTATAAATTATCTCTCCTAAAATTACTACTTTGCCCATATTATTGTGGTTGGCTGCACAATTATGAATAATTTCTCTAAACAAACACCACGTAAAATGCTAAAGCAAAACGTTTTTACAAAGCACAGCTACGTTTTCGGGAAAACTCGTAACTAAGGTAAAAGACGCAACATTACCTCTTTTAAGTTACACGTCTTCCAAGGTGGCGGTTTAAGTGTTTAATGGAGGCGAAGTAAGAAAATCCGCCGACCTAAATTTGAACCGCCGTAGGCCATGGTGGCGCCTCCGAGAGCAACCGGCGCCATCGCCATTTCGCTCTCACTAACCATTCTATCTTACTTCCTCTACCATAAAAGTCGATCGAAGTCTACTTCTCGAAAAACCCACAAAACCCTTTCAGTGGAAAAAGCTAGGAAAGGGCTGGTGGCAGCGATTGGAAACACCCCTTTGATTAGGATCAATAGCCTTTCCGATGTCACTGGCTGCGAGGTCAGTATTTATCGCCATATTCATTTAGAAATATCTGTTTGATTTTTGTTTAATCTACTTAAATTTGTTATTTATTAGCTGACGGTAGTTATGTGTTACTATTGTTCTAGATTCTTGGCAAAGCTGAGTTTTTGAATCCTGGAGGGAGTGTGAAAGATAGGGTGGCAGTAAAGATTATTGAGGAGGTGAGTTAATTTGAAATATCATATGGATTATGTTGCTTATTGATGTGAAGTTTAAACTTGTGTCGCCTGTAAAGCTTTAGTTGGTTGTTTATCTTCTAGAATTTCCAGTGAATAGCATGTAATATTATTGAACTGGTTTAGTTCTAAGCTTTCGTACTTCTTGTTTTGTCTTTACATAGAATTGAGCATAGTATTAAGCTAAATAAACGATGCAATTCAAGAATTAATCTTTCACAATATAAATTATCTGGTTAATTGAGACGTGTGAACCTTTTTCTCCCTGTAGGCACTGGAATCAGGAGCACTTGCTCAAGGTGGTGTAATTACTGAAGGAAGTGCTGGAAGCACTGCCATTAGTCTTGCAACCGTAGCTCCTGCATATGGGTGCAAATGCCATGTAGTCATCCCAGACGATGTTGCCATTGAGAAGGTATGAAAGTGGATAAGAAATTGTGTGTTTGTTTTTGGATCCACACTTGAACAAGAGTATTTTTTTTCCATTGATTGGGAGGTATCAGCTGAACTGATGCTTGTAAATGTTGGTGGTCCACTGGGAAACCATCTAACAGTGCTGGTCCTGGAATTAGGCATCGTTTACTAGTTCTCTTAATCTCAATCTGGAAAATGTGAGATGCTGAGACCATTCTTTAATCTCTTTCCTGGCTGACTAAGGAAAACTTTGAATGGCTGGTCTGCAAATGTGCACAATTTACATATCACACAGTGGCCCTGGCAACAGGGCCTGATACATGTAGTATAGTTGTTTCTTCCACCAATTGGGTGGCCAAGTTCTTACTACATTTTATGATATTTTGGGATATTATTTAATACATAATGAGTTTACTGCCATATTTTTCACCCTCTTTAAATCTTAAACTATGCAACTTTAAGTTGTAACCGACCACTTCCTTTTTTACTTTCAGTCTCAAATCCTGGAAGCTCTTGGTGCTACAGTTGAAAGGGTGAGACCTGTTTCCATTACTCATAGAGACCACTATGTCAACATTGCAAGGAGGAGGGCTCTTGAAGCAAATGAATTAGCATTAAAGCATGGTGAGGGCAAGCAGAATGAATCCCCAGATGTAACACTAGTAAATGGATACGACTGCAATGGGGAAAAACAAAGTACAAAATTTGCCAGCGACTGTAAAGGTGGATTTTTTGCAGATCAATTTGAAAACCTTGCTAATTTCAGAGCCCACTATGAGGGTACCGGTCCTGAAATATGGGAACAGACTGGAGGCAAGTTGGATGCTTTTATTGCAGCAGCAGGCACTGGAGGAACAGTGGCTGGTGTTTCACGCTTTCTCAAGGTTGGTTCCTCTTCCTTTAGGATTCTGCAGTTATAATTAGGTTTCTTCCTATTGTTATGAACTCATTGGTAAGTGTTTCACAGGAAAAGAACACCAAGGTCAGGTGTTTCCTCATAGACCCACCCGGTTCGGGTTTATACAACAAGGTAACAAGAGGAGTAATGTACACGAGGGAAGAGGCTGAAGGACGGAGGTTAAAAAATCCATTTGATACTATTACAGAAGGGATTGGAATTAACAGACTGACCGAAAATTTCAAGCTGGCAGAACTTGATGGGGCTATACGAGGCACTGACTTGGAGTCTGTTGAAATGTCTAGGTTCAGACTTCAGACTCTTATGCTTCTTCATAACCTACACCATTTTGATTCAGAACAGTCATGCTAAACATATTAATTTTACCTATTAGGGTTACAATTAATGCATGCTTTTGTCTAAGGAACTGCTCTTTTTCTCAGTCACTTTCCCTTTTGGTAGATGTCATCTTTATATGACAAAACAAGTTTGGCATTCTGTCAACATAGTATGAAGTCTTTGTAGGATGGACGTCTTTGCATGTCCTGTTTCTTTATAATATTATTTGTATGTATAAACATGATAATGTACTCATGTAGCTACGTTTAAACAAGCTTATGTGCAGTTAGAGTTGCATTTCTAACACTTTTGTGTTTCTCTTTCTTCATCAGGTATCTACTGAAGAATGATGGCCTTTTTGTTGGGAGTTCTTCCGCTATGAATTGTGTTGGAGCTGTAAGAGTAGCTCGAGCTATGGGTCCTGGTCACACCATTGTAACAATTCTTTGTGATAGTGGAATGAGGCATCTAAGCAAGTTCTATGATGCCCAATATCTTTCAGAACATGGCCTGGCGCCTTCGGCTTTAAGATTGGAATTTTTAGGTGACGCATAAAATTTTGGTCTTATCAACTGCGATGTTTGAATTTGAGATCCAGATACTGTTTTCTTACCCTTTACAGTGGATTAACAGTAGTCACAAAACTAATTTAACACCCAGAAATGAAAGAACACTGTACCATCACATAAAGAAAATGTAATTGGTATGATCAACAGTGGCTGTGCGCAATTTATTCCTGGGAAAGCATTGCTCACTCTTAACCGGCTCCTGTATCGAGCAAGGAGCGAGAAATTCTTTGCAATGCAAAAGTGATTTGGTATTTTGTAATCCGAATGAATCCAATACAGCTTTAATAGAGAGGCAGCAATCAAACTAGGGAAAATTCCACTGACGGGCTTTTTATTAGACGTATTTAAACCTCCATACATGATTGTAATGCCAATTTATTTCGCCAAGAAAATTTGTAATACTAAAGCTCCAAATGTGTTCAGGAGGAAAACTACTGTAAGATCGCATAAATCTCAAAAACAGTACACCCACAGAGAGGATAATTACGCTACAGGCTTATTACTGCCCCAAGTTATGAGCAGGTAGCATAGAATGCAGATGACAAAAAAGTAATCAAAGGCGTCTCTTCTCAAACTGAGATTCGTGACAATGGGGATCTAGCCATTCTCTTGGAGAACTTTTTGATGGGTTTACAGGCATTTTTCCGCCACCTACAAGTTCTCTCAGATTGTCCACCTTATCTTCACGCCCAGCCCCGCCAAATTTCCGATCAGCTTCCTTAAGTTTCTGTTTGAATCTCTGCTTCCGGTTAGTATGACTCGGCTCTTGCTGCTTGGACTGTGAGGGAGGAGCACCGTGAGGTCCAAGATATATGTTCTCTTCCTTCTTAGCCTGCGGAAGTGTAAGGAGCAAAAGAGGTCAGTCTTCGTTCAAGCATCTGCAACTCAAAGATGTAAAGGACATTAGTATCAGGTTGAGCAGTAAACTGAACACTCCACAGGCAACTTCCATACAAAGAAAAGAATTTCATAAAAAGAGTTGACTAAAATCAATTCGCTTGTCACAACATATTTCTCGCAGCTGACCTTTACTGAAATGCTAGGATCTTCTACTTCCGGAGGGTCTGGTTTCTCCTGGCCCGAATCTCCAATCCCCAAGCTTGGAATTACAAATCCATCAGTGTCTGGCCAAAGAAAGAGACCTAACTTTTAGCATACAAACATAAGAAGGCAAAAGAGCTTTTGATTTTAAGAGGACCGACACAACAGTGATAATGTGCAGCCTATATGACTCCATAAATCTAAATTACAGAGCGTCAATTCTTGTAACAAAATTGCTATAATATCATCGTGAAAATTCCTCATTTCATACACACTACATCTATCTCGTTCAACGCCTAAACAGCGGTCTGCAACTTCCAATCAACCAATGATACTGAGCCCAGCGACAATGCAGAAGCGTCATTAACTAACAACCAAAACTATTCCTTAATTTATTTTTATTTTTTTATCTTGTTACAAACTCCCAAGGAATTTCGACGTTTTACTTCAATTTCACACCTTAATTCACAGTTGCTAGTACTTTACAGATAACGGGCCAACATAGGTATAAGCAACAAAATGTTCTATTGTAAAACCTATTCTGTTGAATCACAGGTAACTATCTGTGATACCTAGAACAATCGTCCTAAAACAACCTTCATCGTATTAGGCTTAAGTATTAAACAGACTGCAATCATGAAAGCTTAATAACAAATGGACTAGTCCATCACTGCATTAGTTCAGAAACTGACAGGCAATCAACAACCAACTTCAGATTAAAGGGAGAAAAAAGTGTTCCATTGACTATAATAGAGAACACATCAAAAAGTGAAAAAGAAAAACAAGCCAGTAATAATGGATTTTACATCAATACTTCAACTTTTAACACAAATTTCCAAGTATATCATTCCGAAATAACCCGCTGAGCTGGGGTAACACACAATCGATTATCAGAAACCATCAACAAATTTGAATAAAGGGCAAAGGACCCCAAGTAAAACAAGAGCGAAACACCAAACAAGATATCTACTTACACCAACGTATAAACTACCCAATTTACCAAACAGAATAAGAATCCAGAACATATCATCAATTATCACGACCCAATCGATCAATTTGATCGAATGAAAAACGCCCAAGTAGGGAAATTGACATTTGCATCAAGATTTCACTTCCCAACACATGTTCCCAAGTAGAAGTATATAAATTCACTAAATCTAATTTTAAAAAATGGAAAATGGGGGAAAGGGAGTTCAAATTACCCCACTCGTCTTCTTCAATGGCAGGAGTGATTTGCACTGGAGATGGGTCCATAGAGTGCAGCAGCTGATCATGGATTTTGAGTTGGACCAAAGATGAACTCTTGATTGATATTTTCAAAAAACCTAAACAAGTCAATTCTCTTAGCAAGAATCAGAATAAAGTTGAGCCCTTTATCGAGAGGACACGCAGAATTGCTTGTGATATTTGAACTGTGTGATGTGAGTATATCGCAGTAAAGCAATCAAACAAATATAGTGAAGAAGAATAAACTCAGGTTCAAACCCTAACAATCTCTCTCAATTCTTCCTCCCCTTTTTCTTTCTGTTTTTTTTTTCTTTTTTTTTTTTTCCGAATACAAAAAGCTCGCCTGACACGTGGTGACTAGGTGCCATGTCATTAAAAACATTTCCACCATTTTTTGCTTTTCTTTTGTTTATCTGCAATTCCCCTTAAATTTGAAGTACGTTAATTCTCAATTCTTGATAAAAATACAAATAAAAAGTAATTTTATAGGCAACAGGTGATAGTTAAAATGCGAAAGAATGCGTGCATATAAAAATCGAATATTGAATTTTTATTGACTAAAAATTTCGATTCCAAGCAAAATATATATAATATATATATTGCATATTTGCAGGGTGTCCACAGTGACTAATACCCTATGTTACGCTGAATTGTAGGCACCCACAGTGACTAATCTCTCACGCTGGGTTGAATTCTAGGTACCTCACTGAATTATAGGTACCCGCAGTGACTAATCTCCTACGATGGGTTGAATTCTAAGTACCTCAATGAGTGGGACAGTTGGATAAAGGTTGTTCTATATTCATGTCGAGGTTCAAACCCTCGACCTATGGTTACGGGTGGAAAAGTCCCTTCTACTCTACCACAATCACTTTGATTAAAATAGTTGAATTTATAAATGATAAAAGACATAAGTTACCCACATTATGAACCAAGTTAGCAGCATACATGATACATTCCTTTTATGCAAACAAGATATTGTAAGTTTGTAACATCTCAAGATAGATTTCCAATTTACTTTTAATAAGTATATTAAATTCCTTTGTCATTATTAAACCATTTAAAGAATCATCTCCATCCACATCATAAGTTCATGTAAAATTCTGATATGCTCAAGTATAAAACTATACAATCAATATTAAATTCAAAAATCTCATTTAAAGTGCGGGCTTCTGAGTCAGAGGAACTAAAATTTACTCTTTCAAAACCAATTGAAATTCCATATTTTTAAGGTTAAATTATGTCAAAATACGTTATCCCTAAAATGTTATTTGTGTCCTTTATAATATTTCCTTTGTTCCAAATTAAAAGAAAACCAGTAAATTTTAAAATCTGTATAGAAATCGATGTGAATTAGACAGAGGGAATATTATTATTAATAAATAGTAAATAAGTTAATGAGAGGTAATAGAAAAATCAAAAAGAAAAACAGGAAATTGATATTGCATGAGCTCATCATCAAAGGACTCACTTCACTCCTAATGCAGGTGCGCATCGATCCGAGCCGAAACCCCCGAATATGAAATCGTGACCGTCCATTCAAAGATGCCGAATCACAGCCGTCAAATTGAATTGGGAGTTTGAAATACCGCCCAGTGTCCATGACATTCCAATCCGACATGGCAATAAAAATGCATTTAAAATCCGCAACTCAAGTCCGCAGTATAAATCCACATCGCCAAAAAAATGAGTGCTCCCCTCACTCTGAGGTTCCATTTCCAAGTGTGAATTCGTTGAATTTAGAGAGAGAAAGTTAAAAAAAAAAAAAAATTTTATCCAGCGCTCTTTCGAACCGGAGCTCCCCGAATTTCACTGTAAGTTCTTTACTACAGATTCTCTTTCTGGTTGAATTTGTTCTTTCGTTCAAGCTTTAATTTCGTGTTGAAAATTTGCTGCTCCTGTTGTTGTATTTGCGCCGGTTCTCTGTTATTTCTCCCTGAATTTTCGTCGGTGTAGAGTTTACATGCTGCGTAGCTTTAGGGTTTGCCTCAGCTCAATTGGGGGAAATTTGTGAACTTTTGAAAAGATTGGTTAGAGAAGAGTTAAAATTGTGTGATTTTCTGTGCTTTTGTTTATGATTAAGGAAGGTTGTGGTAAGGTTTATAGATCTTGGAGTTTTCACTGGTTATTCATGAGCAAGGACATTCACCTGGAGAGCATTCTGTTGATAAGATTGTTCCTGGTCTGTTGTGAATTTTTTTGTCTTTTAATTCTTCCGTTTCCCTATCAAGCTTATTTATATTACGAGTCTTTGGTGTTTTCTACTTGATTTGCAATTTACAGTTACTTTTCTTGTGTGTTCTTTTCCTGTTACTCCCAAATCACCGTTTATTTTGAGTAAAGTCTCCATTTTTAAGTTTTGGTTATTTCTTCTTAATTTCTGAAGAAATGGGAGGGGAAGAAACAGTGTCAGAGGTGCCTGAGGCTACAGCCAATGGCGAAGCTTCAAAAACGGAAAAGAAGGAAACCACAATAGAAGAGGAAGTAAAAGGGAAAGAAACTGTAGAGGAAGAGGATAAGAAAGATGATGCTAAGGTTGATCCCCAACCCATGGATGTAGACAAAGATGACAACAAAGAGGGCGACGAGTCAAAGGCCGAGGTTGAAGAACCTAAGAAACAAGTTGAGGAAGAAGGAAAGGAAAACAAAGTGGAAGAGGGCAAGGAAGAAAAGAAGGGTGATGAAATGAAAGAGGACAAAGATGCTAAATCCGAGGAAAACAATGAAAATAAGGTTGAAGCCAATGCTGATGAAGGGAAAGACATAAAGGATGATACCGATGAAAAGAAAGAGGAAAAGGAAGCCACAGTTGAAGAAGAGGAGAAAAAGGAAGACACTGATGGGGTCCAAGAGGAAAAGACAGATACAGATGAAGTAATGGAGGAAAAGGAAGGTGCAGATGAAGACCCAGAAGACAAGAAATCTGCGGATGAGGCTGAAGACCAAAAGGAAGATGCTGATGAGGTTAAAGAAGATAAGGAAGATGCGGATGTCGTAATGGAGGAAAAGAAAGATACAGAAGATGTCAAGGAGGAAAAAGAAGAGGTCAAAGAGCCGAAAAACACAAAGAAACGTTCAAAGAGAACTAGTTCGGCTGAGAGAAGCAAAGACAAGAAAAAGGAAGTTGAAAAGAAAAAGGAGGAGCCCAAAACTCCAGTTGCTCCTTTGATTGACCGCCCTGTTCGCGAGCGTAAATCAGTCGAAAGGCTTGTTGCTGCTATTGAAAATGATGCGAACAAGGAATTTCGTATTGAAAAGGTGCTTAGTACTGCTCTCACATTTGTGTAAATGTTTCTCCGTTGTTATTTGGTTCTTGAGTTAAAGACTTTGTTTGTTACATTATGTTTTTGCAGGGTCGTGGAACTGCTCTTAAAGATATCCCTAATGGTACCTCTTCTTTACTTGCCAAACTGCCATTATTATGAACTCAGTTTTCATCTACTTTTTGATCGTCTCACTTTGCTGTAGCCTTCTATTTCCTGGTTGGACTGCTTAATCTGCATTCTGTGGTATGCCTAGCTTTATGTTTGAGCACAAGAGTTCTACTTTATATCTGAATGATACATTTTTTTTCCCCAGTGGCCCAAAAGTTATCAAGGAAGAAGAGTGAGGAAACTTTGAAGTTGATGCACACAATCCTTTTTGGGAGGAGGGGCAAGGTGATATTGGAATTTTACTTGTTTGTGATATTGTCAGTTTTAGTTTTCCCCTTGTCAGACCTTTGCACTCTTTGGCTCTTCTCTGCTTCATTGTGTGGGTGTTTGTAAGACATCTAGGTGGCCCTTTTGATGATCCATTTTCTCCAGCAGCAGGTTTGCATGCATATGAATATCTGTGTCTAAGACCATAGCGGTCTGTTTGATGATTAGTAGCCCCCAATAAATGGGATGTGTATGACACTGAATAAATTTGTTCAGTTGACTTCCATATGTTTGTTTACATGGTTTCAAAAGGGGGCTATCCATTGTTGCCTAAGATACAACCATTTTACAAGATTACTTGTTATAACATGCGAGCTGATAGAGATTATTATGAGACTGTTCTTTCAGCCATTTGTTACTATAGTTTTGAAAACTGAACCTGGCTACTTGTGTTATGTGGAGGATGGAGCAAAGTAAATTTTCCTCGTCGCATTTTACTCTGCTTCCCTTTTGAAAAATGTTGGCTAACGAATAGTTTCTTTTTCCAAATCCAACCACAAAAGGCCAGCCCCCAAACAAACACCCCCCAACACCACACACCACCACCACCACCACCAAATACGCACACCCTCACCAAAGAAAGATTTTCCTCGAGTGGAATGTGTTTTGGAATTGATGATGTTAAAATTGTTGCTGATTTATGACTTTCTGTAACTTCATTACTTCACTAATGCAGGCAACACAGATCAAGAGTAATATTTCACGCTTTTCAGGGTTTGTGTGGCATGAGAATGAGGTGAGGCATCATTTGTTTTGTTTTTGTGTGAAAGAATAAATGAACCTTTTTTAACTTCATTTATGGTTTCAGGAAAAGCAAAAGCTAAAAGTGAAAGAAAAATTAGACAAGTGTGTTAAAGAGAAATTGGTGGAGTTTTGCGAAATTCTTGATATATCTGTTTCAAGAGCAAATACCAGGAAGGTTGGTACTATATTCCTTGATGCTTTTGTCTTGAATCTTTTGCTCATATTTGTGCAATGCTAACATAATGGTCTCCATGGTTGCAACATTTAAGTGATTCATAAGTGTGTTGCCTTTGGTGCAGGAAGACATTGTTGTAAAGTTAATGGAGTTTTTGGAGGCACCCCATGCTACAACTACTGAGACGCCGGATGAGAAAGAACTGGTTCGATATTTCTTTCACTTATAGATGTCTTCTTAATCATTCAGGATGATCTTGCTTCCTTTTATTATTATTATTATTATTATTTAAATGTTTCTGTCTGTCTTCTGTATTTTGATCAGTCAAGTAAGGGAAAGAAGCGTCAGAGATCAAGTAGTAGTGGTGGGTCAGCAAGTACACCTTCTAGAGGTTCATCTAAGGTATCTGCTATCTATTTACCTTTAGAAGAATCAAGCTTGCATATTTACACTTAAAGTTTGCTGCTTATGCTGCTGTATGGGGATTGGGGAACATTAAGATTGCTCACTGGTTGTAAATTCCGTGAGCGTGAGTTCATTGTCGTGAGATAATGGCATTACATTCCGGCTGTCAGAAAGACTGCAACATGCGTTGTTAATTACTCGGTCCGCTTTTGAACATTGGGTTTGGCCCTTAGCGTTTCCATTTCAACAATAAGCTGTCATACCTTTAAGGCTGTAATCTTGGTATGCAGCATCTTAGCCATTTTGGGAGTTAAGATCGGATGTGGCTATCTTGCCATGTGTCGGTGCAGAAGTGGGCTGTAATTTTGACTTTTATAGAATATGGAGCTCAGAACATTATACTTGCAGGTTTCAATAATTGAAAAGCGCGGCATGGTGGAAGTAAAAATGAGCCCACTAACTGAGGCCTTTGCTTAGTAAAATGTTGCTCCAGCATGTGAATTCTTTTAGAGCGTGACGCTCATGAATTTCTTTGTTGGGTATATGGTTGTACTGTGTTTTTTTTTATGTTCTGTTCTATAGGTTTTCATGATTTAAGTCATGAACCTGCCAAGTTTTGAATAACCGGTGAAGAAATTTTGCCGTCTTAGTCGGAAAATTTAGTACTTGAGAGAGCACAGATAGAGCCTATTCTTTTTGGATCAGTTAAAGAGCTATGAGATGCCTCTTAACAGAAATATCAGAATCAGATAGGCAAGCTTGTTTTATTCTTTCTTTCTTGTATCTTGTAGAGTCGAAAGAAAACAGACGGTGCATCTGCTAGACATGAGGAGAAAAAGAATTCTGCCGAATCAGAAGCCGAATCTGAAGGAGTAGAGGAAGAAGAAGTGGTGCAAGAGGAAGCAGATAAGGAGAATGCTAATGGTCTTCCTGAAAAATCAGATGATGAGATGTCTGATAAAGCTGAAACTGAGAAGGAAAATGAATCTGAAACAGATTCTGAGGTGGAGAAAGAAGAGAAGAAACCTGTTTCGAAAAAGGCATCTACAAAGAAGGAATCTGCTGGTAATTCGAAAAGTAAAAAAGTTGTTACCCCAAAGAAATCCACCGCACCTTCCAAATCCACCCCGGTTTCCAAATCCACCCCTTCAAAATCAACACCGAGCCGCTCAAAAGCCACTCAGAAGACTGTTTCCAGTGCAAAGGGGACCTCAGGGAAGAAGAAAACCGAAGTAGAAGCCAAGGTGAAGCCATCAACGCCGAAGAAGTCTGCTTCGAAGGAGAGTACTGGTTAGACTCTATTTTACTCCTTTGGATTGTTTTTTTCTCACTAGATTTTTGAAGCCTTTGCTGCTCTTTTCCTGTCGTTGGTAGATACTGTGATGATTAATATCATCTCATTATTTTCAATAGCTCTGGAGCCAGAGCTGCAATTGCTGTTTACGTTTGTTCTTTTACAAACCTGTTGGTTTACGACCGAACGAGAGATATTGACCATTGATGAAAGTGCCCCTTCTTTTTATTTTTTTTGTGCATGACATCTGATCTTGGCACAATCAGAATCAGGGTTTTATAGGGCCTCAATTTTCTTGCCCTAGCAGCCGCCAGGAAATTCACAAACTTGTGCTGTAAAAATTAATCATTGCTTCGCAAAATGTCCTGTTTTTAACTTTTTTTTATCCGCACACAGGAAAGAAGAGTGAGAAAAAAGGGAAGGAGAAGCCTAAAGATGATAAATCCAAACCAACTGATGATGATCTGAGAAACGCAATATGTGAAATTCTGAAAGAAGTAGACTTCAACACGGTTAGAAGACATACTGTTTGACAGTTTAAAGCGATCTTTTTATTCTTGTGCTTTATCGGATCTGATTTGTTTTAATTGTGCAGGCTACCTTCACCGACATTCTGAAGCAACTTGGTATGGGTCTATAACTCAAATTTTCATAACTGAGGCTTCTCATGATATGCTAGCTTCGCACTTATGTTGACATTGTGTTGTCTGTGAGTTTCAGCGGAGCGGTTCAAGACAGATCTCGCGCCGAGAAAGTCAAGCATCAAGCTCATGATCCAGGACGAACTTACGAAGCTAGCCGACGAGGGAGATGATGAGGAAGAAGAGCCTGAAGGTGAGAAAGACAATAGACAGACTTCCAGCCAAGACGTGAAGGCCTAAGAATCTAGATAGGGAGGAAATGACCACAGAGAATTATAATGTAGCCTTTTTGGTGACTGACTGTTAAATTTGTTGCATGTTGTTATCTGGAGACCTGATTGGGATAACTTAGCGGTACTTTATGTGTTAGAGTTAGTCTGCACAGGCAATGAATGGTGTATCTGCCCTTGGCTTCTGCGCATATGGCAGTTTGTTCATGTACACACACACATATCCTTTGTTAGGACTTCTGTTTCTGTGGTTTTGTTGTGGTAGCTAGCTAGATGACCTTCAGTCAGTTGCATTATCAGATGGATTATTATCTTTCTTTGTATCAGTAAAGTGTAATTGCCGATTTAAAACTCTTTTCTTTTTTTGTTTTTCTATTATACATTCATCGAGTTTGCACTTCCATAACCTCAATAGGTTGTATTTGTGACTGATCACTATGGTTAACGCCTAATTTTTTCATAGCCCAAATTTGTGTTTCGCATTAAAGTTTGAACGGTAGAAGCACCAACATGATCTGCCCTAGCTTACGTGATGCCTGCTCTTTTAAGTTTTAACAAAGGGCTATGGAAATGGAACCGGTTGAATTGCATCTGATTTCAGTCAAATGTGCCGTGAGTGAAGAAGAACAAAACACCATATCCTTCTATTGATGTTTGAAATACCCCGAAACAGAAGACAGGCCTCTCAAACTTGGGGAGAAGTCGATTCCCCCAATCCCATAACTACGTGGAAGGACAGATGATCATTCAATCTTTATCTTCTGAAAGTCAGTCAAGTTCCCAAGGGTCCACCATTTTTATAGTGACTTTGTATCATGGGTGTTACTTTTTTGGTTTGTGCTCGCATGTGCTTGTTAGTAAGCATCACTAATGATAAAGAAAGCATAATATTAGTAAACAAAATCTCTCCAAACTTTTGGCTCACTAGTCATTAAGACACTTGTAACTTCAACTAATTTAATTAGTTACACGTACTCTCACTCTACTATTTGGACACCAAACATCCTAAACTAAAACCCATATTAAAAATTTGAAAGAAAAAAGAAATCAAGAATGACACCAATGCATCATGTTACAATCTGCAAAATTGAGTTTGAAACAGTTCAATCTTCTTTCATTGAATCAAATTTCTGTTCATGATCCAAAAGAGCTGATAGATCTGAAATGGAAATAGTTAATTACAAGTAAAGTAAGCAACTTTCTTGAAAGCTAGGAAGAAACAAAAAACCATAAACTACCTTCCCTAGCTGAAATCCCACGACTTTCATGCTATCCTTTTCTATATTCTACAGGGTGAATCATCTCAGAAAACAAATGGATAACTAGGCATACTTCCAAGTTCCAATACTTGCAAATCATTTCTGACTTGAACAAAAGACCAAAACATTAACCCCAAGTCCAAGTAAAAAACCCTCATGTACATTGATAAAACACCATTTTTTGTAAGAATATATATATTGAAAATATATAATATATTGCTAAACAATAATAATAATACTCCATATTTCAGCTATATTAGTCAATTGATATGATCAATCAATCAATCACGTGAGAAGAAGGTAAGGTGGCAGCTATGCCCAACCCCATGCCTCCTACCTTGGTCTTCCTGTGATAGATGACCCGGACCCAATGTAACCCGACCCTAACTTCCCTGACCCACCACCACCTCCACCGGCGGCACCGGGCATCTGATTATACACCCCGGAGCCGTACACGTGTCCCTGATGGTGATGGTGCGGCTGATGTGCTGTCCCCATCATCATCCCTGTTGCCCCACCATACATTCCACCACCGCCCTCCCCCACATAACCACCGCCGGCGTTCCCCAAGCTCACCCCGCCTCCGTTCCCACCGACGCCTTCTTTCTCCTGCCGGCCGGCCATGGCGCTTTTCTCCCCTTCCATGTCCCTAAACCTCTGCAAGTAAATCTTCAAGGGCTCAACGTAGTCTTCAAAACCCAGAGTCGTCATGGCCCACAGAAGATCATCGCCGTTGATGGTCTTCCTCTTCTCTCTCTGACACTTGTCGGAAGCTTCTCCGGTGATGAAACTGATGAACTCCGATACGCATTCTTGAACTGTTTCTTTAGCATCTTTTGAGATCTTTGCATTCGCAGGCAAAGCTTTCTTCATAATCCTACTCACGTTGGCTATGGGCAAAAACCTATCTTGTTCCCTCGGCGAGCTTTCGTTGAGGCCGCTTCCATCTCTGTTTCCTCCCGACTCGTTATCGGAGTCAGCCATTTGAGAAAAAGAAAAGAAGAAAAAGACTGGATTTTTGGTTGAGTCAGAGTTCAATAAACTGAAAGCTGAAAAAAAAGGGTTCAACTTTGGGGTTGTGAGAAGGAAGAATCCAATCCCAAAAAGTGCTTTTCTTTTCTTTTCCTTTCCTTTTATTTTTCCCAAATAGATAGTGCACTGGAAGTGGAGGCTTTACTTTAAGCTGTAATGATAAAGTTTTGAGCTTTGAGCAAACACGACCCGGGTCCGACTAAAATAAAAACAAGTAAGAAAAAAAAAATCCCCTGTTTTTGTACTGCGTAGTTAATCGTATAAACTAAGCCCAAATAATAGCAATAATAACAAATTAGCAAAAGTTTTTAACCCCCTAAAAGAAACAAAAGAGAAAAAGAAATTAATGGGGGGAGTAATTCAAGTGAATGCTTCTAAAGCAGAGCTCTGGCAAGACGGAAATTTTGATCATTTTTCAGGTAAAAAAAGCGCACCTTTAATTGATATTATCCTAATAACTTGGGAAGCTTTAATGCACTTGAAGGAAGGAGAAAAATGAAAGATGGTACACAGATGAAGAATGAGATTTTTGCAGAACCTGATCAACTGTTTTAAGTCTTCATAAAAATCTCAGGAAAGAGTTGACTAATGTACAGTTTCTGACCCAGAAAACAGCTTTTACAGAAAGATTGAATTTTGACCATTCAAGAAAACCAGTTACAATTACAAAACGTATGACCCCGAAAAAAAAACCCAAATAAAATAGATTATTCGCCGGCCGGAGCCCAGAAAAGGGATCCTCCGAAGAGAATTTTGAAGAGAAAAGAGGGGAAAAAAAAAAAAGAAAAAAGAAGGGGAAGAAAATGGAAGAGATTTTTTGAGGAAATTTTTGTTTGGAGGAAGGGGAAAGGCAGGAGATTGTTGAGGTCCGTTGGATCAAATTGGTATAATAATGCGATGATTTGGGTTACGTGGACAAATTTGGACCCTTGTTTACCGATAACCAAATGTGAGATGAGTGGGAATTTCGGGCCATCCGATTGGTTGGGATTGGAGACATCTAGACCGTAGGTATCGCATCTGGCACGTGGTCGGCTCTTGCTAGTGTTGGATTATTTTTGGGTTTAATGGCCCAATAGGAGATTGAGATAGGCATATCATCATTCATGACGTGGACCATGCTCTCCTCATTTTTTGATCATCAACCTTTTTTCTTTTTCTTTTTCTTTTTTCTCTTCATAGCAAGAATTATGCCTACCTATATAACAAACTCCAATAACAAACGAATTTCGTAAATTTGTATTCTCCGTACCTCGTATTAGTGGGTCACTTTGTAAATTAAAATGTTCAGTTAAAATAGTATGGTGAATTTAATCTATATAAAATTACATACAGTATTTTTGGTTTGAATCGCGTACAAATCTAATGTGAATAATTTTTTTTAGAAACAAAATGATTATAAAAAAGAAAATGCAAGTTCTTTATTTCTTTAAAGAGCAGTGGTAAGTGGTGACGAGTTAAAAGATTTAGCCTATTTTGCTAGATAACATTCATGACATGTCTAGGAGATTTGATTCTCATTATGATCTACGTACTGTTGTAGTAAACAAGAGTTTACCTATAAACGGAATAGGATTTCGGTGTTACCTGAAAAACCTATTCTTTGAAATTTCATATCTACTTTTCTGAAGTGTTAATCACCTCAAAACTCCTATTTAAGCCTACAAATTCAAGAAACCACATTTTTGTGGTTTAACCTTTGTATTGTAATATCGCGCCCTTTCGGTCATTGTGGAACCCCACAAAATAAAGAGACACCTAATCTTACCTACAAAATATTTCGGAAATAATGAAAAATAAGAAGCTCTCCTTTATTCCAAAAAAAATGAAAAAATAACTAAATAAATATGATATTGATGAATATAAAGAAAGTAAGATAAAACAACAATTTATTTATAAAAATGGAGAAGATAAAGGAGGACGGCAAAGTAGCAGCTTCCTTGGACAATTAAATATAAGCTTGATTAGCAAGATATAAACAGAACAGTTCCGTTTTGACTGGAAAAGGACTTTTCTTTGTGTCCTTTTGTGGTTATTAGTTGAAAAATGAAGCCACTTCTTTGAAGCTGTTTAAAAATATACTTTAAATGATGCTGATCAAAGACAAGAAATTAAAATAATAGAATCTGAAATTAAATTAATGAGTAAAAATTGTATCGTAGAAGAAAAAAATGATGATGATTGGTGTTAAGGAAAATGCTCATATCTGTCCTTTACTTATGATTCTCGGTCTTTTGTAACAGTAGATTGTACTATTGCTTTTTCGATAATTATAACACCCGACGTGGGGTTTTCTTATAATCTGGAAATTATGAAAATAAGTACATATAATTGTGAAGGTAGTATTGTACCCAAAACTACAAGACCTTAATGCTGTTGTCTCCCCCCAACAGTACATAATACAAAGCAATAATATTGTTGTACTAGGAGGCATGCAAAGTTGGCCGGTTTTGATTAGTTAGTTGTTAAACTTCTTAATCATCACTAGTGCATATATGTGTTTTCTGTCAAAGTTAGGTATCGATCTGAACTTTGTGGACAGTATTAAGTAATTGAGAGTTGAGTTATACAATTACTAAGAATTGTAAGGACGTTTTGCGCGAGTTTAATCTTTGATAAATTTGTATGTATTATGCAGTTTTAGAGATGAGATATTGAATGTACTTTTCTTTTCTTTTTTCTTTTTTTTTTTTTGTACATAATTACATAGTGTTAATTGTCGACAACAGTGACTAGCCTCCCTAGACACCTTGATAAGTGGAATATTGAAAAAATTTTAAATTACAATTCTAAGCAGTTTTATATTTATATGTTGTTCCCATACAATTTGAGAGAAATATATACACTAATTGTTCAGCTTAAATTAATTTTATTTTTAATATAAATAATAGTATGAAATAGTAAATACACAAGTTTGATAATCATCTTAGATCCACGGATAATTACTATTATATTTTTTTTTTCTCATTTGGGATTCATATCGAGAATAAGGCAGCCTTGCCGTTCGGCCGTTCAGTCTTTTCTCAATTCAATTTCTCTTTTTCTTGTCAAGAAAGAAACAAATCAAATGTTTTTTTCGGTTTTGTTTTTCTTTTTCATTTTTGGGAAGAAGGTCAAACGATTAAATAAAGAACAAGAAATGGTGGAGTGTGTTTGCAGACATAATCATGCGAAGCATTGAACAAATTCATTAATGTCCAGTAACACGTAGTATCTTCCATTCCATGTCTTTGATTTTCATCGGTTCGAAGAAGTTCTTCTTCTTCTTCTTTTTCTTTTTCCTTTTTCCCCACAAAAGCATTCCTCTATAATCTAGTAGTACTAATAATAACTTGTAATCTTTTCGTCAAACAATCATGTTAACATATAGGTGATTCCCACCAAAGCAAAAGTCAACGAATCCCCATTCTTACATTATTCGTTAAGTTTAAGATCAAGGGCGAAATTCCATACTATAATAAATCTCTAACTTACCATAAACACTGTTTTCATATCGAACTGAACTTCAACATAGATATTCGAGCAAATTACAAATATTTCTTCTTTTCCAAGATATTTGTCTAGTTTGAACTATCATTTTTAACGTAAATTGTGTTAAAAATGAAATGCAAACTGAACGAGTTCTTTCAAGTTTCAACCCAGTGACCGGGGAAGTATGATGTAGAGGTGATTGATCGGGTCGGATTCCAGCAGTATTCTTTTTTCGAACTTTCTTTGTAAATCTCCAATGACAGGGAATTATAAAGGTGTTAAATTTCGTCGATGTGCAAAACCTAATTCCTCTACAACTGCTAAAAGCGCTGCCCCCACAAGAACGGAAGTAGAAAACCATCACCATCTGGATTCATTCTGCAAGACAACAACAACAAACAACAAATAGCTGAAAAGAAAACGAAGAAGATTCGAAGAACAAAAAGACTTCTTTGTCATACGTTTTAAAATTAATGGCAGATTTTTTTTTTTTTTTCCCTTTTTCCTTTTAAGAAAAAGACTAAAATGTTCAAATGATTCTTTACATTTGGATCGACTTGAATTTATGTCTCTAACATCAATATTTGTAGATAGTAGTTTCAAACATTATATTACTACACTTTTTTTGGCCAATTTCACTGTTCCGCCAACTTTTCCGTCCAACTGGATGTTGACCGATCGTTGACATGTCGCCAACAGGGGTAGTTTTGTCTTTTATTTAAATTTGAATTTGCATTAAAATTAAAATTATTAAAATATTATAAAATTCAATTTCTATTACTTAATTGTTACAATATTAATTATTAAATCCTTTTTCTATTTGCCATTTACCATATTGTAGCCTTTATCTTCTTCCCCAATTCGTCGTAGGAAAAAGACTTCTCCCTTCGGAAATGTCCGACAAAACTCCAATGACGGATGAACAGCACCCAAAATCAACACCAAAAAGTCTGCATATTGGAATGAAAAACTTAATTTGTTCTTCATTTAACAAATTAACTTCCAAGTATTCTCTTCGGATTAAAAACATTCAACAGATCCATTAACACGGCCTCGTCATTTCTGACATCTCCAGCAATGAACAAGCTTAAACTCTTCCAAGTTCCCACTTAAAAATCCAACAGAATCCAAATAACCCACATCCATCCTCGAATCAACCAAAAAATATATATAAAAAATTGATGAACAAATGAACAATAAATAATTTCCCTGTTTTCGGCAGCCGAGCATTGCTTGGATCAAAATTTCTTCAATTTGTTCTTCATATTTACGGAGACGGAAAATACGAGCTATATCCTCTGACATATCTCAACTTTAAAGAAATCTGCCTTTCCATCTTAAGCTGCTTATAAAAATTAGCCATAAACATCTCAGCTCACTTGTCAATATCTCCTACGCCCTCAAAAAGCAATAAACTCAAAATCCCCATCCTCCTCCGCCCCTTTCCTCATTTCAAAAGTCCCAAAATAGCCCACCTCCTCCTCATCATCCTCCTTAGCATTATCAAAATTCCTCTTCTTCCCAATTGGCCAATCGGCCGATTTGAGTTTCTTTGGAGGTTCAATTGCGTTTTTCCTACGCCAAATTGGGGAAGATGGTAAGGGCAATGGGGTAGCGGTCAATCAGATTTTCAGCGGCCCCGAGTTAAAAAAAAAACTGGGGGTGTAAATTTGGATAAAATTTTGTTTTGTTTTTTCCTTTGTTTTTTGTTTTATATTTGAATTTTAAATTTGTTAACATAGCGCGGTACAGTTTGAAAGTAACTGTGGACCCTGGAGTTAAAAGTTGAAGGTAATTAATATTTATTTTGTCTCAATGGTAAATTATAAATGACAAATAGAAAAAGGATTTAATAAATAATATTGTAATAATTAAATAATAGAAATTATATTTTATAATATTTTAATAATTTTAATTTTAATGCAAATTCAAGTTTAAATAAAAAGACAAAAAAAGTTGCCGGAACAATGAAATTGGCCAAAAAAAGTGTAGCAATATAATGTTTGGGAGTACTATCTATAAATATTAATGTTAGGGACATAAATTGAAGTCGACCTAAATGTAAAGAACCATTTGGATATTTTAGTCTAAGAAAAAAAGAGAAAGTCACATTGATTGATACTCCCTTTGTCCCATAATTATTATCCAGTTTGAGATTTCACTTCTAGTATAATTTGAACTAGAAATGAAAATCCAAACTGAACAATAATTATGGGACGGAGGGAGTACATGATAATAATAGTCTAATTTCATTCAGGAGCAATCAATCTTAACATTCTACTAACTAGCTTGCTGATTGTTACACCCATAAGGCAATAAGGTTTTAAATTTCTCTATTTTCCTTAAATTTATGGTCGTTCCTTGGGTAATTATGCATGTTTGGCTGCCAGTGATGATTATTGTACCTCGCTCAAAAGGTTTCCGCTTCGAACCCCAACAGCCAAGTCAAAATGTCTTACCAAATCAGTAGAGCATTTGGAATATCAAGATTAATTGCCAAGTTTTTTCATCTGACGAAACATGTTTTTTTTGCCTAGAGGAACAGAAATGTGGGTATGCAAACTCGATAATTTTTTAAATATATGATCATATACAGTTCAAATCTCATTATTTGTAAAAACTAGAAACATTTCCTTAGAACGTAAAAAGAATGTATACTTTTTGTAAGAAATTACTCCCCATAATAATTGATTTAATGCAATATTTAGGAAATCAAAAAGATCACTTGCTGGTACTATAATAAACTGGTACTACGTACTACTATCTGCGGGAGTATTAAACAGTAAAACAACATCGGCTGAGTCCAAAAGCTTTCCATTTGGATAGAAGGGCAGGCATCAACCTGCTGACTTGAAGCAGGCCTCACTAATTATGGGCAGATGAAGAAGAAAAGGTGCGACATTCAACTGCAATTGTTGGCTGCAAATATCTTATAATCAAATTCTCTTTAGAAGATAACAAAGCCTAGTTACAACGTTTCATAAGCAAAACATACAATTTCGTTGGGACATGAGATCCAAAGTTACCCAATGTATGAATGTATAATGTATTGGCTGCTTCATTTATTTGACGCAGAATTACAACCACCCCCCACAAAAGGGCAAAACAGAATGTGAATTCTCATTTCTCAGCCTAATAGACTAGGCCTTGAAGAGTATAAATTTGTTGGCCCATAACCCTCTCAAAGATAATCTAACGAGGCTCCCCATGAGAAATTCTAAGTGACAAACCGCAAAACAACAACAGCCAAAGCCCAAACAGCAACAAAAACATCTATAGTCATCGATCGGCTTATAGTCCAAACAGCGGCAAATATTAACGGCTATTTAAGCTTGTCATTGTGATTAGTTGTTGTATATGGCCCATACTGAAACCCTCTCAACGGTCACTTCGCTTTTTCGAAACAATACAAAATACGCATCGATTTGGTATCGGAAACGCCACCATTTTCTGCCTTATAAAATCCTTCCTTCAATTCCTCTCCTTGTTCACCGGGCAGCAATCCTATCCTCGCCGAAACATTTACTCTTCTCTTCTTTAATTTACTCCAATTTTTTCGTCTCTGGGTCGCCGGGAAATATTCTCCATTCGCTGTCAATTTGATTAAAGTATAAAAAATGTTTGGCAGAACATTCCTCGGTTTGCTATCATTGTTCTTCTTGTGTCTGTCATATACCGGCGAGGCACAAATTTCTAATGCTCCTGCTCAGGCGCCCAAATCTAACCATGTCTCTCCGGCCCCGACGAAAACTGCTGTTCCGCCCACTTCTCCGTCAAGCCCTATCCCATCCCCGGCGAAGTCTCCGGTTCACTCACCGGCTCCAAAGATTTCTCCGGCATTGCCGGTTTCTCCAAAAGCCAGCCCTTCTGCGTCGCCTGTGCACTCCCCGGCGGCTGCTCCCACGGTGCACTCCCATCCCCCGACTACGAAGGTTTCGCCAGCGCCTACTCCGTCATCCAGTGCGGCTGTTCCAGTCCCATCTCCGGCTTCTCCTTCTCCGTCCGCTGAAACCCCAGTGAGCGCTCCGGCAATGTCGCCGCCGGCGCCATCTCCTTCGGGTAGCCCCGCGAGTTCCCCAGTGCAAGCCGAAGTTCCGGCTTCTGCGGCAGTACCGTCCACAGGTATACCCTCAAGTTCTGCAACACCGGCAGAGTCGCCAGAGATATTCCCGTCGACAAGCAGCCCACCAAGTCCTACGCCGGTTGGGGCTAGTTCGGCACCGGAGAGTGCACAAGGCCCAGTTGGTGATGACCAATCGGGTTCGACATCTATTTATGGGGGCCCAATTTTACTTGCTGGACTTACTCTTTGGGCCACTCTTGCCCTTTAATATCTATCTTAGTAGTTTAGTACTGTATAATAGTGTTTGCTTTGTCATTTTAATTTTTAGTTCACGTCTACGTAGTACTATTAAATTTTGTCGAAGGAGATTTTGTTTCGATAGAAATGTTGTACTCCTATTATATTACTCGCCACGGCAATAAAACTTTCTATATAATACTCGTATATTACTTCTACTGTATTGCAATCTAGCAATCTTATGGAACCATAAAAACTATTTCTTCCCTTCTGACATTATTGTCTAGCCTGGATTTTTATTTTCAGTTTAAATTGTACTACAATTGAGAATCTAGACTAAACAATAACATGTAAAGACTGAGTTTGACAAATATATGTGTAGCTATGAATTTAAATAATTAGTGTCCGAAATAAATAATTTTTTGTGATGAGTGATGATAATAGTTCGGTCAGTCCATTTCAATTTGCGCATGCATTTATAATTTGTACCTTAAAAAATTGATAATGCAATATTATCTTGGTCCAAGTGAATAGTTTGTTACATGTTGAAAGGCTTATAATTTAATTACTTTACATTGGAATAGAAACTAAAAATTATCAAGCAATCTCTATTGAAAAAATAAAATTTAAAAAAAAAAGAAAAGAAAAAGAAGAATATAGGAAAACTACAAACAGGGTACTAAAAATATATGCTAGCAGAGTTGACCAATCTTGCAATTTAGAACCCCTGAGAAAGGCACAATGTTAGTGAGGAGGGAAGCTGGCCTTGCCACCATGCTTGATGCTTTGGTGTAGCTTTCTGATTCAACTTCACCAGAAGTCTTAAATGTTGCCCCATTCAGCAACAGATCTCCATCTGATCTCCAATTCCAATTTTTCCACTCCTCATATCCCAATGGGCTGTCACGTTTTGTGACCTGAAATTTTTTAAGGTATTGAAATCAGACTCCGAATATGAACGTTTTGAGTCAAATGGACAAATGAATCTTAATGTACTGCCAAAACACAATTTACATCCTCAGAAAAAAAAAAAAAAAACTTGGGTACCTCTTTTGTTTGAGTATCTTCTGATGCAATGAACACATTACCCTGGCTGTTGATGGTTGGATCTGCACTCCCTCCTATTGCATACATTTCCCATCCAGTATATACGTTGTTCACTATATGAAAGTACCCATGCCTACACCTGCAAAAAAAAAAAAAAACAGAAAAAATGGTCCTTTTACTAATGTGCTTGCAAAATTGGTTCTAAATTTTCAGTAGACTATGTTCCAAGGTGCTGCAAAACACACACACACACACACACATAGAATATACATTGTTTACCTGGGCATTCTCTGAATGAGGCCTTCACCAAAGTAATTGAAGGCAATGGTAACTTGCATACTCTTATCAGCAGTATAATTATCGCTGTGACCCAAAAGCATCACCTCATTATGATTAAACATGTAATTATTTGAGATGGTTATCGCGGTCGATCCAACGACTGCATCAATGAGCCCATCATGGCATCTGGAAAGTGTACAATGGTCAATCCAGATATCCCTAGCATGAAAAAGCGAAATCCCATCCCCATCAGAAATTCCCCTCAATTCATAATGCTTAGGTCCATCAGTGATCACTGCATTCCCAGCTTGCCTACAATGGTGTACATAAATCCCATGAATAATGATATTTGTGACATTCTGGATTGTGATACACGGTCCATTTGAGATTTGAATTGAACGTCCTCGTCCGTCAATGGTTTTGTAAGAGTTCATCATTAGTTCTTCTGTAAGGTGTATGTCCATATCATGGTCAAATATGATCCAGAGGGGCTCGTCCTGATTCAGTAGCGGATCCGGAACAAAAATTCAGTTGAAGCACGATAACACAAAAATGAGTTACACGGTATGATACTAAATACACATTATCAAAGTGAAAAAAAAAAAAAATGTGTTACAAAAATGACCTGAATCACTGCATGCCGAAGCATCCCTTGGGTTGGATTCTTGGGATCATCATCTTCAGTGGTGACAATGTAGAATTCGCCATCCCGGCCACCAACTGCATTGCGCCCGAATCCAATAGCGCAATCGGCCAGTACTTTTCGGTTGGATTCCCAGTCAGGATCACATCTCCAGCAATCATCAATTGGATTGCCTGTTCTACATGATGATCCTGACCCTGTTCCAGCTCCAGCTTGATCAGTCGAGTTCTTCATCGAACGCCTTTTTTAACATGAACAAAACACATAATGAGATAAAAATGAACTAGAGTTCAACTCTACAGAAAAGAGCTACTTAATTTACCATCCTATAGCTTCGGATGTTGGAAATAAGGGGCGTGCGGAAGATGCAATATTGTAATGAAGCACAATGAGAAGGGAAAATAGACTGAAGACTGACATTTTGGAGCTGCGAAATTAATAATGCAGTAGTAGTGCAATATTATCAACCGCATTTTTATACGAGATGAAGAAATTTGGTATGAGACTAACAACTTGCAAGATTTTATTTTTCTTCACTTTGATAACGAAAAAAATAAAACAAGAATGATTTTAAATTCCAGTTGTATTCGGTTTATAAATGGAGGAAGTAACAAGTAGGTGGGAACTTTGAAGAACCGTATTAGATATGTTGAAAAAAGCAGTTGGGCTAGCCTAGTATAATCAATAACCTGAATGTTGTTGTTGTTTTTTTTTTTTTTTTGCAGAAGGAAAAGCGGGTCCGTTTCCAGTCAGGAATCTTGCGTTTTCCTCCAATCATTTGTAATGCAATATCATTACCATTACTTTGCAGCTTCAACATAATTGCTTAAACAAATGACACAAATGCTTTGTTTTATTCAATGCTTCATTAGATGATGTGAGTTGGGTGTTTTGGGGATCATTACAAGTTTAACTATAAGTATAAGCAGAGTAAGTAGCCATTTTCTGCAAACTGCAAAGGGACTTTTGGCGGCCATGGCCTTGAAAGTTTGATAGCAATAATTACCAAATAATGATGGTACAGAAGCCAATGGTCCAATCCATGGTTCAAGTTAAGGGCGGAACCTACTGAATTAAGTGTACCGCAGAGGATAGGTGCAGCTTACGCCCTTATACTCAATGCTACTATATCTTTCGTCCTCAAATTATTGTCAGTTTGGATTTTCATTATTAGTTCAATTTGTACTAAATTGAAAATTCAAATTAGACAATAATTATGAGACGGAAAGAGTACTATAAATGTCTAGGCATTCGTTTACACAGCTGCTTCTTTTTTCTTTTTCTTTTTTTTTTTCACTACAATGATGAAACACATTATTTTTTACTTTTGGCGCGTCAGTAACCTTTTTTTGTAACACCACAAAAAGGACATCTACCACGTTCTAAATAGAATTCGATCCATCAACCACTAGAGAGTGGATTTAGAACCTTATTGTTAACTTATAATTACATTGCCAGTGAATTATTCTATTACCAATGTACAATGAAATTAGAGATTAAAAAAAAACTAAAAACTTCTTACTGCTATTCTGCTAAGAAAAAGAGTGATATTTACCTAATAGAATGAAAAGTGTAGAATTCGATCGCACAATATGAGGGAAAAACAATGCAAATGCAAAAAATGGAAGACTCTTTTGTTTCTGGAAAAGGGGGATTCACCCCTGTTCTAAAACAATGCATATATTCCTTCTTCTTTTTTTTTTTTTTGTTTTGTTGGTCATTAATTTTTTATTAGAATAATTATTTTGAGAGATTTGGAGTAACTAGGTCAGAGCTGGTCTAAAATCCTCATCGGCGGTCCATAAACTTGATCTAAACATTCTACACTCTCTGGGATATTCTTGATCTAAGTGATTGAACACTTGCTAATAATTAATAAGTAGTCATGCATTCAAATTCAAAAGTATATGACTTTTTATAAAAAAAATAATAATAATAATAATTAAAGCAGACCTTTATTAGTGAATGTTTCTTCTGGTAATTAATTTCTCCATTAAAGGGAAAGCTTTTTTGATTAGGTCCCTTTAACTGCATATGTATTATACTTATAATGTGTAGAAGACCGGAATTATTATGTTGAGTTATTCATTGCTTGGAAGCAATATACTTTTTACCCTTCACCTAAAAGACCAAAGCATATTCCAAAAGGGAAAATAATTTCAAAACTATAAACTTTTTCTTTTTGAATTGAAAAAAAAAAAAAAACTAGTAATAAACCTAAATAGTATTGCCTTCTTCCCGGTTATATATATATAGGACATGAGAGAGTTGATGATTTGGTGAAACACATTTCAATTGGGAATGGAAACTCGGGGAATCCATGGGACGATTGATTATGTGGTCTCCACGTAAAAAATCTATGGTGAATATTTTGCATTCTTCGTGTTCCAAGAAGATGGTGGATTGGAGTAAGCATCTTGTGAAACTGCCGCAACAACATACATTCCTGATGGTGTGGTCTTTGTTGCTCTACTAGGGAATCTCCCAACTGGTGAGATGTCATTGATGAAATATGGAGATCTGTTGTTGGATGACCACAACCACAAGAAGAACAATGTCCACGTTTCCGCGCCGGCAACCATTCCGGTGTGTTCATTCGATCATCACACGTATGAGGTTGATCGGCTTTTGGTTGGAAAGCTGCCGGTCACAAATCTGGAAAACTTGCATTATCGTCTCAATAATGCTGGTATCAATAAGCTGCCGGTCACAATACTGGTATCTTCGTTGCGGACAACCAAAATCACAAACTCTTCGGTAGCATTTGCGAATACTTGTTGGAAGTATCATCACGTACCAAAGAATATCTTTGATCTCGAATACTTCACTTTTCATCAGATAAAGGCTCTAAAAAGTAGATCTAAAACTGTAAATTCTCGAACATAAACCACTACTATGAACCATAACAATAAAATTATATACTAAAAGATTAAACGTAACCACAAAAGAACTAAATTATGATTAATAGAGTAAGATCTATTGACAGACTACTAACACCTATCAAGATCTATGGACGGATAATACACGCCCAACAAATCAAAAATACGTTGACAGACTAAATTTATTCAATTAAAGAAAAAACTAAAAAGAAAGTCAGATTACCTCCCCATCCGGGAAGAAAATTGTTTCGTGTTTATTTCACAGTGATAATATTTATTTATCATTGGACAAGGTACTATGAAATTAGATTATATAAGATACAAATTTTTGAATTAAAGTTATTATTGATTTGTATTTTATGAACAGAACCAGAGTATTTATCAACTGTTAGTATTTTTCTAAATTTAAAGTAAGACACTCACACTCTCTCACACAGCTCTAAGAAAGAATGCATCATTATCAGTATATATAGTGAGCCTTATATCAAAAAACCCTAGCCCAATGGGAGTCACCTAATCTGATTTATCCAAACATTTTGGGCCTTTGTTATTAATTAATCTCCAACAGTCCAAAAGCCTTGAAAATCGACAAGATATTTTTTCAACAAATATAGATTCATTCATTTCCAATTTCTCTAGTTTCCCCAATCCCTTCCTCAGTCCATTCCTTTCCCTTCTAGCAGGAAGGAATGGCAGTGACCAATTTTTCATCTGCCACTGTCACAGTCACTCCTCTTCTCATATTTCACAAACCCAGAAAAATCTCTCCCCAATTATCATCAATTTTCCACCAATCTTCCAATTTGACCGAGAAAAGATACAATCTTTCTTTGCCAAAAAGGGGAACTCGAGGACTCAAAATTGTAGCTCAATCCAAGGATAGCAATTCAGCTGATGCACCTGACCGTTTAATCTCAGCCATATGCTACTTTTATCCATTCTTCGATGGCATTCAATATGGTAAATACGTTATCTCCCAGGTTGCACCAATTAAAGCTCTGATTCAGCCACTGGTTCCAGCAATTAAGGTCTTTAAAGGGTTCCCTTTGAATGGGTTCCTGGTTTTTATTACCCTTTACTTTGTGGTTGTTAGGAACAATAATTTCAGTAGGTATGTGAGGTTTAATACCATGCAGGCCATTGTTCTTGATGTGTTGTTGATTTTTCCTGATCTATTGGAGAGGAGTTTCAATCCTAGAGATGGGGTGGGATTGGATTTGTTGATGAGCTTTGATAGCACTGTGTTTTTGTTCCTTTTGGTTTGTTTGATTTATGGTTCTTCTTCTTGCTTGTTTGGTCAGCTCCCTAGGTTGCCAATTGTGGCTGAGGCTGCAGATAGGCAAGTTCTTTGATTTAATCAAAGAATTACAGAACAAAAAGAAACTCTATTATTGCTTAATTTATTGAGAAATGGTAATGTAATTATATGCTCATTTGTTACATTTATTAGAAGTCAAACCATGTACCACTGCTTCAAGTTAGTTCCAAACTTTAGCCTTCATTTGTTCTTACGTTTTTCATTTTAATGTTTCCCCCAACTCTGTGCTAATTGCTACTTCTTTCCCCCCACAAAGACATGATGATAATGCTGTTGTAAATGTACGTCCATTTTGCTGATAGTTCTTCTCTTGCAATCGTACTGATGGAAACTTTTTATTAATCTTGCACAATGACATTTTTTATTCTGGCACTTAAAAAGAGTTAGGAAAGAACGAATGTTGATCATCAGTAGCTTGACTTCAAGCCTGCAAACTGAACTACTAGTGGATGAATTTGCATACATTGGTTAATGTCTTTTTAAATGCTGCTCATTTATATTGCTTATTAGTAATCACATATGTAACATGTTCCTATAATTAGCTGCAGATCAGTAGAATATGTAATTTGATTGTAGTGTACAACTATACACAACGATTGATGTGAACATTGAGAGCTTTACGAATAACACAACAGCTTTCCCTATGATTACTGCAGTCTGCAGTAGTAGTTCTCATCAGGAACTACGAGGCCCTATTAGATTTCAGTTGGGAACAAATAGGGAAATATGTTCTTTTCTCCCTATTTTCCCATTAGTAGTCTCCACTTTTTGAACTAACAGAACAAAATGGATTGCAAGTTTTTCAACTTCACTGCCTCTTCTAAGATGATTATGAAACTTTTAATTAGTAGACTTGATGATATAATTGTGTTTTTGGCATATTTGATGATAAATTGAAAAATACTGATTTAGCATTCAAATTGAAAATGAAGTTAATGGAATTATTCAAATGAATAGCGATAAGAAAATTAGGGTTGCAATCTTTTTTGGTACTCCTTCCATCCTTAATATAAGTCATTTTGATTTGTCCTAGGTTTCACCTAGTACATATTTTTAATTAACAAAAAAATCTTAAAAATTTACGTTTAAATTCGTTGTGTTCTCTTGATTGTTATGGAATATTTTTAAGATTTTTTTGTCAATTAAAAATGCATACTAGGTAAAACTTAGGACAAATCAAAATATCTTATATTAAGACTGGATGGAGTATTTTTTTTGTAATCTTTGTTAAAGCAGATCATTATGGAAAAAATGGTTTTTTTAAAACAGTGTGGCTGTTTTTTCGCTTTTTCTTCACTGCCTCTTCTGATGGGAGAAGATGATTGATATAAAGCTTCACTGAAACCATTATAATGTTTCTATATCAATTATCACATTCAACTATCTACATAACTATGTTCCGGTTAAAGCAGCAACCAAAAAAAACAAAAACAGTTTTGTAATAAGTGTATTGGATGGTGATATTTCTGCCATATTCTGAAATGAAAAAGAAGCCTATGTTCTGCAGTTGTGGAAATGGAAAGCTTACATAATTCAGAGGAACTGGCATGAGACGGCCACAGAATGTTGCCATCTTTTCGGCTGCATCAGCATCCATATTTTGCAGTTGGCCGCAGAATGGCTCTCTGAAGATCCAACTTTTGCTGCGAGGCCCATACCCCGAGTGATTAATTTCCATGATGATACCACTACCTACATACTTTATGCTTCAAAATCCATAGTTAAACAATTATTTCCCCATCTGATATATCACAGTCTCATACCATGTTTTTGAAATTAAATCACTGACCCGACTAACCAATAATTGAGCAGCATATTTTCCCTCCATATCAAGAATACAAAAAAAAAAAAATAAAATAAATTTTCCAACTCCATTTGTTAGTATAGAACAAGCAAGTTGTAAAAATTGCAGATTGTTATATTCCAATTAATTTCAACCTACTTCCAGTGTCGTTTTTCCAAACACGTCCCAATGATTGTCTTATTGATTTTAGAAATTAATTAAATCAAGGTAAGTGTGAGTTTTCGTACCCGTTAGCTTGTCACATTTGATAGATTTACACCCTCGCACATTGTCGTATTAATGAAGCTCTCATGTATTCTGCATAATTGCCTCCATTTTGTTCATGTATTTGCAAACCTTTCGATTAAACAAATATATGGTTGATTGTGTTAGGCGAATGTAGCATCTTGTAGTTGATTAATTAGGAGTGTTCTTTATTCTTGAAAAAAACTTTCTTTTAGGGTTCATACACTTTCTAATGTGAGCTGTATGCGTATTAGTGTTTGCAATAAACCAATCACTCAACTAAAAATCATATTATGCTTATAAGTTATGAGCAGCCTGTAAAAAAACAATAGTGGATTGGAAAATAATTGCGCATCACTTTCATCTTTTTAGAACCTTCTCTACCCGGCCCTTTTTTTCTTTCCTTCACTTTCTTCACAAGTCTCAAGACGCAAGTGCGCAAATACACAAGTATTACTGCCCTCAATGAATAATAATTTAGGTCATACTTTTTTTTTTTTTGATTTCTCCATCTCCACTTCCTTTTAGTGAATTTTTTCCAATAAAAATAATATGTATTTTTTCCGGTTCTCACTGTAACGCATTTTGATTTTTGTTCAATTTTATTTATCGAATTTTTCCTACTGAATGTAGTCTCTCATTTATTATGATTGTAAAGTAATTTTAAGATTTTATTTTCAACTGAAGAAATATGATAAATGAAACATATGATTTTTTTTTTTGAAAGTAAAACATATGAAAAATTGAAATGACTTATAAAAACTAAAAGCGACAAAAGTTCATACTATCGGAAACATTTTAGAGATACCCTCGAATTGTTTTTATATATGTATATATATATATATATTGTATATAATTTAGTGCAGAAATCCGAGGAAACAAAAAGAAAATGTGATTTATATAACCAAAATATGACATTTTGATTTGATTTAGGTTACATTTAGGATGTATTTTGAATTGACAAGAAAAATTTTAAAAATACATTTTCATATTTGTTGTGTTCTTTTAATTATTATAAAATAATTTTTTTGATTTTTTTTTGTCAATTAATAATGCGTACTAGGCAAAACTTATAACAAATTAAAATAGTTTATATTAAGGACATGAGCAACTACATAGTACCAAATAGAGACTGCATGATCCTAACCGTCAAGGGAGAACCTTGAACATGACCGTCATCATGCATGAATTGTCGGTGGACGGCGTAGAATATACCATGATTTTCATACGTGGCGGCATCCTAGTGGTTATTCCAGCTAAATTAGACGATAGTTCACTCCATGCCTGTAATCTGCCTTTCCTGGGTCCAGCAGAAATTGCCATGGTAAAACTCTAGAATATGGTTGAGAAACAAGAAAAGGATCATTTTACGTTAAGACTACCCAGTTTTTTCTGATTAATTTCGGTTTTGCCAACCAGGGTGTTTTTGTGTTGTGGCCAAAAAGTTATCTGGAAAGAGAAATGCAAAACCAATTTGAGGGTCTTCTTCTCTTTTTCAAAGGAGATGAATAATAAATCTCCCATAAATTTTCACTTTTAACTTACCCTTAAATTGTTTTCGTCTTATTGTAAATTTACTTTCTGTCCTTAAACTGAAACAAAGACAATAAAATTAGCAGACTTACATCATACTGTTAATATAGAATTCACCATTCACATATACAATTACTTATTCCGATGATGAAAATAATCCCAAACAGGTTTTAGGGAACAAGAAGGAAAAAAAAGGGGGGAGGGGGGAGGCTTAAATAAGTAGGCAAAAGCAAATCTCAGCATATTCTAAGCTTGAAATGTGGGCTTTTGCTGCTGTGATTTCCCCTTAATTGCTTTTGTGCTGCCTTGATTTATGGGTGCACCGGTACTCCAACCACGTGATCTGTTTGTTCGCCGTTCTCCTCAATTCTGCTAGATTGAGCCTTACATTATTCTATCGATCCATGGATTCTTGTCATTCAATAACTAATTTTTTTTTTATATATACAGCAAGAGATGTACTCTCTCTGGTCCTTAATATAAGGCATTTTAATTTCATTCTAAGTTTAATTTAGGATGTCCTTTTAATTGGAAAAATAATCTTAAAAATATATTTTCACATTTGTTGTGTTTTTCTAATTTTGATGAAATGTTTTTAAGGTTTTTATTTCAATTAAAAAGACATCCTAGGTAAAATTTATGACGAAATCAAAATAACTTATAATAAGGACCGAAGGGAGTATAATCAAGTAAACAGCTTAAATCAACATGTTACAGAGATAAATGACCTCAATGGTTTTCATAATTTAAACTATGGTGTAACACTCGTATTGAATCCAGACAATCAAAATATGATTACATTTTCATCAATTTCTCATTTTTAACACCACCAAATTTTGTTTCTACTACTTAGCTATTCTATTATTCCATTAATTGATGTTCGGTCATAATCATTTCCAGCTAAACGAGAAGATAACTGATTGGTGTGTTTACTTCTTATGGATATTATTTACACCAAAATGATAACATTACCTATAATCAAAGCGCCAACTCCAATTGGAAAGTTTATAACCACGCAGCAGGACCATATTCTCCCATGGCCTTACTTAAAGTAGTAAGTTTTGAGCATGTTGTTACTCGAGTGATTCTAGTTTCAATGGTCTAACTTTTATTGTATTGTAGTCCTATATGGTTTAGAGTTGTAACCGTCATTAGAACAGTGGCAGCAGTAATTATACTTTTGAAAACAATGGCAATTAGCTCCTTTTTCAATAATCTAGCTATGTGGTGGATTTGGATTTGGATTTGGATAGTGGAAAAAGGCAAAAGGGATCAACCTTTTTACGCATAAAAAAAGGTTTATTAAGCGTTTCTCCGACCTTAAAGATCCACATCATTAAGAAACAAAATATTTTTATGTTTAGACTCAGATCTCGCGTTTAAGCTATAATCAAAATTTGTCATCCTAGAAAACATACTCGTTTCGACCAAACATGCGAAGAAAGGGAATTAAATGTCTTTTCCTCTACTATTTTATTTGTTGGGTTGGTTGTCATTTTCCTTTCGAATGGTTCATAGAGTACAGAACCCCCCACATACAATAATAATGGAGTTAATTAATGAAAAATTCGTAAGGATGAGAGAATGAAATTGCATTCATTGTTTCGTGCTCTGTTGTAGGCGAACCTCCGAATAAAACAATAATTTTATAGAATAGTGAAGCAAGATGCTTATCATGAGCCAGGAAAAATAGACACTATTGGTGACGGTAAACTCTCTGTAATATGCAAAACAAAAAATAAAATAAAATAAATAAATAAACAGTGAAGTGAGAAAAAATTAAACTACTAATACAAAGATTAGGGTAGTTGCATATTTTTTCGTAAGTCTATCTATGTCCTTTGATAAAATTTCCACTTAGTATACCTTCGATCAGGTTTTACAGTTTTGACTAATGAGTACTTTTGCTGTAATTATCAAACCCACCCAAAAAATAAAAGGAAATGGAAAATATCAAGGTCATTTGCTGTACTTTTGCTCCATTACAAACGCAGTTCCATTAATGTAATACCTGGAAAATATCAAGGTCATTACAGTCAAAACACCGTAAACCCCATCTCTCTGTTTCCCAAGCTCCTTCAGCCTTTTTTTTTTTTTTCACCTGCTTCCCCAGCCAGCCTATACACTAACTTCCCTTTGACTCCTCTTTCCAATCTTCAACCTTACACAGTCACACACTTCATCATCTCTTACTAGAAAAAGACCCTCAAATTACACACCATTCATTCATTCATTCTCCCACCCTTTTTTGCCCTCCCAAAGTTTTAAACTTTCTCTCTACTCCCTAGCTTTAACACTTGCAGCAACAATGCACCTGAATCCGGCCGCCATGGCCGCCTCCGCCGCCGTGGTGCTTTCTCTACTTCTGTTGCCTTTTGCCACTGAAGCTTTCAACGTTACCCGCATTTTAGCGAAACACCCGGAATTTTCCACTTTCAACCATTACTTAACCGTGACCCATCTCGCCGACGATATTAACTCCCGCGAAACCATCACCGTCTGCGCCGTCGACAACGCCGGAATGTCAGATCTGCTCTCCAAACACTACCCCCTCGCCACCATCAAGAACGTCCTCGCCGTCCACGTCCTCCTCGACTACTTCGGCGCCAAGAAGCTCCACCAGATCACCAATGGCACGGCCTTGGCCGCCACCATGTACCAGGCCACCGGAACCGCGCCGGGCTCCTCTGGGTTTGTTAACATTACCGATCTTAAAGGAGGGAAAGTCGGGTTCGGAGCGGTTGACAATGGCGGCACCATGGATGCTACCTTTGTGAAACCCCTTGAGGAGCAGCCGTACAACATTTCGATTATTCAGATCAGTAACATCCTTCCGTCGCCGGACGCCGCCGCGCCGACGGCCGCTCCTTCCCAGGTGAACCTCACAGACGTAATGTCGGCGCACGGATGCAAAGTCTTCGCCGACACCCTGTTGGCTTCTCCGGCGGAGAAGACTTACGAGGACAATCTCGCCGGCGGGTTGACGGTGTTTTGCCCGTCCGACGACGCAATGAAGGGATTCTTGCCGAAATTCAAGAACTTAACCAAAGACGACCAGCAATCCTTGCTGGAATATCACGCCGTTCCGGTTTACCAGACGTTGTCGATGTTGAAATCCAGTAACGGACCGACGACGACGTTAGCCACTGACGGAGCTAGTAAATTCAACCTCGTCGTACAGAATGACGGCCAAGTCGTGACGTTAAAAACCAGTGTCGACACGGCGAAGATTTCCCACAACTTGATTGACCAGGACCCGGTTTGTATCTTCGTGGTAGACAAGGTTTTGATGCCGCCGGAATTGTTCAAGCATGATTTGGCACCGACTCCTGCTCCGGCTCCGGCTCCGGCGAAGTCTAAGAAGAAACACCACTCGCCGCCTGCTCCGGCTGCTCCCGCGGATTCTCCGGCTGACGGGCCAACCGCAGATGATTCAAGTGACCAAACGGCAGACAATAGTAACGACGCCGTGGGTCTGACCGGTGGAAGATTCGTCGGGGTTTGTTTGAGTTTGTGGGTTGCATTTTTACTGCTTTAATTTTGTGTAATTTTTCGTGACACTTTTTCTTTTGGTTAAAGGGGTCCAATAATTAAGCCCTTATTAGGCTTTAGTCGTGTAGTAGTTAGTGAAATTTCTGTACTTAATTTACTTTCCAGTAGTACTATAATTTTTTTTTTTGGTGAGGGCTTTGGTTTGATGGTTTTCCCTTTCTTTTATTTGGTGATTCAGGGTGTGCTTGTGTGGATTCCATGTGGTTTATTGTACGAAGTTGTAGCACTCCATTTGCTAGATTTAGTCAAAGACGACAAATATCCTATTTTAGCTGCTTCTTTTTACACTTCATATATTCTCGTTGTCATGTGCTTTCTTTCTCTTTTTCTGGGCAAAAAAAAAGGACTAATTTGTACAATATCATGGGCTCATGTGGTTGAACTTTTACATGTGTGGTTAACCATTGGTGGTAACTTTTTTCTTTGGGCATCATTTCTCGATCCAATACACACTTGATCCCATATTTGTAGTATTATTGGTAAAGCAGTAGCAGTTGCCCATTTCTGAAGACAAAGGGACATAAATCCCAAGTTCCCTACTAATTTACTTAAGAAAAACTCATTCTAGCAGTAGGAGTAGGGACTGAAGAGGGATGTTTGACGTATAATAACAATAAAGAATTATCAGAAGTTGTAATGAACACCAATATGATAGCAAGGCGATTCCAACAGCCCTTCTCTCCGTTGCATTCTTATGGTTTTCTCCTGCTGATTAATCATATTAGTTGAGGCTGAAGATCCTGCGGTTCAAATCCTGCTTGTTCAAATACAGGTAGCTTATCGAATCGCTGAAGTAGGATGAAATTGGCCTTGGTGTAAATCCAGTGTAGTTTCCATCTAACTTTGCCAAACACAAGTCGCCGATATACTTGTAGAGACTGTGTTTTTGAGTGGAGGGTAGAGCTGCATATTCTTCCAGAGGCATCCACTGCAGTAGAATAGCAAGTTCGCAACTTACATTTCAACACAAACCCTTGACTAAGTAAAAAAATTATATAATAACAACCTTAGATTTGGCTTGAAATACTACCTGGGCTGCCTCTATTTCAAGGTCTTGCTTCTGGATTTCCAAGGATAAAGGTCGCAGCATACACAAGAACAGCAAGTCTGACTTCCCAAAGAGCGCATTGTGCATTTGCCTATTCATGAATAAGTCAAAGTCATTTTCAATCTTAGAGCACCAGAACCAGAAACCATTGTTTAGAATTTCAGTTGCGAAGAATCTGATGATATCTGGCTTGACTAAATTGCAGTTTTTGTCTGACGCAAACTTTCAGCCAGTAATCAGTTTTCAAGCCCTTATGTTTTATTCAGAAAGTTCTAACTTTAATAATTTTCTCGAGAATTTACTCATTGAGTTAACAGCAAAGAGTCAATAATGCAGAAATTCAACAGGTAAATATTGCAAGCCTGCTTAAGCACAATTCAGAAAGTACCTAAATGCTAGTAACTCCACAAATTCTGTGTCCACCTACAATATCAAATAGCCAGCAAATGAGCAGTCACTAAGACACTCATGAGGGAGTACTAAGGAGCAGGAAAAGCTTTGCAAAGTATTATTGTATTTAGACTTACTCCTGTTTCTTCTTTAACTTCTCTTATTGCGCCAGCAAAAATATCCTCACCCTGAAAAACTCAGATCCTCGCAACACAAGTAAGCAAAGTTCAAAGGCAACATGTTTTAGTGTCTCCCAGAAAGATACTTGTACCAGAAAAAAATACCTGATCAACCACTCCAGTAGGAATCTTCCATATGCCTCTTCCCTTCAGCCTGCCATTCTTTTCCTGGACAACAAGCAACTGAGGAAAGGAAAAGGTAAGATTTATAGACATTAAGATCTTGTAATTGAACTCATGTAGGCAATGCAGAACGAATATGAACTAAAATCAAGAGAGCCTTAACTTTCTAACTGAAGCAGACATCAACACGACAACTTAGGCTTTTAGTCCACTATGACTACCTTTCTTTTACAGATAAATCAAGAGGTAGATGAGATTGAATTTTCGCAAAGTACCTCTCTCTTGTTATTGACAATAATAGCACCTATACCCACTCGATGTGAAGCGTTTGCAGGGATGGTACTATCAGTTTTAGGGATCCAATTCACAAGCATCAGGTAATCAGGCTCAGCATGGTGATACCAAAATCCTTCCTGCTACCAACACCATAGATTGGAAGTCAAATGACGAAAACCAAACAAAACCAACAAGAACATTTACTTTCGTTAACTTGGAATTCGCTTGAATATGAAACAGGAAGTCAACCACATCAAAACAACAGTCCCAAACAAAAACTGATCAAATTTGGGAGACCTAAGGTAACCATATAAGTAGTACCTTGACTGCAGTTTCAATGAGATTTGCAAGCCCAATGGGCAATTTGATCCAGACACCCTTCTTGCCCTGCAATTTAGACATGTCAATCCGAGTGAAACCTTACTTTCATTGCCTAAAAAAGGTAAAAACTTGCAATAGAGAGCTGAAGTTCAACTCATAGGCTATCATAACCAATGCACAATCTCACAGCACTCAGTGTCTCAGTATCAGTGAGTGATTTTAGTCAATGGATAAAATAGTCTCATGCATGTTAATCATCTCCTACGGAAACTTGTGAACATAATCAACATGCAAGAAATTAAGCAAAGGAAATTCATTGGAATTGAATTCTATAAACACTAAGTACCTGGAGTTTCCAGTGAAACAAAGAAGATCTCAGCCTGGAAGAAAAGGTAGTGGGGTCCATAAGCTCTACCATTTCTACTATAACTCCTCCGTGATCATCATTAATTGCGGGAAGGATGTGATCCTTTTCAGCTCCAGTTTGAACAAGGACTTCTTCCATCAAAAAACCTTTGCAGTGGTCTCAACTCTCAAGTCCTAACAAAAATGCAAAGGTTACAGTTGACTGCTGAGCAATATGTTACTGTAGTTCATAAGATAGTGAATTAGGAAAAAGCCCATTTAATTATGACATTCAACCGCCAAATACAGATAATGGTGGTGGTAGTCTGAAAAAGATGAAATTGCCCCCAGCGCCCACTAAAAAAAATTCATATTCTTTTTGGTAATGATTCCATCAAAGAACAAAAAACCAACTAAAAGAAAAAAAAAAAAAAAAAACAGAGGTGACTTAAAAAAGTCTAAAAGGTAAAAGATCTCATGATTCTCATCCCAATATGCAAAATCAAAAACGACCCTTTACTTCCATGAATGTCGAAATAGTACTTACAAGCATACCAAAACTAAAGCTGAAATTTTTACATGGAGGAAGTAAAAACAGAGCATACCTTGTAAGCCAAAAAGACGGGAAGTATAAAGCTTTTCTGGAGCAAAAAGGATTGAATCCCAAATGTATAGAATAAACCAACTAGTGGTAGAAGAATTGACAATTGAGAATTGGTAAAAGTTTTTGGGATTTAGAAGGGAGTGCTGGTGTGATGGTTGAAGTTGGAGAAGCAAAAGGGTGGTTATTATATACTAATAGATTATAGAGATTACAGGGGGCCATGAAAATGAAATCGGTGGTGATTTTACAGCTCGATGACGTGGTCCACAGAGAAGTAAACGATGAGATTATGAAGGAAATCAGCTCAATCAAGTTTGCATACTGATCTTCAATCTTAAGGAGCTAAACCGCCACGTACCAATTTATCATATAAACTACTCAGGTGATAACAAATACTACTAAGTATTAAATATAATGGATTGAGCAAATTTTTTTTTTGATGATGACTACATCTTATTAGTCACCAATTTTACATCGCCATAAACCCTGCAGATGACATGATTTTGGACGAAGTAACTGATAAGATTCGTAAAAATTTAAAAACTTTTTTTTTTGTTTTTTTTGTGTAAGGTGATTGAATATCTATTTGGAAAAGGAAAATTATAAATCAAGGAAGCAACAATGGGGTAAATTTCATATTTTGTTATTAATCTCTCTTATCTTGAAATGGTGTTGTTCTGTTTCACTTTGAATCATCGTTATTTATAATTTGTAATTAAAATAAAAAATTAAATTAAACAATTATTTTGAGACGTAAGTAAAATTATACTTCTTCTTTTTCTAATTTTCAATAGTCCGAACACCCATATATGTTTGACTAATGTATGCGGAGTTGTATTCCCTTTGATTCTAATTATAAGACACAAATTAACACTAAACTTATTAATCTAAATTTGGTTTTTATAATTAGAACCAGAGAGGTATCGAATCTAGTCGACCGCACACATGTTTGCATTGTTGGTGCTAATCAAACCACTATTTAAGAGTAACGGTGTTTTATCTGTGCACAAAACAATAGTATTGGCTGTGTGGGGAATTAGGTAGTTACTGTATATTAACAATGACAGCTTTTAATATATGGTTTTTTTTTTTTTTTTTAATTCCTAATAATAAGGTGGCTTAAAACTGTTAAAATCATGGGCCAAACGCACAGGCCAATGGCACGAGTTGAAGACTTGAAGTCTTTATCGCAAAAAGATATCAGGAATTCAGGGTCAAAAGTAATGTAAACAAGAAAACGTTTTATCAAGCCGGTTCACCAAATATTCAATTATTATATAAACTTGAGAAAGTTTAAATTTTTTAAGTTTAGAACAACAAATATGATCATGAATATTGGGACCGATGAGGTAAAACTTTAACAGGCATTATGCTGAATTGTCGAAGAAATATACATGCAGACATTCAAAGGTTCCATTTTATAACGTCTTGTTTTCAAAGTACTATATATGACTTATTCTTTCTTACCTCTCCAGTCTTTGCTTCCATGTTGGGTACCAATCTCTAGAAGTTTTAGAACATTCGATAAAGAGTTTGAACAAATTTATGAAGTTGCAGTCCTTCACACGGTTTACGTTTTGCTGATTTTTTTTTTTTAGCGTTTTTATTACACTTTATTCTGGAACATTCTCAACTCGTCACATAAATGGAGCCCCGAATTCATAGTGAAAACCCGTGTTCTGCAATTCAGTAATAAAGTGAAGGCACATTTTGTAGATCAAATAGTCATAGCTACTACGGACAGTGAGCGTAATGTATCGAGATCATCTCGTAATTTCTGTAATCAAAATCGTGTTTAGCAATAAGAAGCGTGACGATGGAAATTATTTGTAATCTCTGTACTCTCGCGTAGTATCTAAAAATTAGTACTATTTCCGTCTCCAAAAATAGTTCACATTGAGTTTTAAGTTTGTATTATTTTTAGTATAAATTTGAAAATTTAATGTGAACTATTTTTTTTTTTTTTTGAATAGAAGTAGTACTGTGTAAGATTATCATATAATGCGTTCATATGTAACCCACACGCTACATTTAGTACGTTATTGTATATCAACATATAAATTTCAGAATTTGCCTTCAGTTCTAGACCCTGGCGGTGGTAGATCACATCTGATTGAAGTCATGAATGTCTTTGGTCAATAATTTCATAATTTTTTACTTTCTTTTGCCTCAGTCAAAAGAACTATATAATTTTGAATTGACTGATCCCGACTTGATCATCAGATGCTGGAAAAATAATAAAACTTTGAATACCGCCAAATTACCGATCAAAACTACCTCCATCCTCAACAAAGTCAACATGTTAACAGTTAGTTGATTGTAGTAAGTTTTTAATTACTTAAAAAGTAAGTTTAGTGTATAAGTAAAACTCTGACGAGTCTCCTGTTCTACTTTGAGTTCAACAAAATAATAAACATTATACTCCCTCCGTCCCGTAATTATTGTCCAGTTTTACTAAAATGAAAGATTTTAATTTTAGTCAAACTTAACTATATTTTACCTTAAACAACCGGATATACCCCTACATAAGTAATTTTTTGGACAAAGTGGACAATAATTATGGGACGGAGGGAGTACTTAATTAAGTTCAGACCGCGCGATAGAATTATATAAGGTGAGTGATTACCTATTAGAATTTTGAAACTTTCTTATCAACTCTCTCATTGCTACTTCAACACTTTTGACTCCCGTCATCTCCTAACAAATATGTAACAACTGTTTTTTTTTTTTTTGGGCATGGCCTCTTTAGTTAGATATAGATGTGATGATTCATTATTTTCTTATTTTAAGAATTTTAATAGTAATGGTTTGATGGCGTTTTCATATGTTGAGCCAATTATTGTACTCCTCCCTCCCCATTGTAAGAATGTTTTTTCATTATTTTATTCAAACAACCCGCAAAACTCTTTAATAGTACTACCACCAATTGGAACGATAATCAAACTTGCTAGCACTCAAAAATGGTAAACAAAAAAAAAAAAGAAAAGAAAAAAAATTTGGAAAACGTATATGATTTGCTTGCTGATTCCAGACAGTTTGCTACCCTCAAATTAAAATGGACAGAAACTTCTTTGTACTGAAAAGGGGACAAATAAAAGAGAGAATACAAAAGAAAGGAAAGTTGGCAGGACAATAGTGTCCATCCCATAGCAGAAGCCGAAAAAGAAGTGCAGAAATAATTACAAAACGTGTAATTCGTAAACGCCTTCGAAAAACGAAACACTGAAAGTGAAAGGTTTTTAAAAAAATCGAGAATCCATGCATTGAATTTGAATCCACGTTATAGAGTCTCTAAACATGTACGTCACATATGGCTACCATTCATGCATGTAATGACTACACACTGTTATGCTTTCTTATCGATAATAACCAGATGACATCGGACACAGAATTGAGGTTTATACTAACACACATTTGATGTCCGAAATTGCTAAAAATTATTGGACTATTAGGGTTGAGCAGATTCTCAATTAATGCTGAATTCGCTCATTAAATAAGTTGTCTAACTAGATTTAATGGATCACTTACAGAAATTTAAGGAGGACAACATTAGCTATCTATCACATCTAGGAATAGACCTGAGCAACCAACCATAAAGTTGTGTGTTTGTTCACGATGGGCCATATTCCTTCCCTATTATTATCTAGTGATGTGAAAAAAGACCAAAGGGCCATATTTGTCAACTGATTTCATTTGGGTAGAAAAAAGAAGAAGAGAAATTTTGGCTGATAGAGTCATAGAGTGATAGTCCCACTCATTGTTGTCAAACAGCATACACTAGGAGGAAAAAAAAAAAAAAACAATTACAAGAGATAAATACAAATAAATACTATATTGGCCCAGTACCTAAACTTGATAGCCAACTTAAAGTTAAGACCCTATAAAGCCCATAGAGAAACAGGCTTTGGAATATACTAAACTTGGAAAAAAAGCCCACGTCCTTTTATATCATTTTAATTTTTAAAGTCGCATTATGTCATCAAAAAACTCTTTTTATTTATTTACTTTTATTAAGTCAGTGGCCGACGAAGTCATAATAATGTAAAAAAATGTCAATTAAACATTAGTCAAGTGATCATCAAATTAAGATGCGCTTAGTCCATTTGGTCAATTTCGATTACTCTATTTGCTTATACCTCATGGATTGAGAAACGAGATAAATGTGGCAAAATGTAATATTGAAATTTGCCAAGTGATTGTTATTATGGCACCAATGAATTTGGAGCAATTTCGATTGAAACTTTCTCTAATTATTAATGTAGCAAAACTTTTTTTTTTTTTTTTTGAATTGTGGTGTCCCGGGACGAAAATATAAACGTTTTTAATGTAATGCAGTTTTTATTTAGAAGAAAAGGTAAAAAAAAGACCATACATATAAACTTACTAGATTAGCACCCCTGTTGGAATATTATTTGGCAATACCTCCTTAACTACATTTATTTATTTATGGGTAATAGTAAATGGATGATTTTATTTTATTACGTATTATATTTTTTTACCTTTTCCTCGTTCAAAAAGAGAGGAGTACTGCTCCTTTTTTACACATTTATGTATTAACTGCGTTGCTTCTGAAAGAAAGCAAGCAGAAAATTTATACTGCAAAACACAAAAGAAGCCAAAAGAGGGAAAAAGAAAAAGCATTGAACTTTTAAGAGGCAAAGGCCTGTCGTCTTCTTCTCCTTCTGAGACTTCACTTATACGTTCCTAATACGCTTCAATTCATTTTCTCCTGATTAAACTTCATCATAATCAACAGAAGAAAAAGGATGTACAGTGCTACAAACTAAAACTGTAGCAGAGTAAAAGAAGAGATACAAATTTGTTAAAAGGAGAAAAAAAAAAAATTTTTATTGGAGAAAATACACCATGTCTCTGGGCTATGCCGAAAGGCTTTCCTTCATAGAAGATGTGGGCAGCGTTGGAATGAAGGAGCATTTCGACCCACCTGATATTTTGCAAGAGAAAGTACTAGATTCTCTCCCTCTCTATGTTTTTTTTTTTGTTCCGTTGAATATTTGTGTCTGACATTTTCATTTTTTGCTACAGACTTGTGATCCTCTCGTGGGTTTATATGCCTGAACATTAATTTTTTTTTTTTTTTTGGTGGATTGTTCTGATATTTCTGATTGCTTGCATTCACTGAAAAAACTGTTTAGTATCGGGTTTATAGCTTGGGAATTAATGTTGTGTATAAATGTAGTTGTATTCTACGAAGGGTCGCTCTAATTCTGTTCCAACGGTTTCTGTTGCCTTTTTCTGTTCCACGATCTGATTCGTTATAATCAGCCGGTATTGAGTCGAGAGTTTCTGGTCCTAAACCCTGATTTTAGAGGGGATTTGTGTAGTCAATAGCCCGGATAAAATCTTGTTGCAGTTCCTTATATAGAGATTCCATATTGCCTACGATAATGTCATGTTGTTGTTGGTGATTGTTGCTGTGCTCTGGCTTAAGAGTACTTGTAAAGCTCGTTATTGGATCAAGTTTTCTTGGCTATGGTTGATTTCCTTCTGATATCTAATAGAATGTCTGGGTAATCATGGGTGTTTCAATGAGCCAGGAGGGAAGATTTCTGGGATTGAATTTTGGGGATCAGAAAAAACTCCATTGTGGAATTATTTGTTGCTGCATCAACCTGTTCTTTTTTTTTTTTTTTTTTGAAATTATTGGAACTTCTTATGTCTGGGTGTAACTTACTCCAATACTCACCTCTGTTTGCAGATTAAAGAACTGGCTAGCTTGATTCAACAGGTTCCACTGCAATACCTTTTCGTGGCTTAGTCTTGTTATTCTTTAGTCTGCCAATGATTAAGCCCTAATTCATTGTTCATCTGCATTTATAGAGTAAGCACTTAGTAGCATTCACAGGAGCTGGCATATCCACTTCTTGTGGCATTCCCGACTTCCGTGGTCCTAAGGGAATTTGGACGCTTAAGGTAATCGCCATGAACTTCCACTTGAGAACTCTCCATTTAGTGGATCATTTTCCATGCTGTTTACAAAACATGGTTATAGACTGGACAAAGTTCCTAATTTAGATCATGTTGGTAACCATTCGACGTGTTTGGCCCTTGCCCATGATAGATATTTTAACCATTGCATGCAGGTATTTGTAAAAAGCCTCAAACCTCAAATGTGTGGTGGTAGTTAAACACTTAAATAGTCAACGACTAAACTGCCACGCGTCATGATTTATGATGGCAAATTAACTTAAAGAAGAAACTTTTGTTGTTGTGATCCATTTGTATGTCTACACAAAAAGGAGAAGAATAGGATCTCGTGAACGGGACATAAAATGTGAAGTAGGCTGTGGTGGATGATACTATAGGAAGGGCACCTTCCTTTTTTTTAAGGTCTAAAATGTTGGATAGGCTATCAGAAATTTGTTTCATTTTTCCTCTATACTCAAATTTACTATAAACAAATGTGCAAAGGTCTCAAAAGGTAAATCTTGCTGAAATTGCTTGTCACTCTACATAACGAAAAATGGTGTGAAATGAGTTTGCTATCATTTATAGTATTATTAAGTGTCCACTCTCGTTTAATTTTCCACATTAATTTCAATTGGTCTTTTTCAATTCACTGGAGGAGTAACATTCTTCTTTGTATCTGGGAGTGACATACCTGATCATTTAACCGTTTACTTGAAGCGGGAAGGCAAAGCCATGCCAGAAGCTTCCCTTCCATTTCATAGGGCAATGCCTAGCATGACCCACATGGCTTTGGTTGCACTGGAACGAGCTGGTATTCTTAAGTTTGTCATCAGCCAGGTAACTTTTTTGTTTTTGCTTACCTTAAGGCTACATTTGGTTAATCTATTAGCAGAGAAGCTGCCAGTTTAAAGGAGAGACTGGTGAAATAGCTATCTCTTTTTAGCATGCAAGGCAGTCATTAACAGACTGGATGCTTGACATCTTTCAAGTATAAGGATGATCTTGAGTACTTTAGAGACCATGAAGAATTAGGACTTGTTGTGCTTACACTTGAGTGTGTATTTATGGAATTTTGACCCTGGGATGTCAATATCCTTTGTTTAATTTCAATTTGTAAATGGTGACTATATGATCACCTTCAGGGGACTGTCATTCTGTTTACTAAGATTTTTATCTTTTTTAAAATATCAGAACGTTGATGGGCTTCATCTTCGGTCTGGAATTCCGAGGAAGAAACTTGCTGAATTACATGGAGACTCCTTCATGGAAGTTTGTCCATCATGCGGGGCTGAGTAAGATCTCTATGGTCGAATGTGTGGATTATTAATTAGTTATGTTATTCTTCCAGGATGTTGTTAATGCCTGCCTCAATGGTGGATATATTTCTTCTGTTTATGGTTGAGGCAATTTTGTCTTTTCAGAAAAGAAGAGTTAATTGAGCCGGTGCATGTTTCCTTTTGAAGGTACGTGAGAGATTTTGAAATCGAAACTATTGGTTTGAAGAAAACCCCGCGGCATTGCTCTAATGCACCATGCAGGTCTAGACTGAGGGACACAGTTCTTGACTGGGAGGTACTTTCTAGTACTTTGGCTAAAATATATTCTGGATAGTTCTCCCAAAAGTCGATAATTTTTCTTACTTTCCGGCCTCTCTCAGGATGCCTTGCCTCCAAAAGAATTGACTCCCGCAGAGAAGCATTGCAAGTTGGCTGATCTAGTATTATGTTTAGGGACAAGGTGATATTATTATCTTATTCTTCTGGATATTCCTGAATGTTATTGATTTTATTTCTACTTAGATATATCACCTAATGTTGATACAGTTTGTGGTTGAATACTCTTTTCCCTTCGTGTAATGTATAATTTCCTAATTCAGATAGCCCGTCAAATTTCATTCAGAATGTTTGTAGTGCTAAACTCTAAAGAATCTTGAAACCTAATTGTTTGAGTCTAAATTGCTTCTTAGCTAGATCAGAAGTGAATATACTGTTGAATCATGCAACTGGAAGAACACTTTGCAACTTAGATGTAATATGTTAATGACCGGATGCATTTTGCTTCACGCAGTTTGCAGATTACCCCTGCTTGCAATTTGCCTTTGAAATGTCTTCGAGGTGGGGGAAAAATTGTAATTCTGAACCTTCAGGTCTGCTATGTTGCTCCTTTGATTGTTTCCCTTTCAGCATGATTTTGTTGTTGTGACTTCTGATTTAGCCTTTTCATTTCCTATTATGAATTTTACAGAAAACTCCGAAGGACAAGAAAGCATGTTTGGTGATCCATGGCTTTGCAGATAAGGTGAAATGTTAAGGATTTGTGATTTGGTGTCTATTATATCCTTAGATAATTATTTATTCTATTCTCTTGAGGGTAATTAGCTGCTGGCTTCTTAGGGACACATTTTGTTAAATTCTGAAGTTGTTGATAGATGAAGTTATATAAAGTTTGACTTAATCAATAATTCTTCATAAACATGCTCCCAACAGGTTATTGGAGGAGTGATGGATGAGCTTGATATGCGGATCCCTCCATTTGTAAGGATTGATCTTCTCCAAACAGTGTTAACTAAGGGTTTAAGTCTAGGTGATTTTCCCTTCCATTTGTGTTTTTGGTTCATATCATATTTTTTTAATTATCTTATATTTTTATGATTTTACTTGATGAAGAAGAATGTCTAACGTAGCTGTATTTTCTTGGGGAATACGTTTTGTCAACTGCCACCTCCTGTTCTTCTCTTAACTTGTCTTCTGTCCTCAGCTGGAAAAGAGAAATCCTGTCTTTATGAACGATTTTTTCTGTAAGCTTCATGGAGAATACCGGGTTTTATAATAGTATTTGAAGAGTAGTGAATATTTTTCTTTCAAGTGTATGATATAGATCACGAAACCGCCTCTTTGGCATGGGAATTGATTATTTAGTATATCATACAGATGCTGGTGCATACAAGCACCCATTAGAATGCCAATCACTTCGAAGTTTGGCCTTGAAGGGGAAAAGATGAATGTTCCTTGAAACTATTTTCTTGGCAATCATTCTCTAAAATTCTTTGATCGAAAAATTTATTCATGATGTTCTATTGTCCCTTGCGCCGATTTTTTCAATCTTATTGTTTATGAGTTGCTTATGCTTTATTGCTGATTTCTTGGGTCCTCTTCTTATCTTGCAGATGAAAAGTTTGTGAACTGGAACCTGAGGGTAGAAAGTGTGCATGGAAATAAAGCTCCACTGCCTTTTGTTAAATCCATAGAGGTACCTTCACGGCTCAAGCTGCTGGATCTTGTTATGGATATAAGATGTCTGTTTTAGGCTTCTGACTGAGCAATATATAACCATAGTCACGTGGTGTATTGCAATGTCAGATGCTCTTTCAATAGAGATTCAAAAAATCTAAAAGTTTGCTCCTCATTGTTTTCTTATTCTCTTGAGGAATTGCGAGTTGCGAATATTGGTTCCTAATGTAACATCTTTTGCTGAACTTTGATCATATATTGTTGTCCATACTATGTTTGTTTTGATTCTAACCTAACCATCATCCTATGAACGAGACTGTAGGTTTCTTTCTCTGGGATCCAGAACATGAAAGAAGTTACCTTAGATAAGCAACCTCTTAACTTGAAAAGGTAATGGTATTCATCTGCGAGTGGAACTTGTTTCCGTCTTGTTATGTACTTCTTTTTGTGCAATTTCAACTTGGGGTTTTCTATCTGGTTGGACTTAGGAGATGATTTGATTCCAGCATATGTCCCGAATCTGATGGTGTAGGAAGCGGGGTACTTTAGTTTTGGAAATTGCTTTACAACTTAGAAGTTTCTTTTGTTTTTTGATGCTTATTTCTTGTGAAGAAAGAGCTTGAAATGGGTTTTCCTAGGAGATCTGTTTCGCCATCCACCAACCTGCTCAGATCACTCTGTTAGCCTCAGAGATTACAGTTTTGTAGTTTGCATTGGTACAATGGAAGTTTAAAACTGTAGGAATCATCACATGTTTAGGCAGAATATCATATTGTTTTCCATGAATAATCACTAACTAGATAGATTATTTGTCAAACAACTCTTATTGAGTAGTTTCTTTCGTATCAGGAGGACGCAGAGGAATGCAGAACCTTTCGAGGTAGTCTTGAAATTGTTCTTTGGCAATGGTTGCAAGTGTTTGTCCACTGACATCAAAATCCCGGTTGATTTCATGGTGAGAACTTGTACCTGTAATATCTTCCCCTACCTCTTTCTGTAAACGACTTGCTGATTAGGGAGTGCTGTTGGATGTCAAATTTGTACAGATATGGACACCAAAGACTATTGCCAAGAAAGTCCTATGTTTTTTTGTGTTACGTGACTTCTCGACATGCTTCAATTTAAATGCCATCACATCTGAAACTTCTCATTTTATATTGTTCTGGTGATGCTCTAGAATTATAAGTTACACTCATAGTTGCTAACATGACTTTCTTGAAAATAAATTCCTTATTCAGTTGATACTGATATATTCACTCTAGTAACCACAGGAAAATGTTTGTCCATTGTGGTGCAGGTCTCCCCAAAAAGTTTTGAGGGTGACCAGGATTTGATCTTTGAGAGGTTAAGGGATAAAGCCAAGAAAAATCCATTTTGTGGGCAGACAGCTCTTCTTCAGAGGAAGTCTATTACAGGGCCAATGGAAAGCGTGGTGGCAGTCTACGCCATAGTAACCAACTTTGTCTATTTCTTCAGAAGTGCTGCTGAACCAGCTGTGGAACGGAATATGCCACTTAGCAGTTGCAGCATTCTGAAAAGGAATAACGAGGATGAAAGGGATAGCAAGACATCTGTGAAACGATCCAAAGGTAACCATGATGATCACAGTGACGGAGAATAGAAATGCTGGGAACAAATGCTGGATACATAGATGATGTATTGGTGTACATATGACTTCATAGTTCATAACTTTTGGCCAGTTTACTGCCCAGTTCTTTGCTCGTGTAGATTGGAATAACTGTTTAAAACTTGAAGTGAAAGGCATCATTCCATAGGAACTGAGTGAATTTTGATAGAATATACACGCTCAGTTTGGTCAGTTGCAAATGTGTAATTGAAGTCTTTTTTTTTTTTTCCTTTTTTTTGTGAAAAAGTATTGAAGTTTTCTTCAATTAGCCAAATATAGAGGATTTATGGTGAGTATTGTAGTCGTTTTGGTATTTTTCTGTGTGCCTTTGTTTTGGGCTTTTTGGCAAATTTCCTAAACTCAAACTACTTTTTAGTTTTTTTCATCTACTTCTTTTCATTTATTCTTGTACGAAATTAGTGATAATTAAATATAAAAGGGAACCTTATACCAAAAAAATAAAATAAAATAAGAATGAACCTTTCACATATTTTTTTTTAAAATTTATTTTTGTTCAAAATACATAATTAAAAATATAAAAAACAATCCTCCATCACTGTAAACAACCAAATCATCATATGGAAAGTCATTTACTGCATCCGGAAAGTCATTTACTGCCAAACCAAATTTAAGGAGTAAAATGGAATTACTATGAGGGGGTAAAAAAGTTTTGCGGAAAAAAATGACCTTTCCAACCGTTTTATGATACAAGTCAGTCCACTCTTTACCACTATTATGCAAAGTTCTCTCATTTTCTTGGGAGCCAAGAAAAAAGCTGTGTAAGGTTTGGTTCAAAATAGATATATCAAACGGTCCAATTTTTGTTAAAAGAATTTTGGCTTTATTGGGTACAACTGAAAAAAAAAGTCACCAATAAATTAGCAAGGAAAATGGTCAGAACAACCAATCGGCTAACACATGGACGACCTAATCCAATCAACGGTAAAAAATAATGTCACAAAATAATATTTTATTACCTATCTAGTAATGACTAAAGATAAGACCGAATAAAAAAACAGACTAAGTCCCAAGGATTTTGACGCCTAAGAGTAAAAAAACCAGTAGTGTTAAGAGTGGTAGTGTTGTTGTATTCACACATAATCCTCATTGATGATTGGAACTTGAGAATAAACCCTAGAATTGTACCGCAGCTTTAGGGTGGAACTCCGATTAGGGGTTCCTGCAAAACAAAACCTCAGGCATCTTCCGAGGGTAACACTCCGAAACTTAAGTTAGAAAGTAGAATTATGTGTGTGTATTGATTGATAACCAAGATAGCGTTCTTTAATTGTGGAACTTGCATCCCTATTTATAGGCAGGAAGATATAATCATAGAACCGAATCCTACTAGGGTTTAGTCACGTTGCCGCCCTATTGAAGTCGGTCGGGCCCGTCACACGGTTTTTGGACCGATCCAACACTGGGGTTGGATATGGACTCGTCAAGTGCCCCTGTCAAGTTTTAGTTATATGAAATAAACAAGACTTGACAAAATGTAAATCTAACCTGGACCGGCCCAAATTAGTTGCATAACCCACAGCCCAAAGTGCCTTGGGCAGGCTTGTTGGCCTAACTCTCGGGTTAAAACCCGACCCAGGAACACAACCCGCTTCAGAATCCCGCTCAAATCCTGGCAGACGTGCCCCATCAGACGGCCGGGTAATCATAATTACCCCTTAAATTTTCGCCCAAAACGTCAGTTTGTGAAAGAGAGAAAGGAAAAAAATCGTTTTATATTGGGAAGGGGTTAATCTTTCATCCATCCATGGCATCCTCCTCTAAAGGCGAATTTAAACATCATCATCTTTCATACCACTTAGAATGGCTTCCTTAATCTTTTTAATCTTTATACTACTTACTAATATTCTTCTAATGTTTTTGTGTTCCTCATTATCTTCTTCAGCAGAAGAGCGGAGAGCTCTTCTCATGGCTGCTGCAATTAGAAACAAGAATGATCCAAGACTTGTAAAGTTTGTTATTTCATAAATATCTTTAATCGATAAATTAATAGTTATTAATTTATTATGCTTAATTAATGTTTTGTGAAAATTTAGGAACCCTGAGGAGATCACATGGGTATAGCTAGACTAGATATACCAAATGTTCACATTTTTTTAATTAGTTTGTATACAATGTGGATATTTTATTTATTCAGGATTATCTCATTGTTTTGTTTGAGGAAATGTTGATGTTCGAAAAATGTCTTCGACAATATAGGTAAGAGAAAAAAAAATGAAAAAAGAGCTTTTAATTTCTAATAACTAAGAGATAAAAGTCGAGTTTCGATTATATGGATTTAATTTTTAACTTATCACCTTAGATATAGATTTTAAGAAAAAAATTATCTTTATTCATATTTTTATAAATCTTCCTAATTTGTTGATTCTTATTTTGCGTAATTACTAACAAATCAAACATAAAAAAATTGATACTCGCGTAATATAATTTTATTGATTTATTAATATAATTTTATTGATTTATAAATCTATTCTTTACTCAATGAATTAATATTTAGATATATTGATAAATTGGTAACTTATTCATTTAGAGATTTGTTTTTTGAAAAGAATTTTCAATTTTTAAAAACTATGAGATAAAGTCAAGTATGGATAATATGAATTTGATTTTTAAATTATCACTACAAATATAAAATTTATGAAAAAACTATTTTTATATTTATATATTAAACTCACTATTTCTTATTTTTATTTTGTATAATTATTAATTAATTTTATCGAGGACCAATATATATATATCGGGGTTAAAAAATATATATAGGGGTTTTCTGAAATATTATTATTTTACTCTTTATGTCCCCAAAAAAATAGTTCACTATAAATCTCAAAACTTAAAATGAACTTTTTTTTGAGATAGAGGTAGTTTTATTTTATCGATTATTCTTGTATTTGTACTGGTCTCGACTTAGGACCAAAAAAATAATTAGTTTATAGATATTTTATTGTAAATATGTAGAGATAAAAATTGTGAGACCATTTCACACTTATAAACGAATTGTCTTTCATGAAATGTTCACAAGCCATATCCAATGTAGTTTTATTAACCCCAAAAGAAATTTCAAACTACACATCAATATTATTTTTTAAAACAATGGTTAAAGAAAATTCTTTGAAGTTGTCATAATATCATTAAACTATAATTTTTTCATGATTTTGAATTAATTCCTCTTAACTATTTTTTTCCCGATTAAATTGGTGCACATAAAATAAAATATTACATCATAAATTGACGAAATGTTTTAAATTTCCTTCCAAAAATTCATAATTTTAGGTCTAAACTTGAATTTCTTTTGTTTCTCACTTTAATTTTTCACATACATTTTTACGTATTAAAAACACTTTATTAAATTTTCAAATAAGTCGGAATTTGAAAGGTTGAACATGCATGGTTTACTTGTTTGGTTGGTTGATTCAAGATATATGCTTGATTAGTCCAATGGCGTGAGTTAGGGAGTCTTGAATGTATTATGTATATTCTCTGGAAGTTTGAAGGTTTGTATAGTCTTTTTTTTTTTTTTCCCATACAATTGTAGATTTTGTAAGTTGTAGCACATGAATTGAGCTTTTGCTTTGCCTTGTAAAAATTGAGCTCTACCGCTGCGGCGTTCCATTATTGCTTTGGAGAAACATGTGTTAAATAACGAGAATATTCCCCAGATACAAGGCTACTCTTCACTTTAGGCTGCACAAGTTTAGACCAGCAATATCCCTTTTACCCTATTAAAGCAGAAAACATGATGCTGATGTGCCAATTTCTTATTAAAAGGTTTTGGCTCCAAATGCACCATATTGCATAAAACATTCTGCCACGTGTCATCCTCTTTTAAAAACAAAAAATATATTTACAATATTAACAAAGAGATCAGATGTCCATGCTCATTCAAATTTTGAATTGACAGTGAATGGAACTTTCCTTCTCTACTTATATAGGATTTTTGAAAAATCCCTTTTATCCTATTAAAGCAGAAAACAGGATGCCGATATGGCAATTTCTTATTAAAAGGTTTTGGCTCCAAATGGACCATATTGCATAAACCATTTTGCCACGTGTCACCCTTTTTTAAAAACAAAAAATATATTTACAATATTAACAAAGAGATCAGATGTCCATGTTCATTCAAATTTTGAATTGACAGTGAATGGAACTTTCCTTCTCCACTTATTTAGGATTTTTGAAAAAATTAATTTTCGATCAATCAATTATCTTCATCAAAAACTAAATTCATTACTAATCAGTTTTGATTATTTACATATTAATTTATTAGGTGAGAGACGCCCTCGGACATTTATTCATTTCTAATCAGTTTTAATTATTTACATATTAATTTATTAGGTGGGAGGACGCTCCCGGACATTTGCCCGGGACAAGCATCTAGTAGTAAATTATAATCAGTGGAATAATGAGAAGGAGGCGTTTGATTTGATGATGACAGCGATTCAAAAAAGGGGAAAACAGAGTAAATAATTTGGCCGGAAATTAAGGGGCTTTTTTTTTTAATCATTTTGGTTATGCTTTTTTTTACCCAAGATTCACGGATCCAGGAGGTTTCTGTTATTCTCCTTGTCATTCATAATATCATAGCCCCTCCTACTAAACGTCCACGTCCACTCCCCATATCTATTCCTCTCTTCAAAAATTAACCCTTCAGCGAAGAGGCGAAAAATCATGGCTGCACAGTTGGAAGACAAATACAAAGGGACAATCTATGGCGTTAGTTCTCTGATCTCCTTTATTTGTTTCAATTGGATCTCTTTTTCTTCTTTTGATACCTTGGTTTAATTTTGGTTTGTGTTGCTTGGTTTAAGATTGAGGAAGATGGCACTCCTTGTTTTAGGCCCCCAACCTCCTATGCCGAGGGCCTGTCAAAGCACCCTCACTATGTTATCCACATAAGAGAGGTTCAATTTTGGTTTCGTCTTGTTTGATTTTACTATTAATTTTGCCTGTTTGTTTCAGTTTGCTCTTCTTTTTTTTTAACCCTTTTAATTTTCGTACTTATTTCCTTCGAACTTTTTTTTGTTAATCTTGAAGGGAGGACAAATAGTGAATCCCGAATCCATCAATCCTGAGCAAGTGACAGCTGGATTGATACGCGACTACGAACCCTATGCTGATGGTGAGGAAGAACCTGATGACGAGGGCCCCCCAACTTTCGCTTTCGTGTACAAAGATGGTCGAATTCTGTTAGCTGCCAATCATCCACGTTGTGGCATTAAACCGGGTGTGTGTGCGTGTGTTAATTTGTTTTAGCTGTTGCTACTAGCATGATGATGATATATGGTAGATGATGAATCACTCCGTCCATAAAGGCTGTAATATACTTCCTCCGGTATTAAGGTATTTTGATTTGTCTTACGTGTTTTTATTTGACCAAAAAACCTTAAAAATATTTCATATCAATCAAGGGAATACATCGAATGTGAAGATATATTTTTAAGGTTTTTTCGTCAATTAAAAATGCATATTAGGTTAAACCTAAGACAAAATCAAAATGCCTTATATTAAAGACCGGAGGGAGTACATTAAGAAGCAATAATTGTGATTAAGATTTTATCAAATTTGGGACAAAGTTGAAGAACTCTTACAAGCTTGCTTGCTGCTCCAGTTAAGGCTGAGAAGAACCCGGTTGTGGAGAAGAAGCCAGCCGCCCCTGCTGCCAAGAAAAAGGCTCCAAAGAGGAAGAGTGCAACAACTGCAGGTACAAAAGTTGGACTTCTTGGTAACATGGGAGTTTGTTTACTGTCTGAATGTTTTCTTCTCTGATTCTAGATGTTTAGTATAAGAATTGGTAGAAAAATTGGAACTTTTCTATTGTTGTGTGAGTTTGGTTTACTGGGTTACACGTTAACCAGCTGCTTACAAATTTTATGGCACGGTTTATTATGTTACATCCAGGGCCATCTGAGTCAACTCAGCTTCCCCAGAATGTAACCGCTCTTAATTCTCACATCCTGGCCACTATTTCTGGAAAGCTTGAAAGCAGCGAATCGATGCTTAAACGTCTGAAAGATGAGGTATGTGAATCTTTGCTTGAACATTTATCATTCCAGAACAATAGAATATAAAGGATTTTAATTCCCCCGCGTCCCTTTTGGCGTGCTTGGTGTAGAATTCTAACCTACCTTTGTTTTTTTACTAGTGTGCAGATGAAGAAAAAAAAGAAAGGGGGGAGGATTTCTGTTGTTGAGGTGACACGGTTGATGGCCAACATCCTCGCAAAACGCTGTGAAGTGGGACTGATTGCTGGCTGGGATGACAAGGGTGCTGGGTTGTATCGCGTGGATGGGATGGGGGTAGTGATTAAAGGGAATAGATTTGCTTCCGGATCTGGACTTCGAATGACTTACTTCAATATGAGAAGTCATGGTGGGTTTTCCCAATGGGATACCGAAATGGCTGCAAAGGCAATCATCCATGTTGCAAACAGGACTAGGAAAGGTCAAGTTAAAAATTGTGAGTGGCCTCTTACTGGTGTTCATGGTGAAGGTTTCGCGAGTTTGTATCTTGTTGGTTCTGAAGGGTGGGAGATTGCCGAGGATGGTGAGATGGATATCAAGAAACGCGTGAAACGTTGCGGCTTTCGTCGATCCGGACTTCATGGGGAGTATGTATTTGTTTGATCATCCCTTGATGGAGTTTTTATTTTGTGACTGTTTAGTATGTTATCTGAGGCACGTGTGATCTTGAATATTGTAATTTGACTTTAATATTTTATGGATTCCATGAGCTAGATGCTCTGCAACAGTGACTTTCTCGAGTTGTTTCTAATCTTTGATGATATCAGAGTGAAGCTTGCTTTCTCAATTTTCATTGTTTTATACACTTTTTGCTGATAGCTAGAGGATGCAATTATTCCATAACTGGGTGATGAACAAAAATTCAGGATTACTATAGCATAATATTCGTTCGAATTGCGAGCAAGTGACAAGGCTCGTCAGGTTTGAACTTTGAACTTTCTGGTTTCTGCATGTTTACATTTCGGTTTCTGCATGTGTTCGAGGTTCGATTCTCACTGGAGAAATCTAATTTTTTTTTAATGCAAAAAAAAGGTGGAGTCCAATAATGGAGTAGATTTTTTTTTTTTTAAAAAAAAACTTCCTGTTAAAGTTAGATATATTAATTCTCAAAACATTATCACAAAATGTTAAACCCTCGCAGTAATAAATATACATATTTTTTATAAAATATTTTGTACCATTTTTGTAAATGCCACGACACTATATTCTTGTGTTGGGCCAATGTAGAAACGAAATAGGTGTTTTTTTTTTAACTTTCTGTCTGTACTTGCCCTTTTAAAAAAAATTTATATTTTAGATTTGATTTCTTTTTAAATGTTTAAAATACAATCTAAAGTCAGTTGAATTAAATTATAATACATTAAAGTATACCAATAGATTCTTTTTTAATCTATGCAAATTGTTTTTTTTTTTTTTTGTGAAAAATTAGTATTAGTTCAATAATCTTATTCTTTATATTGAAAAAAATGGATTAAAAAATAGTATCATTATTGTAAAACTATATTATTAAAAAATTAATATGCTTATGTAAAGCAAACATGACATACAAATATGTAATTAAAAATTTGTACATTAAAGTTTAAAAATAAATATTTTTTTGAAAATATCATATAGTATATTTTTATAGTTATGAAAAATAATAAAAAGAAATAAAAAACAGAAAATTTTAAATAAAAACTGAAAATAGACTATTTTATAATTTTTGTAAATTTTTAGGGTCATTTTTATAAAATTATAAAACTATTAGGGCGTTTTTTTATAATTAAAACAAATATAGTTCCGTTAATTTAGACGGAAAATAGCAAATTGGACAAAATCCCCTAACGGTTGGATAGTTTAGGGTAATATTGGCTAACTGAAAAAGAATAAGATAGAATTGACGAAGCATGTAAAGCTTTGGGAAGATCCGTCAATTTTTCCCTTTTTACAAACAAACAAGCAATATTCTATTCTCTTTTAGTGTAACACTCGGGGACGGAACTAGCTCTTGAACTAGTAAAATTAAAAAAAACTGGATAAATAAAATTTTAAAAAAATAAAATATAAATCTAGTTGAAAAATATAAGTAACAAAATGTAAAACATTTGAACTACTCTTAGCTTTTTGCTAACGACCCCTTCTTATTCTATTTTCTTTTAAAACAAAATTATTGTTTAAGCCAATTTTTAACATCTAACCTTGTGATAATAATAATTTATACTCATCATCCCACTCAAATCATCTTGGCACCCTATAACCTTCTTAAGCTATTCTTAATAAAAACTAATAATTTCAACGATATAACCATTATTTTACATGACATTTGATAATTGTAGCTTTGATTCTTGTTGGAAAAAGTATATATAAGCATACACAAATTATAAAACATTTTAATAGTTTGAGAACTCAAATTCACAACCGCCAGCACCAAAATCGAGAACTAATAACAATATTTCAAAATAAATCAAGAACTGGTTCAACAAGAGGGCGATTACATTAAAAAAAAAAATCAGCAAATTTAAGAGACTTCATAATTTTTTTGAAGGCACAAACCAAACATTAGGGGCTACAATCAGTGACCAAGTCAAAATTGGATTATTTAGGCAATTGAATTGTTTTAAATATTTAAAAGGAGCCTAATAATTCAATAAATGTGTGTTTTTATTTGAAATTTTTTCAATAAACAAGGGATTCAAACGAAATTGTAATAAACTGAAACAAATCCAAATCAATTAGATAGTAAGTTTCAATAAATTCAATTGTCAAAATGACAATATATTCTGGTCCAACTATTACAATCACTTGATAATAATAAATCAAGATCTAACTATTAAAGTTATGATTACTAGTATGAATAGGTACACAACTAGCATTATGTTGTTACATATCGAAACATGTATGGTTGGTACGTCCTTTGATTACACCTCCAACTGAACGAATCCTTTAAGGTGTCTATTTAATTATGTCAGAGTGTCATACCCAAACTTTTGATGGAAAAACGGAAAAGGAGAGAACTAAATTCAGTCCTTAATTACTAGCTAGCTATCCAAAGTATCTGTTATCGTGTCTTTGGAAGATCTCGTCATACTATCCAACTAGCAAGTTGCTAAAAGTCTCATTGAAAGGTCTTAACATATACTCACTCCGGTTCTAAAAAATAATACACATTGAATTTTAAGTTTTGTACTGTTTTAGTATAAATTTGATAACTCAATATGAAATATTTTTTTGAGACACGGATAACTGTATATATCAGAATCTTAGCTACATTAAACTCTAACCAAGTGAGTGTGTCAAGATGCGTCACCAAATTTACATCATTCGGGTAAGAAATAATATAAGCATTTTTGTTTAATAATTTGGGAACAACTTTTTAAACTTAACGTCTTGCTCAATTTTAATTTTGCATTTTCCCACTATATATGTAATGATTAACAACTAGTGATTAATGAGAGATAATTTGCATTGAGTTCAGTAAGAGCGTCGATAATTATTATCCTATTAGAAAAGTAATACAATTACTACTTCATCATTTTACAGTATTACACTTTATTTTACCTGTTTATGTCTTGGTTTATATTATGAAAATGTAGTAAAATTGTATAGGCCAACCTACATTAAATTACATTAAGGCTCAAAAACCCCAATATATTTTGATGTAAAAAATTTTACACCATTCAATATTATTACACTTTATGTGATAAGGGAGAGCGTAATTTGATAATAATCAACTTGCTATTTTGTAAAGATGCTGTTAGGGAAAAGCTGAAAAGGTGACAAAGTATGATATAACGTACTCCCTCCGTCCCATAATTATTGTCCAGTTTTACTAAAATGAAAGATTTTATTTTTGGTCAAACTTAACAATATTTTACCTTAAACAACCGGATATACCCTTACATAAGTAATTGTTTAACCACTAAGATTTTATGGATAATGTTTTTTACTAAGGACAAATGTGTAACTTGATCCATAAAAAGTCAAATTAGACAATAATTTTGGGACAAAATTTTTTAGGTAAAGTGGACAATAATTATGGGACGGAGGGAGTACTAGATATTAAAGCATAGAAAATTAGTTTTACTATCATTATTTTGCTAATTGTGGATAATTTAATGTCCCTTATTTAAGGTAAATGTAATTTTTTTTTGGTTAACAAAGGTAAATATAATTTGGCGTTACGTCATCCATCTTGAATCTTGAACATCAAAAGTGCAATTATTACAAACTGGAACAAAATAAAATGTGCACGACAACAATATTTAACTAAAGATAAAATATCACTTCACCTCTTATATTTGGGCAAAAAATTACTTTTGCCTTATACATTAAGGTTGTACAATGTTAGAAGAGAAGCATTAAGTTTTTGTTGACTTTAAGATAATACTTCCTCCATTTCAAATTCTTCAGCTAAAAACAATCATTTTAAGGGTAAGTAAACGAACTAATGTTTCACGCGTTCATTGACATCCATCTCACTATCCTCGGTGATCTTCCACCCTTGAGGGCCAACAAAATACACACTCGCGAAACCTTCACCATGAACACCAATAAGAGGCCAATGATCAGTTCTAACTTGACCTTCCCTAGTCCTGTTTGCAACATGTATGCCTTTGTAGCCATTTCAATATCCCAATGGGAAAACCCACCATGACTTCTCATATTGAAGTAAACCATTTCAAGTCCAGATCTGACGGCAAATCTATTCCGTTCAATCCCTTTATAACTCTTACATTACTAGGCGATTGTCAATTACAACGATCATGACTTAAACTATATATAGAATATAAATTACATCAATCAAAGGTGATCCTATCTTCTCACAATACATAGAAATCTACCGAACTAATGCATGATGAAACAAAGAGCTACCTGGTAGCGCTTAACGAGAAGGATCAAATCCTCTAGAAAAAGGATGAAATGGAGCAAGAGAAGAATTTGAAGAAGATTCCCCTTGTCCTTGAGTAGTATCACTACTACTAGCACCACTGTCATAGTAGTGGAAAGAGCTTGTTGGTACTTGACCATACAAACCATGCTGGTGATAGTTCTCGTGACTGGAAGCTGTCGTAATCATATTCGGCATATAAGGTGGTGGCACGTGCTGAGGAGGCGAAGGAGGAGGCAGAGGTGCAGCTGTAGATTGTTGCACTATGGTAGAGAAATCCGTAGTGCGCCGGACAAAAGGATCTCCACGCACTACCGTTCGAGCCGCCTCTCTTTGTTGATACTTGTACAAATATAAAGTGAGAGGGTTGACGTAGTTATGGAACCCTAGATGGTTGAGCGAGTAGAGAACGTCCTCCGCGCTAACCGTCTTCCGACAGTCACAACGGGACCGCTCGTTGGCCTCCGATGTGATGAAACTAATAAATTCCGATGTATATGCTTGGATAATTTCCTTGCAGTCATCGGAAATTTTGGCATGTGGTGGGAGGACCTTCCGCATGATTCAGCTAATGTTTGCAATGGCCATTAGATAATCGGGATCCCACTAGTAAGCAATATTCCCACTTTCGTTGTTGTTATTGTTGTTACCGTCGTTGTTGACGATGTTAGGAATGACATCATGGAGATTGTTGGCAATATTGTTGGAAATGGTGTTCTGATCAGGCTCATTTATAACCACTCCTTCTACATTAAAATAAAAAAAAGAATTGCATACTCTTTTGTGGTCCAATATTCCAAACTAATCGTATTTGCTTCCTTTTTTCCTTTTTAATTTTAATGTAGTAGGAGTAGTTATAAATGACCTTGATCAGAACATCATTGCCAAAAATATTGTCAACATTTCCAACGATGTCATTCCTAACATCGTCGACAACGACGGCAACAACAATAACAACAACGAAGGTGGGAACATTTCTTACCAGCGGGATCCCGATAACCTAATGCTCGTTGCCAACATTAGCCGAATCATGCAGAAGGTCCACCACCAAATGCCAAAATTTCTGATGACTGCAAGGAACTCATCCAAGCATGTACATCGAAATTTATTAGTTTCATCACATCGGAGGCGGGGTAAACACTAGCTTCATTTTTATTTTATTTTTTTTGTTTATAAATGTTTGACTTCTTATCAAAAAAACATATTAAGAAATTGAAAACAATTATATGGGGGAAAAAATTATGTAGAGAGTAAGGAAAATGTGAAAAAAATTTGAGATAATAGTGAAAAATAAAATAGTTATTACAAAATTATCAACAAATTAAGCTTTAAAGAGAGGTAATTATATTTAGAAAGAAAAAGCGAAGACTATATAACAAAAAAAAACTAAAAAATATATTCTAAGAAAAATATACAAACAAACTTTTAATGAAAGGTTAGAAAAAGTGTATAGAAAGATAGAAATAGATAAGTTTGTTGAAATATGTAATGGAAAACTTTTCTTTTAGAGAAAAAATTTAAACGATGTGACACCGGTAGAAATATTTAGGTAAGAGTATATTTTTTAAAAGATATAAAGTCATAAATCAACAAAACAAAAAAGATGGATAATAAGGTATTAGATGATTGGGAATATTAAAATTATTCTAAATGTATTTAAAACAACAAAATATATTGACATTAAAAATTACACAATTTCAATTTTTATCATTAATATTATTTTTTTAATATATATCACTTTGTTAGAAATGTCATATAATCATTAGATCCTAAAACTCATATATATCTTGAACAACTCGCACAATGTGCGGGGTAAACACTAGTGTATATATATATATATATATATATATATATATAGATTAGAGTCACTAGGGAAGATACAAAGGTTCGTCCCGTTTGGAAATATTTATGATAAATTGGCCATTTGGGGGTGTTTAATTTGAGGTCATCATAGTATAAAAAAGCTGCATAGAACAAAAACTTACAAATATACAAAAGTTCCCGCACACAATTTACAAACTTATTGGAATTGTCCCAAAAAAAATACAATTGACCTTGTTCACTCTTTATTTTCCTTGTTTTATTAGAAAAACAGATCTTGATGGGTTCACTTTTTATATGAGGCGAAATATTGCTTTTAGTGGGTTTAAAATTCGATTTTTTTTGGACAATGAATTTTATTCATTTATTATTTATTTTCAAGAAAAAGGCTTTGATTGTTTTGTTTGTTTTAATAAGTATTTTTGGACATTGTGTCTCCTTGTTCAATGTATTCATGTTCATACCTAAAATAGATTTATATACATAAATTTGAAAATGTAAGTAGATTTGTCTTCTTAATTAATTAAGAAGAAAAATAGATTAAGAGTAATAAGAAATAAAAATTTGGCATTAGTTTGGAGCCAAAAGAGATTATGGATTGAAGGCCAAATTAAACTTAGAATTCACATATGTTTTTCTAATGAAGCATAAATTCATTACTAGATAATTTAAAAAATAAAAATCCAGAATTTTGCTGTGTCATATATAAATGTCCTCAAAGTGAAAGAAATACTTCCCGCCCTTTACACCCCTACAAAAGAATCTCTAACTCTTTTTTACTGGGGAAAACCTCTAAATTATTTTCCTTTTTCTCCAATAAATTCTTCTTAAAGCTCATAAATTTTCATTCCATCTTCAAAAGTGTCACGGAAGTCAGCTACTATATGATCCATGCAAAAACTCACCATCTACATCTCTTATGTTTTTCATGACACCACATCTAGTTCCAATTTTCCTCATACTTTTTATAACCCCACATCTATCTTTATTCTCGGCAATTGTGTTTGTCAATATTTAGTTTCGACGATTTCATTTATGACTTGTAAGTATAATAAATTTTTATAACGGCCCCACATCGATCTTTATTTTTGATAATTACATGCGTAGCTGTCCCTTTTGAATTGTTATATTTGTCGTTCTTGATAATTGCATTCGTAACAGTTCTTTTTGAACACTTTATACTTGGTGAACGTGTTAATGCTGATCTTTCATAAATATCTCATGGACCCTTATATCAACTTTTATCCTCAATGATGACTGTTTTACATTGTTAAATGATGACTACATGTTGATCTTTATTCTCAATGAATGTGATTACATAACTATGACACTATCTACTCCATGATAAGTCATGTGATAGAAATCCCAACATTCAAAACCTCCGATTACTTTGTGGATAGAGTCACTGTTTTAACTGATCATCTTTAGCAAGAAAAACAACATACATTTGAGTAATTTCTGGCAGATCACACAAAACAACACAACTACATCAATTGTCTGCTTCATTTGGAGTTTTTTTGAGTCATTTTGTTCAACTGAGAATGTGTTACGCATGTTTATCATTTGGAGCCTTTTTATGTCGTTTGTAACTCCTGCCAGTTATCTCCAAATTCCAATGCTTAAAACATTAGCTCTTTTGTTTTTTTTTTTTTTTAGCTTAGTCATACGTCTCTTGTTTTCCAAGTACTTCGATCTGTAACCAAATTAGCCTCTCTCCTTAAGGAAATTTCTATTTCACGTGATCCATTTGGAGTTTTTCACACTTTGTTCAACTGAGACTCATAAAGCGAATAATTTGGGGTCGTTTTTAGATTTTTTTTTGTAACTCCTTTCAGTTCTCTTCAAATCCCAATGCTTAAAAAAACAGCTCCTCATTTTGTTTTCTTCCTTAACTAGTCATGTTACTCATGTTATTCTGATCTGTCACTAAATTAGCCTCTCTCTATTATTAAGAAAATCTCTATTTCATGTGAATATTATTCACAAAATACTCCATATTTTTTCTAAGAAAAAATCTCATGTTCATTGAAATGAAATATTACGATAAAGATGACTCTTTTGGGGCAAAAATATGTATTTGACATGAAAAAATAGGCTCTTTACTAATTTACATACTATTTAATTTTTTTTGAAATAATTTTAACTAACAATCACAGTAATAAATTTTCTTTATAAGTAATGAAAGTAACATAAAGATTTTGTTATTTCCCACACTTTTTCGTTGACCACTTAATGCTTATTAGTATGATAATAAGTTAACTATTGTTATAATTTAGAGTTGGGAAAGAAAAATCGCATCTTCTTAAAATAGAAATTTATTTAACCAAAAAAGATTAACTTTTATTTTGGAATATTAGAGAGAGTGTAGTTAATAACATAGACTTAAAAAAGCCACATTGTCAATATATCCTTGTGAAAGTCTAGAGTATAGAAAAGACAGTGACATATCCTATGGGTGAGATTGTTATCAAACAAAAGCTTGGGGGTTAAAGTTTCATTAGGAACAACCCAAATTGTAGAAAAGTAAAAGTCCATGGTCATATCTATAAACACAAGTTGTATGCAGACTCTAGTCGGTAATAATTACTGATTTCTGCTCTATATATGCATAACGCAAAAACTATAATTTTAAGTATACTTAAAAAAAAATTCAGTCATCAATCTGGTTCTTCATAAGATAGAAACAATTTTCCAGTTGTCATAAATCATAAGTCTTTGCCTTATTACCTTGTTTTTCTTTCCAAGAAAAAATAAATAAATAAATAAAGAAAGAAAGCATATACATGGAACGTGGAGATCGGATGAGAAATCCAGCGGCTGGCAACAACAGAAGGCGAAGAAATGGTAACCATATTCTTTTACTTTCAAAATTTGTATAATTGACAAATGATTCGTTTCAATTGCGCCAATTTCAATCACTTTTTTTTAATTATTACTATTTTTACTCTTCTCGTCTCAAAATTATATTTTTTTTGGGACGAGGGGATAACTACATTATATTTTGCGACAAAGAGTTTCGGGGCATGAATTCTTCTTGTTTTTTCAATTGTTGAAATTTTTTTAATTTCTTGCATGAAATTCTTGTATACTTGCTTTTATTTGGGGCCTGGAAGTAAATATTTTACTCGAGCATTTCCATTATATTCGTTTCATTATTTTATTTTATTTGGTTGGAGAACTTTGTTTTTGAATAATTTACGTGTCGGGATAGCTAGTTAGCAAGCTACCCGAAGACATATCTCTTTGTTTTTTAATTTGTTGCCTGTTTTTTATTGGGTTTTTAGAATCCAACCATTGAAACTCGAAATCCTTCTAACATTGGGTTATTAATGAACATATTCAAGTTTCGTCTGAACTCCACTAATTAATGGTGGTGGATTTATTTTGCTTTGAGAAATTTTAGTTTCAAGATTTTGGTTGCAAATGTAGAACACATTAATTATTGGTTAATCCAACTTTCCCATCGAGCCTCTGATTGTTCAAGAGTTGCAACAGATTTGCTGTGAATTTCTTTCTCTTATTTTTGTAACATTTATTTTTTGGATTTTTAAAAGTCTGCAAGATTTGAAATTATATTTTCCATAAAATTTGAGATTCTGTTATACAAATAATATTTTACTATGGAAAATTTATCTGGTCTTTTTTTTTTCGTTTTGCATTTCCATTTTGTTACACATATGATTTTTGAGTGAAAATATTTTCAAAAATTCATCCATGTATAATTTATGTATCATTAATCTTTACTTGTTAAATAAAATAAATGCAAGAAATATTTTCAAAAATGGTCTTGTATTTCTGCACGATAAGCATTTATCAGGTAGGAGTTTTTTTTTTAACTTGTAAGTTCTTCATTTACACGAAGGGCCACACAAATTATAAAACTTTTTTTTTGTCTTCCTTATTTCGTTTTTTTCGCTTATTGGACCAAAATACATGTAATTCCATTCTATGTTCTTTCCTAATTAAGTGTTCAAACTTGTGATTAGCCGTCATTTAATTTTACGAGCTATCTCAAACAGTCACTGAATTATTTGGTTGATCAGTATTATCACTACAATTTTTAACAAAAAAAAGAAAGAAAAAAATAAAGTCACTGCATAAATGCCTACTGCTAGTCACTGTGTTATTTGATTTCAACAATATATATATATATATATATATATATATATATATACTTACTCTATATATACTCTTTTTTATCACATTTATAAGAGGCACGATTTTATATAGAATTAAAAGATGTAAATGGAGACGCTGGAAATAAACACTTGAAACTCCCCTCTAGGAATAATATTTTTACTTGAATTGCATCCTCTTTTATTATTTAATCCAGACTATTTTTACTCTATTTTTTTCTTTTTTTGAATTTAATGCAGCAGGAGTGGTAATAAATGAGCCGCAGAACATCATCGCTAACAATGCCAACATTCCGAATGATGTTATTCCCAACATCGCCGACAATGACGGCAACGTCAACAACAATAACAACAACAAAGGTGGGAACATTGCTTACCAGCGGGATCCCGATCATCTAATCCCTGCGGCAAACGTCAACCGGATTATGCGGAAGATCCTTCCGCCGCACGCTAAGATTTCCGATGAATGCAAGGAGTTGGTCCAAGCATGTACATCAGAATTCATTAGTTTCATCACGTCGGAGGCCAACGAGCGGTCCCAGCGTGACTGCCGGAAGACGATTAAGGCAGAGGACGTCCTTTTCTCGCTCCGCCATCTAGGGTTCGACAGCTATGTCGACCCCCTCACCTCGTACTTGAACAAGTATCGCCAAAGCGAGGCTGCTCGAACGGCTGTGCGCGGAAACCCTTCTGTCCGACGCACTACAGATTTCTCTACCGTGGCGCGATCTGGGCCCGAACCTCTCCCTCCGCCACCTCCACCGCCTCAGCAACTACCGCCGCCTCCTTTTATGCCGAGTATGATTCCGACAGCTCCCGGTTACAAGAACTATTATAACCCGATAGTTCAAGGTCACCAACATGGTTTGTATGGTCAAGTACCAACAAGCGCTTACCACTACTATGATAGTGGTGCTAGTAGTAGTAGCACCCGTGGTGGACCAGAAGAGGAATCTTCTTCCAATTCTTCTCTTGCTCGTTATCATCCTTTCTCTAGAGACTTTGGTTCTTCTAGTTAAGTGCTACTAGGCAGCTTTGTTGTTTTCATCATGCATTATTTTCATAGATTTCAATGTATTGTAAGAAGATGATGATCACCCTTTGATGCAATTTCTATTCTATATGTAGTGTTGTAGTAAGTCTGGGATTGTTGTAGCTGATTGTCGTCTTTTAATATAAGAGTTATCATTGTTATCGTCACGTGTATTTCCTTTTATTACGAGCGTTACACGAAATTTACGCCTTTTAATACAAGTGTTATACTTGTTATCGTGATGTACATCTCCGTCTATTACGGGTGTTATGCGAAATGTACGGTGTACGTTGAGATCTTTATTGAATTTAAGAGCGTTCCATCAAATCCATCAATTATAGGCGTTACGCGAGATATAAAGCAAACGTTGAGATCTTTATTAAATTCAAGAGCTTTCCTTCAAATACGCAAGTGTCATCGATTTCAAAGACGGGCGTTCTAAATGATTTCACAATATAGATTTGGTGATAGCATTTAAATTTACGTATGCTTGTTACCTCTCAAATGAGACCAATTCACCAAATATAAAGATACACAAATAAATTGTTCCAAAATTTTTAACATTTCAGAAAATTTTGACTCAATTATTTTCAGGGCAGATCATCTGAAAAACAAAATCATGTTTCCCTTTCTCCAAATAAATACATTATGTCCACGTTATGTTATGTTATGATTTCCTGTAATTAGGCATTGGCCTCTTTTCATTGTACCAAAAAAATAGTTTATATCAATGTATGTCAAAAAAATAGTTTACTCAAATGATATAAAGACTTTTTTAAAAAGCTAAAGCTTTCAAAGAATCAATGAAGAGAACTGGAAATTTTTCAAATCAAGCACTCTATAATTATAGATTTCATCATCAGCCAGGAAATATGGGCCTAAGCCTTAGAACACAACAAAAACATTTGGGCTTTAAAAAAAAAACACTTTACACTTTTTCAAAACACGTGCCGCGCGCTCATTTCTTATTTCAGCAGTGGTCGTTTAGCCGTCAAATATTCCCAAAAATTTGAATGAATAAACTCCGGCCTCGCGAAAAAAAAAAAACTCCGGCCTTGCAGAAGAAGGAACAAATTTGAAGAATTATGAATCCAGTTAGAAGAATTAGTACTGGCAAAAAAAATAATAAAAATAAAAATTAGTACTAGCATATCCCCGGCTTCTCCATCGATAGGAAACTAATATTTGAAGAATAAGAACCTACAATCGCAATTTATCGACTGATGATTTGACGGCACCCGTAACAACGATGGAGATGTAGGAGATTCATGTTTTGAGGAGTGTTCGAAGTTCTTGTGTCCATGAAGTTTGTCGAGAATTTGTTTTGGCTTCGATTGGTAGTGAGTTCATTAATAGTCTTTTCATTTCTAAATATAATTTTGCTCCGATCCATGCTGAAAGAGTGTTCGAATTCTTTTGTCCACGAAGTTTGTCAAAACTAGGTCGTGTACTTCTCTGGCAGGACCTTTGAGGTTTAAGTAATTATAACATATTCTCCCGTTCTAAAATTATTGTCTAATCTAGAATTTTAATTTTATTTAAATTGTGATAAAAGTGAAAATCTAAATTGAACAATAATTTTAGGAGGGAGGGAGTATAAAAAAGAACAGTGATAAATACATGAAAAAAATTCAAGGAAACAATGACGAGGAATGATGTATCAAACATAAATTATGCCCAAACTTTTAATGAATAAATCTCGTATGAAAAGTTTTAAAAATGGATAAGTGAGATCATTTACTTATAATTTTTCTTTGTTAATTTTTTCTTGTACCTATCGTTATTCTATAAAAAAAAAAAAATTGAGTAAATATTGCTTGTCCTTGAAACGTGATCAGTGATGGCTGGAGGTGGTTGCTATCAGAAGTGAAGAATATCATTTATAAGTATAGGGTTTAATATAATTTGATTTATGACCTTAGCAAGTGAAACTTTGACAATTCTGTATTGATTCTGGTACCGCATTAGGGAACATTGAAATGAAGACTGGTTCTTAGGTTTGCAGTTTTGGCGATCCACCCAAAATAACACCAAAGAAACAAACACTAAAAAATAAGGTGCAAATATATCAGTAGAACAACTGAATCGGCATCAACGAAAATAAATAACAAGGAGAGGAATATCCAGATATCCACTCACAAGTCACAACCCCCTAACTGAAAGTAACTTAAAACTGAAACAAGAAAACTGCTAACATGATAGACGCCCAAATCAAATACACATGCATGTTAAAGAGAGTAGCAACTAGCAAGGGCAGGCACTCCATAATAACTTCAGCTCTCATGAGCTGCTGCACCACTCAACACATCATCTAATGGTGTAAAACGATTATCTTGTAAACATGATATCCAAGCCAAACAAAAGTGCCGGTGACGACTATGATGAATGCCCCGAGCAACGGGATGAGGAATCTCCCCTGTGAGAAGCGAGATCATTTAACGGGAGCTTGCCAATCCTGAACCCATCAATTTTTTTTTTGTGTGAAGATTATAAGACAATACAGGCATGTGGTTGTCCCGAATCACCCTAAAAGGATTCATCAATAGCAGCTCACCTGTAACAAGGTTTCCTGTTGCAATGGTTCTAAGGTCATGAAGCCATTCGGGCACTGGGACACAGATCTTACTCCATCTTTTACCCTCCCAATCTTCTAACACAAAGAGCCTCAGACCATTATCAAACTATACCAGGAGGAACCGACAGAGCCAAGCGCCCCATCCACTGAACAAACTTCCAATACCACTATGGAGAGTCTGTCAACAAAACAAGATCTTTCGGGATCTTTATCCATTGGAACTTTTCTTTATTGAGATCAAAAGAAAACATAAATTGCGGCCATAGGTACCAATACAGGAACCCATCCATAGCAAAGGTTTTGGCATCAGGTATATGGGTGTTTTGCTTCATCTGTTGGGGATCAATACAAGGAGCATTTTCCCACAGCAAATCAGCAAGACCAGATGCATCATAGTCCAGCTTCCTCCGTGAGGATAATTCAGTGGAAGGTCTCAAAATCAGTATCTCCGCTTCTAATAATTCTCCCATCATCAATTCAATAATTTGTATACCCTATTAACTGGATCATACCCGAGATCAAACGTTGATATGGAATTGCAACTCAGAGGGCCTGGGAGCCTCATCCTCTGTCCTGTACAAATGTTGTGCAGGCTCAATATCTTATTATCTTCACAAACACAGATGAGACCATTGACAACTTGTGTCATTCCATCCAGCCAAGAGGGAAGACTCACTTCGTATAAACAACTGAAGTCTTCCTTGGGCTCCTTCAGCTGACTCCTCCAAAGAGTGGAATAAAAAAAACGGAGTCGGATAATGTCATGTATGTTCTTCCTTGCCGAGAAGTCAACTACTTCGGTGGAACACAGTACCAACCCGGGTTGTCGACTCTGGTAAGCCCCCAGAAATTCACGACTTCCAATTATTGATAGCCACGACTTCCACACACACTTGCAGCGTCAAATATGCTTACCCGGAAGCCATGTCAAAATTTCCACCACCAAGTCATCGGTTAGTTCCATCATCACCATCTGTTACCTAAGCGATTTGGCCTTCTCGGAAATCCAAATCGAAACCAGTTTTAAACTGGATCCTCCGGTCCTCCCATATATATATATATATATATATATATATATATATATATATATCCTTCTAGGAAACCCATACACCATCGTCCAATTCGAAGAGGGTTTTTTTCAAATTTCTCTAGAAATTGATAATCGAACCCTTAAAGGAAAAAGATTGCACCTTTAGGAGCAGAGCGAATTCCAGACCGTTAAAATTAGTTGCTGATTGCATGGCCTTAATGGTCGCAGCCCACAAAAATAATATGAAATTCTTTCTCAATCGAAGAATCAACAATTTATTATCCAGATTCAATAGACACGGCCCCAAAAATATACCACATGTATTGGCATAAAGAGCAAGTATGTAAGTTAATTAGTTATAAAATATTGATTGTCTACTTTATAGTGAAAAGTTACATGAAGTATGCACCAAGAATATACGTAACCATTCTTGATGTAAAAATTTTGGACTTCTTATGACTATCTTATGAGCATGAATTATAACAATATATATCTACATGTTGAGTTCAAAAATATTCTTTGATAATGCAATTTCTCAATAATCATTCCTCCTATTTCGAAATAATTATCCTATCTCGATTTTATTTTTGCTGTGTAATTACTCAATTTCTCGATTTCAACACCTTTTGTATGTGACTCAATATATTTGTTCCGCTTTGTTGTCTAGCGAAAGAAAATCACAAACCAGTTGTTGAAAGTTTGCTAAGAAAACAAAGTAGTCAATTGTATCCCACAAAAAGGCTACTCCTTTTTTCTTGAAGCCACAGAAAAATACAGCCTAATTAATAAAAATTCGCAAAAAGTTAAACAAAGCTTCACTTGAATGTAAAACTTCCACAATGAGAATAAAAATATGAAATTTTCAGATAAACATATTAAGAACTCCAATAAAGAGAATATATAATTGTTTAAATAGATGACCCCACAATCAACTTTTAATCGTGAAAGTTGGGAAGAATAGAGAATTGTCTTATTCAATTAATTAAGAAGAAAACCTCGCCCAATTAATGAAGATCGGAAAACCGAGCTAGTTTGAACCTTAGACTGGCGAGGTTGGCGGAGAGGAGTTGAGGGACGGGGCTGCACCGGAAGCGTAACAGGTTTAGGATGCAAAGGATTTTTTTTCAGGAATTTATTTAATTAATTAAAAACTAGAACAAAAAACTGATGTGGATAGTACACCTAAGACGGCCAGGTCAGTCGAGATGCGGTTTCGAGCTAAACTTTCGAGTTCCATCTCTAATTCGTGATACAAAAAGTAGGGGGAGATGTGTAGAATAATTTTCCTTTTTTTTTTTCCCCCTGTGTGGATTTGTTATTTGGAAACCACTTGAATCAAGAATATTCTAGCACTCTCAAGGGGACTGATCAGTTAAAAAAAATGATTAATCTTCACACCGGAGTTATATTATACTACTTTTGTCCTAAAAAATTAATTCACAAATGAGTTTTGAAATTTGTAATAAAAACAGTTTAAATTTCAAAACTTATTGTGGACTATTTTGTTGGACAGAAGGAGCAATAATTTCCACAAATGGTACTTTCATTATCTTAATTAGATAAATTTATGGAATGAAGTTAATAACCAAAAATGATACTCGATTTATCCTTCATATTGAATTTTGAATATTATACTATTTCTTACCGAAAAGAATATGTTTTCAATCGTAAATCGAGTATGTTAACCGCAACAAATGCTAGCTTGTGAAATAATCTTAAATTTATATTCGTGACATTAGGAATGTATAGCCAAATTTTGGATTAGAGAAAAACGTAAAAGGGCTGACACGAAACAATTTAAACGGCCTCACATTGACTTGAAAATAGGAACCATCTCTTTCAATCCTAAAATTATTGTTATATTTTATAATATTTACTTTTTATATGAAAAATAAAGATCTAATTGAATAATTACATCGGGTTAACATTTACTTTGTTATATTACTCGCTTGTTACTCGATAAGGGGGGAAAACACTGGTGTAAGGAAAGGTAAAACGGTAACAACATGGTAGGCAGAGGAATCTGATGGATAAAAATTTAACTTAACCACATAGATTAGTTTTTAATAAGAAAGAGCTAATGTTGAGCATGCATGGGAGGTTAGGGCGATTAGCAGCAGTTAGCTAACATTTTTTGTTTCACAAATTTCACAGAATTTCTGTTGCATTGCTAAATTCCAAGAACGTTAGAACTAAAGAAAGCTAAAGAAATTCCAGAATTCCCTCGCTCTCCTCCGCCCAAATTCTTACTCCTTTGCGCAGTCTCTGTTCTGAATCCGCTTGAATCCGGCTCTGAAGCTTAATCGCACAGGCAAGAAATTTCTCCTCTCTCTTAGGGTTCTATGTCGGTCGTTTCTAATTTTCTTTTGATTTTTTTTTTCCAAGAATTTAATTGATTTACAAGACGTTCACCGATTAACTGTTCTATAAACTTTCTAGAATATCATGGCGGTCGATTCTTTTCTACCTCCATTGCCCGACGAACCACCTCCGCTTACCCCACCCCCGCCGGAGGGAAGCCCTCCCAGTTCAACACAAGCAGAGGCTTCTGAATCGTCTGAATCGTTTCTCCCTCCGTTACCGGACGGACCACCTCCGCTAACCCCATCCCCGCCGGAGGGAAGCCCTCTCAGTTCAGAATCAGATGTCTATTTAATTAATTAGAGGTTTTTTTTTTTTCCCTCGTATTATTTGTCATCTGAATGGTTTGTGCTGCCTTTTCAGGACGGGTTTCATGAACTTCATATGCCAGCAGGTATTGTCCCTGAGAACTTTTTAGTATCTTATTTATTTTCGGATTTTATTTTATGATTCGCTTCACCTTTCAGGAACTTTGATAACACGGAGTAAGACTGGTGGGGTTCTGGGTGACAAGGAAGAGGTTTTTCCACCGTGGTGGAAATCTGATATCGATTTGGACTTTGAAATGGGACTTTCTGAAGATAAGATTAGGCTTCAGCGTGAGGTTAGTTTTGCTTTTATTAGTTAATGTTTTTTTTTTCTTATTACACTTTTAACCTTAATTTATGATCATTCTAGACAGCAATTGAGGCTCAGATGTTGGACATTGGATCCCTGGAGGTAATACCTATTTTAGGAACTGTTTTCTGTGTTGGTTTATACCGCTGAAATTGAAAATTTTGTCTTAATTTCTTTCAGTGCATCACAGGAGAGGATTTAATCAGTTTTGAAGAACTAGGTTCAGGATCTTTCGGTGGTGTCTGCTTGGGAAAATGGAAGAGATCTAATGTTGCTATAAAGTGATCCAGGAGAAATGGATCACCGGTGGCACGGCTCAGACGCGGAAAGACAATGTATTATTATTTTTTTTGTTTCAGCTATCCCTTTAAGATTTGCTCATATTCACTAGTTATGATAAATTTTTATAGGCCGAGGGCTTCTTATGGGAGGCCAAGTTGTTGCAGCAACTTAGACACCCTAATATTATCCAGATTTACGGCGTCGACCCTGATGGGCCTGCAAGGAGAGTCCGGTTCGCTATGGAACTGATGCCTCATGGTAGTCTCCAGGTGGTTTTAAAAGGAGGCAGGTAAAATTATTCTCTTAATTCATTTGTTTGTTTGTTTAACACTGAGGAAGTTATATGTTTGAATTACTGGATGACAGGGACTTTCCTAATGTATAGCTTAAATATGCAAACGAATAAAAAAGGAAAGTATATTTAGAAAGAAACTTCCGTCTGAAACTTTTTGCTAAAACCTAATTTAAAACTACTTTTCACTTTTGGAACCTTCCTGCATCACCATGTATATAAATAAAGTATCTGTAACCCTGGAAAATAACTCACTGGATTGTTGCAGGTCATTTTAACAAGGCAATTTACTCTTCTACAACAAACAAAAATAGCCTTAGGTGCGGCCTGTGGTTTAGAGTACTTGCTCCAAGGGGATCATCCACTGTGATCTGAAGACTGACAACATTCTATTAGATCTCAGGGATTCTACAAATCCTATATGCAAGGTTTGTTATATTCAACAATTATGTACTAGTAATACTTATTTCTGTCTCAGTAATCATTATTTGTGGTTAATGATGCTTATGCACTGCAGATTGGAGACTTGGGAATCTCTAGATTTAAGGATTTGGCCAGCTCCATTGACCAAGGACCTGGAGATGTGATTGCTTTAACTGCTCCTGAGATCATTCGTATGGACAAGGAAAATATCTGTGAAAAGGTAAACACTTTCGTCACAAAAGTAACCTGTTGCCGGCAATTCGCTTCTTTCCTTGCTTGTTTTAGATAAAACAATAGATACACTTTTCTAATCTTGGTTCTAATATGTGCAGGTTGATGTGTACGCTTTCGCTTTTATAATGTGGGACATAATGAGCTATTGTATGCCTCTGTATCCAGAGATGACAGCTGCTGAAATCGGGGGTGCGGTCACAACACAGCCTAGCCTCTAACATTATACTTCTTTTCTTAGTTCTTATTTAATCTCATGTCTAATGTTCTCCCTGCAGCTGCAGTCCTTAAGAGCTGTAGGCCAGTTGTCCCGTCACACTGTAACCAGAAGTGGAAACAGTTAATGGTTAGGTGCTGGAATCAACTCCCGGAACGAAGGCCACACATGCACGAAGTTGCTGATGTTTTAGATAATCTGTTGACCGAAGTTAGTCAGGAGGAAAAGGTAATTGGTTGTCATTGACCTTTTGTATTTTCAGTTATCACAAACTCAAGTAGTAGTAGTAGTAGTTGTTGTTTTTTTGGTTCAGTTTTTTCACTCCAGTCTCAATATATGAGCATAGAAATCTTGGATTTTTCTTCTTTTGTTGCATTAAAGGTTGAAAAGAACAAGACGTGACAAAGAAACTATTCAGTTGGTTATTGTGATTCTCCTTCCCTGTTTTATTCTGTGAGTAGTTAGTGATGTTGTGAAAGATTCAAGAAAGATGTGCTGCTTTCTCTTGTCATTTAAGAAACTGTAAATTTAATTTTTTTTTATCATTTTAGTAAAATCCCTAACATCTAGAAAGGAAGTTCTGGAACAAACAGTAGTTTAGTACTTTATGTGTTTATTCATTTATAAATTTCAAAGGTGGATATGTGCAATTTGTATACTAGCTGGATAACTCCTGCTTTATTACCTTTGACTTGATAAATTTGTTTGTTGAAGCTTGACTTGGCAGAGAACTGTTTTCTGTTCCCACAAAAGTTTTAAGCCTAAGCCTAAAACCAGAAAGTTGGTAGAAACTGGTGAATTGAACCCATAGGGAAGTGGTAGTTTTGGCTTTGAAGAAATAGTTACCTGATGAAGTCTGTAATTTTGGTTCCAAAGTGAAGTTCTTTTTGTGGTACTGAACCCATGAACTCGTGTTGACATTTAGAACTAGTTTCCAAAGGACAGTAGGATTGTTACTGATATTTGGTAATACTCCTTTGAACATGAAGAAGTCACTCTTGCAGCAACAATTTTTTTGCCTCCACCTCCTAGGGAAACATACTGTGAACGATTTAGCTGTGATCAATGCATATACTAGCATCTCTGCATCTTTACATGTGTATTATGGACTGGCTGGAAATAACTTTTTTGGGTGATGAGTGTACCTGTGTTAATGTTCACTTTTGAGCAAATATAAGATAGCTTAGAGTCAATCTCAAATGTGCTAATCTAAAGTGGTGTTGAATCAATGCAAATTGGAATAAACAGAAAGCCCAAAATGCCAGTGAACGGGCACATTTGGCGCCAGAATTTAGAGGTAGTGATGTTCATTCTACCACTTAAGAGAAAGAGAACATAATCAATGGAGATTAAGCGCAAGGGTGTTTCGGAAAGAAATAAAATAAGACTTCTATCTTTCTGACTAATTTTCTATAGTAGCTGCTGCTGCTACTACTTATACTATGCTGTGCTGTTTGGCTGCTCTTGCCACCAACATTTTACAGTCATTTTCTGCTCACACTCAATTGCATAATGAAACCATAGGAAAAAAACTATCACATCATTTAACTTGTTTATAGCAATCCGTGTTGCAGGCTATATGGTTTTGTTTTATGCCACTGGAAATCTTTCTCAATTTCGTTTCTATCTAAAGTATATAGTCCTGATAAGTAGAGACTAGTGTAAAACCCAGTTCACGGTACTGAACTAGGTGAATGCCTGGTCGGTACAGTTCATTTTTTCTTCTTCCTAAGTCAATGTTCTGGAAGAGAGTTATCTGCATCTGCTACATTTAACAGTACTGCAGCACCAAAAGTTGGTGTGATGTTGGAAACATAAGAAAATTATTGACTGAAAAGTTCTGTTATGCAGATCAGTCGTGTTAGTTACCCAGTTACTACCTCAAGCAGCTTTTCTAACTTAATCTCCATTTACTATGATATCTTTTTGCGAATCATTGTATGTGGTGACTAGTAGCTAAGAAAGTGAATTATCCTAGGCTTGTTATATTTAGTTCTGCCTGTTTGACCATGGAACTTGGTGCATGCTTTATTACATTCTGTTTCTCCTATGCTTTTCGAAATTTGTTTATGCTATATCTACTGTGTCATTGATAACAGGCACACGGGACTGTCATGAAGAGTATATAGAAGGGAGTTTGCATTTGCTTTTCTTGGTGGCTTGCTATAGCTGATCAGATTGTGAAGACTTGAGACGGGACTATAGACCAGCTATTCTTCATCAATGTAGGTCTTGACTTAGATTTTCAATTAAAATGACCTACACGTGATGTAGTTTCCTGATTTTATAAACCCAAAAAGTTTACTAAATTTGCATACCAAAACTGTGGTATTTGTTCGGTTCTTTGAAGTGGAGAATTTGTTTTGTCTTCTTTTGGTAGTAAGTTCATTAGCTTTCACTTCTATATATAATATTGTTCTGATTCATGTTTGAACTTTAAAGTTTCTGGAGCAAAATTCACCTCTCAAATAGATGCGGACCCAGGTTTCCTGCATAGTAAGGCGGAGACTAACTTATGGCTTGATTAAATAGTTGCAATCCTCGCCCTGAAACCGTAATCGAGAGCAACTATTGATGGATTTTCACTTGAATAGTTAACTGAATGATGAATTCTGATGGTAAAGTTAATCAATGATGCTGAGCGAACCTTGATTTTATGTACTTTGTTTTATGGTGGGATTGAATGATAGAATTGAATCATGACTATGTGGGGTTCGGTTGGTTTTACTGTGATGAATCAGCGCAGCTGTATTTCTCTGCAGTTTTCAGTCAATTTGAGAATGTCTGATAAAAGCCAAAAAAAATAAAAAAAAAATAAATAAATAAAATGTTCACGGTAGAACCAACAAATTGTTCCAGCAAATTAAGTTGGAAAAGAATGTTCCAGCAAATTGTTCACGGTAGAAGCAAATAAGTAAATTTTATGAAAGTTGAAGAAGATGGGAAATTGACTACATTAAGTTGGAGAATAAAAACGATGAAAGATAAAAAAAGATTATAAGGGAAACTCCGAAAGAAGAATCGATGAAACATGTTGAATGTTCATCCCATCCTCTTATCAAAAGACTTGCAAGTACATTTGACTCTGAAACGGTTGAGTTTGGTAGGATTATCAATGATGAAAACCTCTTTGCAAATTTGCCCATTTACACATACTGATGGGATTCCGTCAGAGAGAATCCTTACAACCAAGTAAAGGACAACCCAAAAAAAAAAACACCTAAAACAAGCACCTCCACAAAACAACGCGAATCCTCGACTAGGAAAATAAATACTGTAATATGGAAAGCAATAATATCCTCCAGGAACCAACCATCAAAGACCTTTCAACCCAACTGACTACCGCTTGAAGAAAAACAAGATATGGCAGCTAATATGATATAACCGTGAGGCCCAAATCAATTCCAAACCAGCACATAAAAACAGCAGCAGGGGCAGGCACTTCGTAATAACTTTAGCCCTCTTCAGCTGCTGCACCACTCAACACATCATCTAATGGTGTAAAACGGTTGTCTTGTAAACATGATATCCAAGCCAAACGACAGTTGTTCAGAAAACGCCTACGGCGAAGACCTGGAGCAATGGGATGAGGAATCTCCCCTGTAAGAAGCTGGAGATTATTTAGTGGAAGCTTCTTAATCAAGAACCCATCAACCTTTTTCGTCTCAAGATTATAAGACAATACAGGCATGTGGTTGTGCCGGTTCACCATGCAAGGATTTATCAACAGCAGCTCACCTGTAAGAGGGTTTCCTGTTGCAATAGTTTTAGGGTCATTAAGCCAACCCGGCATTGGGATGCAATGCTGACGCCATCTGTTACCCTCATCATCTTCTAACATAAAGAGCCTCAGGCAATTATCAACTGTGCAAGGAGGAACCCATAAAGCCAAATGCCCCATCCCCTGAACAAAGCTCCAATACCAACTAGGAGACTTTGTCAACAAATAGAGATCTTTCGGAATCTTAATCCATCGGAACTTTTCTTTATTAAGATCAAAAGAAAACATAAATTGTGGCCATAGGTACCAATACAGAAATCCGTCCATACCAAAGGTTTTTGCATCAGGTATATCAGAGTTTCGCTTCATCCGTTGAGGATCAATACAAGGAGCATTTTCCCACAGCAAATCAGCTAGACCGGAAGCATCATAGTCCAGCTTCCTCCATGTGGATAATACCGTGGAGGGTCTCAGGATCATTATTTCTGCTTCTAACGGCTTCTCTTTTACTGGTGAAAATTCATACATCATCAATCTCAGTAATTTATATACCCTATCAATTGGATCATACCCAAGATGATATGTCGATATGGAATCACAACTCGGAGGGTCTGGTAGCCTCATCCTCTGTCCTGTACAAATGTTGTGAAGGGTCAAAATTTGATCCAAATCACTAACACAGAAAAGACCATTGACCACTTGTGTCATTCCATCCATGTAATTAGAAAGACTCAATTCGTATATGCAACTGAAATCTTCCTTGGGCTCCTTAAGCTGCCTACTCCATAGAGTGGAATAAAAGAAACGGAGTCGAATACAATCATCCATATCCTTCATAATGGGACGACAAAAATTACTATTCACAGATCGGGATTTTGGTGAAGGAAGCGATTTCTTGAAGGAGGAGGCGATTTTGGCGGCGATTTGAAGATTTTGTTCACGATTCTTCGCAACGGATGTCTTAAAACCACTTCACAAGAAGGTTAGTGTTTTGATGTTTTTAGGATTATTGTTGTTGTTTTCTTTGTAAAAGTGTAGAACTAGGATGATTTATAAGGTTTTAGGATTGATGTTGGGTGTAGTTGATAATTGTTGTTGTATATGTGGTATTGAACGTTCAATTTAGTAAAATGCTTGAATTTAGCTTAAACTTTTGAATTTGTAGGGGGTTTAGTAAATTTAGTGTTGATTATGACTTATTTATGGTAATTGTTATAATAATTTGTTTGATAATGCCTTGTTTGTGTATTTTTTTAATAATTTGTTCACAATATGTTGTAATTCATGTAATCAACAGATATAAATAGCGTTTAACGGTCCATATTTCATTAATGTCTATTGGTCGAGCAAATTTGTTGTGAAGAATGGGATTGTGAATACTTTTAACAACATGTCGGACGTTCCTTTGTGATTGATCATAAGGTATTGTACAATGATTTGGTTGGATTGATTTGTGAAAGAGCAGGATGGAATAAAGGGAATGTGAGTTTGAGTCTATCGATTTTGTATGATACGATGGGCAATGGTTTTAGGCGTATCGCCAAAATCAAGGACGACGCATCGTTGCAAGTGTTGTATTTCCTCCCAAATTCGACATATATGGATTTGTATGTGGATTTGCAGGTGGCAGGTACTTCTAGGTGCCATTTGGAAGTAGGGACAAGTAGTGGTGGGCCGAATGTGGAGAATGTCGATTACATGAAAGATGATGATGTGGGTGGACCGAATATGGAAGAAGGCGATCACATGAAAGATAATCACGCAGAAGATGATGATGACTACACATCGATAAGTGATCAAAGCGATGAAGACCAATCAATATCCGAAGGAAGTCGGGAGAGTGATGAAGAGGTCAAAGACAAATTCGCCACAAAGGACAGGCACATATATCGTTCACAGGGTACATGGGATCATACAAAAATGGACAAGGATGAATTTCAACTTACCATGTGGGATGGGACAACCGCAACAATCGGGATAGGGACTTGTTTTAAGAATAAGAAAGATGCAAAAAATGGTATTGCACCGTGGAACATAGAGCAAAAGAAAGAGTTTTATGTGAAGGAAAGTGATGGTTCAACATGGTATATTTGGTGCAAATCCCTAAAAGAGTTAACCCCTAAGGGTTATGTTCCTTGCCGTTGGAAGGTACGTGCCTCCTTGAGAGACCATGGTTTGTGAGAGATTGTGAAATGAGTGTCTGAGCACAATTGTATGAATGTCACCGAGAAAAATAATAATCAGAATGTGAGCGCAACGCTTATTGCTCATCTCATAAGGCATAAGGTTGAGTTGGACCCGGATTATGAAGTGAAGCTCGTTCAGGAAGAAGTGAAAGATCGTATACATGTCGATGTTCTTTACCACAGGGCACGGGAGGGAAGGAGAAAAGCAATCTATCTTGTTTACGGCGACTGGGTTTCCAATTTTGACATACTTCCAAGGTATTTACTTAAATCCTATCTAATTTTTTTGATTTGTTTGTAATTTACTTTTAAAATAAGCATTATTTTTTTTTAATTTAGGTTTTTCACCGCCCTAGAGAAGAGCAACCCCGGCACAGTTGTAGAGTGGGAATGGCAACCGGGTTGGACCGATACAGAGAGGACGTTCAAATACATTTTTTGAGCATTCAAGCCTGCAATTGATTGTTTTGTTAAATGTCCTCTGGTGATTAGTATCGACGGGACGCACTTGCTTAGCGGATACAAAGGGAAATTACTTACTGCAATGGTCAAAACTGCGAATAAGCGCATCCTGCCAATTGCATATGCGATCGTGGATGAAGAGAGTGAGGAAAAATGGTCATTCTTCTTGAAGCATTTAAGAAACCATATTATATCCGGCCGTCCTGTGTGTTATATCTGATTGGCACAAGGGTATCATCAGTGCAATACGCCTAATGCCCGAATGGAATGCATACCACCGGTTTTGCCTTCGTCACGTCCGTAGTAACTTGGTGGCGCGGTTTTGAGGTAAAAAGATCAAAATGTTGTGTTGGGAGATGGGCACGAAACTTTCAAAGTCTAAATTAAAAGAACTAAGGAAAGAGCTACGTGATTTTAGCAATGATGCATATTTATATCTCAAGGAGATTTATGCTTGTCCGTAGACTCTTGCCAAAGACAAACACTATCGTTGGGGTAACCAGACAAACATTTCTGAGAGTTACAATAATGTCCTCAAGGGCGTTCGTTTCTTGCCGATCCGAGCTTTGGTGGAAGCCACTTTTATTAAGACTGTGGAAATGTATTACACCAGTTCCAGGAAGAATACGTGAAGTCGAGGAAATGTATTACACCAGTTCCAACTGACTTGTGGGAAGACTTCAAGAAAAAAAAAAAAGGCCGCGCAACACAAAGTCAACCGTTATGGTGCTATTAATGGCAAGTTCAAGGTGAAAAGTAGAGCCCGACTTGGTGGTAAATGGGACAACACGTACACTGTGAAACATGAAGAGAAGAAGTGTTCTTGCAAGAAGTGGCAAGAGCATAGGTTTCCTTGTACACATGCACTAACCGTGTGTCGGAAGATAAAAGATCAACTAATCAATACGGTGAATCCATATTTCAGGGTTGTTGCTTGGTAAGACCAATTCAGTAGGCGCGATGACTATACCCCGGTCCCTGATAAGAGAAGATGGCCTAAGGCTGGATGGAGACTCGTTCCTAACTACGAGCGAGTTATTATGCATGCTGGACCCGGTCGTTGGCAAAAGAAGAGATTTAAAATGCAAATGGATTATAGAGGACGCAAATCGAGGGGTGAATATTTGAGATGTGGCTCAAGGAATCATTTCACCAATGCGTGCCAAAAATCACACAAGAAATCCGATAGGACAAGGCTCAAGATCAATTGGGACGCTGATGGTATTCACAACGACTAGGATTGTTTGGTTGAATTGTTGTTTACGTATTGTTGTTGTGTTTGATATTAGTACTTGTTAAAAAAGAGCATGTGCAACAATTATCAAGTGTTTTTTTGGAGTTTTAGGATACAAGTCGGACTTCCAAAATCCGAGTTTTTAAGAAAATCGAATTCCAAAAATCCGATTTAGGGCCTAATTCGGATTTCGTAAATCCGACATTGGCACTGTTCACTCCAAGGTCGGATTTTGGGATGAAGGTCGGATTTTGATGAAAATTTGAAGCCAATTTCCAAAACTCTCCGTCCAAGGTCGGATTTATAAAATCCGACCTTCCCCTATATTGAATAAATCGGATTTTGTGAATCCGATTTTTGGGGACTATATATATGTTTGACCAAAATTTTGGGGAGTCAAAATCGACTGCCCCTTCTTCCCCAACCTAACCCAGCACCGGCGAACCCTGACCCTAACCCCTCCCGGCGAATTCCCCCTCCATGGGATTGGAATCCCCCTCCCGACGTCTATCCTCTGCACCGGCGCCCCCCCCCCATCGACTCTTGCGGCCTTCCTCTCGGCGAAACCTAACCCGACGACTCCCCTGCACTCCCCCATAACCGGCGTCCTGGTTCTTCTCCTTCCCGGCGACTTCTTCCTCCCAGCGTCCAACTGCGGCCTTCCATCCCTTCTCGGCGTGTTCCTCCTCCACCGGGGATAGAAAATCAGGCGTCCTGGTTCTTCTCCTTTCCGGCGACTTCTTCCTGCCGGCGAGTTCCTCCTCCTTCCTGCAACTTCTTCCTCACGACGTCCAATTCTCCTTCCCGACGACTTCCCCAGTCCAACTTCGAGTGATTTTTGTGTTATAGGGCTAAACCCTAAGTTTTTTTTTGCTTTCTGTTTTTATTGTTGTTGTTGCTGTGTAACGATGATAATGTTGCTATGTTGTTGTTGTTGATGTGTAACGATGATGATGTTGCTCTGTTGTTTTTGTAGTGTTGTTGCTCCGGTGAGTTTAAACATTTGGTCCATGTTTAGTGGTTCGGTTTTGTATAAATTATTGTTGTATGATGATGGTGGTGTAATTTGTGTTATTGTTGGTGGTGACCTAGACTTGAATGATTGTAGTTTTGTTGTATGGTGATGATGGTGTAATGTGAATTATTGTAGGATTAAAAAATAGAGAGTTCGAGAAGTATAATCCCGGCTCTGGGGCTAGAGGGAATAAAAGGTCGTCCAAGTAATTCAATTGTAGGACTCTTTGATGTGTATGAGGAGTTATTTGGATGTTTTTTATAATTTTAAACTCTTTAATGTTTATTAGTTGTAATTTGGATGATTTTGGAATTTGAATGCTTTTGAATTTGTTAATGTTTGTTACGATGTGTTTCGAATGTGTTTATAGGTAATTTTATGCGTGAAATTTGGTTTTGGTGCTGTTGCGATAGGTTGGGATTGGTTTTCAAACCATTCCTTTATTTCTTTTATAGCTCCCTGTCTAAGGTCAGATTTCTGAAATCCGACTTTTTCTCTGTTTTACTAAGACATCGGATTTTGAGAATCTGAAGTTACCTTACCCGGATTCTCAAAATCCGATTTAACCTTATCTGGATTTCAGAAATCCGACCTTTCTACTGTTTATCAGTAAATCAGATTTATAAAATTCGACCTTCGTCAAAATTTCAATTCCGAAAAAACAGTAAGTGTTTTTCTTCAAAATATTATATTTTAATATGATAAGTCAGATTTTGAAAATCCGGCATTCTCTTAATCTTGATTAATGTAATTAATTTTTCGTATTAATGGAAAGGTCGGATTTCGATAATCCGATTTACCATAAAAATTAGATTTTAGGAATCCGATGTAAGTATTTTTCTCTTCTCCAAAATTCGACCTATATTTCTCTCTTCTCCTATTTCTGGGCCATTTTTTTGATCAAAAACTCCATAGGGCCCCCAAAAATTAT